TTCGATCAGCCTAAGTTCCACCGGTGAACTACCCTCTTGTATACTATTGTACCAATCGATGGTCTTCTCCAGGTTGAGTGTGTAGGACCGAAAGACGTCGCTCTTTTCAGCAAAATCAATGGCTATCTGAGGAATTCCGTCGATTTTCATTTGCTGCATGTAGTGCACTTCCCTCAGAATGGAAAAAAGGGCGGCACTGAAGTTCAGGATCAGCGAATTATGTCGACGGTCGCGGGCTATTAGGGATTTCTTAAGATTTTCTTCAATTTGTCCGTCCAACTGCTCGGCCCAGTCATCAAAGAACTGAGTCTTGCAAGATTTTAATTTGACCATGAGTACCTCATAGCGCTCTACGATTTCCAAGGACTTTTCTGTCTTGGTGATCCTGTTTAAGGATTTAATTAACGTATATTGAAATTGTTGTTAGTTTTAAACTTACTCATGCTGCAAAGCCTTAAAGTGCTTGACTGGAGCTGTTATCCTAGTTTCCAACTGATGGCACCAGCGAATGAAAGCGGCAACAGGTGGACAATTGTAGTTGGGATAAAGGTTGTCCCCCAACTTTTTTAGCTCCATTTGCTTGTCGTAGATGGACTCGCAGATAGTCATTTCATCATCCAGCATGCGCACGATTTCAGCATAACGCTGGGTAAACTCCTCCTTGATTTTGGGACGATCGAGAACACTGCCCACTATACTAATGAGCTATGGGATAGATATATAAGTAAGCAAAACATAAAACAATATATAGAGAAGTCTTACCTTAAAAATACTCTCAAGATTATGACAATCGTCAAAGGCCTGGCACAAAATAGCGGCCAGCTTCATGTCCAGCTCGAGGATGCGGGTCTGGAAGCCCTTAAAGTCCTCATCAAACTCATGATCATCTGGATCAAGGACATCATAACTCTTCGAGGCAAAGGCCGTGAAGTACTGATTGAACTCCACATAGACATCTGTGATGCGAGTGCTGAGCTGGCGACCGCGCAGCCCACCGATTTCGACTTTCTCTAATTTCAGGAATTCAATCACAGTAAAGAAGAACCTTGGGGGAGCCAAATGTTTTTAGAAGCAATCTTAGAACTCATTAAATCTTAAAGATAACTTACCACTGAATGGTTGTAAGACGTTCGAGGAAGGCATTAAAGCGCTTGAAAACTGAATTTGGATGAAAAGTCCATAAAATCGGCGGCCGCTCTTCGGGCTCCGTGAAGAACGTGGCCAGTCGTTCCTTGTAGTAATCGAAGAGTTCCCGGAAGAACTTTAGGATCTGAATGGACAGGGTGAGTCGCTGCATGGCCTCGTCGATATCGCTGTGGAATATAGACGAGGGATCCAAATATCGCTTGGCCTAAAGCAGATCAGATTTATCAGATATCTTATTACCATTACCAAACCATTCTTACAAACCTGATGTATAATTAAATTACATATTTCCTGCAGTAAGACGGTTATTTTTGCCGACTGGCAATAGTAGCGTGAGTTGCCCCACAGAATTCCGACCGTATTCATGAACGGAATGAGCAGCGGCTTGCATTCAGCGAAATCAATCTCCTCCAGGTGCTGCAGTGGGCGCTTCAGGGGGTTCAAATAGAGTGTTATGTCCTTTGCCTCCGCCAGAGCTACGGAAATCACCGATTGGCATGCTAAATTCTCATTTCGCGGCACGGCACTCACCCGTAACGACGTTCTTGAAGAGGGTCTGGAAACACGGATGGTAGGCACTCATCGAGTACTCCAGAATCAACGCCATGGCACGAATGCGCTCGTTGCGCAATTGGTCGTAGATAAATGATAGATTCTTGAGGCGATTGTTCCAAAATGTAAATTCTGTTTAGGATATAGATTAGGCAACGGTGATTATCGAATGAAATCAATTATATAGAAATTATTTTGAGTTATTGTGATTGAAATTAGAGTAAATCACAGTTCAACGAATGGATTTTAGTATTTTTATGTCGCAATACAAACAAAATCTATTTTTAACAAAAAATAATACTTATTTAAACGACTCTCTTAATTATTTTAGGCATGATTTTATAATATTGATGTTCAATATAATAAGTGTAAGTAAGGTGTAAAAATCTTTTTTGAATCATCAGAAAATGGTTTTATATTTTCTATAAAACTGTGATAAGCGAAAAGTTTTCTAAAAATTTAAAATCTACCTTTATTCTTCTTATGCTCTTGATTTCCTATCCTAAAAATAATACTATAAACCTTTTTAAGTTTTTACTTTGAAGAAAATGTTGATAAATTTACAGATTTGTTCTTTACCCGCCCTCCTGCTTATGCTAAAAGTAAGACTGTAAAAATCGCAGGTGATTTAGGCAAATCAGGTTATTAGCTTTTTGCTCCTCCTCAACTCCTCAACTAAATCCTCAATGTCAAATGTGAACGCGTAAGGAAGACCCAAAAACCCTTTGGTCTTATGGCAGTAACATTAAAAATATTGCATGCACGCGGAATGTCATTCGTGAACAGATAATAAAGGATAATAAAGAAAGACCAAACTTTGGGTGAGTACGAACATGCAAATTTCGGGGTTGCTAGGATATGGGGAGACTTGAATTTTATCAATAAATAATAAATGGAAGGAGCCAAAAATAAAGCACGTACACATGGCACCGATGACTTACCCGTATGTGGAGTGGGATTCTGGCCATTGGCGAAGGCGTTGGAGGGACTCTCCTTGATGACCTCGTGGATTTGGGTGGCCCACTTGATGACGACGCCCTCGATGGCACTCTTTAGGTAGAGATCAAACTGGCACTGCTCCGTTTCGACCAGCTCCTTGGCCGCCTTCACGATTTTTTCGACGCCCACAGGCATGGCCAATATGGTCTCTCCACTGACCTGACCCTTAACCTGGTGTACGGTGCTCTTGAGGCTGTGTACATGCTTCTGTACATCTTGGGCCACCATTATGGGCCAACTGCGGTAGTTGTCCTCGTTGGATAGTAACGGTACTAGTACCTCTTCCACCAGAGCAGATAGTTGGTCAATTGTTCGGGTGGCCAAGTCTCCGTAGATGATAAAATTACCACAATCCTCTCTAGGAATGGGCAATGCATAACGCTTGATGAAGTACACGCCCTTGCTCTTCAGTTGTGACAGTGGGAAAGTGGTGGAGGGAACCAACTGGGCAGCCGGAGTGAGGATGATAATCAGGACAACTGGTGTGTTCCTGTCCAAAAACTCCTTAATGATGCCCTTATGCTCCTCCACAGTGATGACGCGTGTCCATTTCTCCGGCTTTAGTTTCAGTGATTTGATGACGAAAGAGCCCATCAGCTCCAGGCGCGGATCCGGCCCACCAGCTGCCGCTGCAGCAGCGGCCTCCGCGCTGGTTGATGGCTCCATCGCAACCCACTCGCTGGTGGGTGGTGGGTGTAGTGGTTGCTTTGGTGCTTCTGCTTCTGCTCCTGCAGTGGTTGTCTAGTTGTTGCTGTTGTCTGTTGTTTTCTGTGGGGATGAGGTGCACATGCATATCTGAGTGTTTGCCTGACCTTGTTACCACTAACAACTAAGCATATAAAATCAATAAAAATTGCAAATCAATATGATTTTTTAAGATTACGAAATCCTTTTTCACCGATTTGTTAAAAAATGATGTAAATAATAAGTACTTCCACTTCTTTAACTTATTAGTTAGTGTTATGTAAGATTTTTTACAATTTTCACTAGTTACATAACAGTCAAAATGGAAAAACTTTAAATATTTCGTTGAAAAGTAACACATTTATTTCTTTTCCTGTTCAAATCACTAAGCACATCTTAAGTCTCACTAATTTGATTAAATTTTAATGAATTTCTAATTTATTTATATAATATGTGTATTAATTAAATTCCCATTTAAAGTTTTCCACTGGTTTTCCCCTTTTCCAATTGCGACTGCTTACCTCGGCTGCTGGTAAGCGACTGAATGGGTTGTTATTTCCGCTGACGACATGTCACGCACATTAAGGTGCGAAAGTGATCGTGACAGGACTCGTTGCTAAGGAGTTGTTGATTTTCCCCACCAAATCGTCGCATGACCAGTGTCTACTGTTTGTTATTTCCCCTCCGCCATAATGGCCGTTGCCATGTTGGTTGCCAAGCTGGTGGCCATTTGTTGCGCTTAATTTCCGTTCTAATGGCGAAATGCACGCAACTTGCAAATTAAGTTCCTTCGATTTGCACACTTTCCTTAGATTGATTATGTGCTAATTGATTGGCAAGTGGAGGTGAAATATTAATCAATTAAGATTAGAACTGATGATTCATTATGGATTGCTAATACTTAAAGGGTTTATGTTAATTACTTACTAACAGATTTTTTTCTTTTGCGTTTAAATGTATTACTTAATTGTCTTTTTATGTTTAAACGAGTTTTAGCTAATTATATTTATATATTTATATTTTTTTATAAACATTATTTATTCCGCTATTACATGCAAATGTGACATTTTTCATATAATATGTCTATAAGTTAAGGTAGTACTAAAACATTAATTACTTACTCTATTGCACTACCACATTTAAACATAAAAAAAAAGGGAAATTTAAGTAGTAAGAGTAACCAATATAATAATTGTAGGACCATTATTGCCAAATTAGATACCAAAATCGGAAGGCAAACAGTTTGAAAGTTCAACATGCAAGACACCAAACACGCGAAAAGGCCTAAAAAGTCTGTCGAATACCTGTCCGCAAATTGTTTGGTTTGGCAAATGTAAATGATTACCAAGCACGCCAAGAACTGTTGCATTAACATCGCAACAGTTGGTCTGGGGAAATTCCTCAGGTAACCCAATCATAGTTAATCATTCATAGTTACCATAAATTATCACCCCTGTTTATGGAAACTCTATGCGCAGGCGCAATCAACACGTGGTTGTAAACAACAACAGGCCACTTGTTGCCAAGCTAGCAACAAGGTGCATAACCAAGGCTAAAAAGCAACAGATAATTGCATGACTTCCGGTTGTAAAAGTTTTTCTATTTGCAGCAAAGATTGTACAAGGCCTAGGTCGCGGAATGTGTCTCGTGCTTTGGGTGATGGTTCGCTGAACTCCAGGCCCGAAACCAAAAACCGCACCACATTTATGCAAGCAGCCAGCCAACCCTGAAAATCAATAAGCTTATAAACTAAGTCCAAAGCTGGTGCATGCAACCAGTTGAGTGACAACCATGTGGCAGTTGGTAGTGGGGTTGGGCCTAATCCAGCAGCTGAGCTTTGCCATCGTGGTGGAGCGCAACATGTTTGCCTACTACAAGGTTCCGGCATCCCAGTTAATCTATTCCCAAGACTTGGATCAGGATTCCGACACTACATCCCAGGAAATCAATAATCTGGCCGGAGGACAAATCAGCAATCTCTATTATGTGCTGCAGTGTCCACCAAAGCTGGACGACGGCATTCCCAAGCCGCGTGACATGCAAACCTGCAGTGTGGTGGACCAGTACAGGGGCATGTGGAAGAAGAAGAAAACGAAGCCCAAGAAGCTATATCACATGGTTCCATTCCGGATAGTATTAACACCACTAGGACCCCCAGCCAAGAGACGCAGTCTCAATCGGCGCAAGCGCCAGCACAAGAGTCACAAACATCCAGATACTAAGTTTTCAGAGGATCAGGCTGCATCACTATTGAACGAACAGAAGGTGTCTAGCCCGCTTCAGTTCCTGGGACGTCCACACAAACATCAGAAACTTCTCAAACTTTCTGCGGATCATCGCAAGTTCAAAAGAGGCAGTAGCTCCAAGGGTCACCAGCATATGTACCATCGCGATGAATCTTACAATGATCATATCTTCTACGACGAGCTGCAGGACGACGGAGAGATCCACAAGTCGGGCAAAGAAAAATCTAATTAAATGTAAATTTATTGTGTTTAATTAGGGAGAGCTTCTCAGTGAACGGAATTAAGTTTTAAATGGGTTAAAGTATTATTGAAACCCCTTTTATGAGGGAGGCAGACGATGTACTTCCTGTAAGAATACTGGGAATAATAATGTTATTTTGAACAACAATTTTCCTGAAAAACGCTTTCTACTGAAAATCAAATAAACAAATAATAATTTATAATAATCAATTAACCTTCCACTTCTGTGTAACGAAATATTTTGAAAAGCTTTTATACCATAAGTCCAAATTTTTCCTGTCTTTATACCCGATTTCCACCCCTCGTACTATCTTAAAGATAAGCTTTGCTAAGACCTCGAACGAACGTCAAAATGAGGTAGAAACATATCATCGTAGGCAACATTCTCAAAGACCTTGTTGAGCAGGACAGTGAAACCAGTGGTGAAAGGATTTGATCATCCCAGGCTGCAACTCATTCCAGACCTCCACCCACTTGTCGTTTAACACCTGATTCATTAAAATAGCCACATCCGAGTTTTCCTTGTACAGGTCATCCAACCTAACAATCCAGCTAAAAGTTGGATGGGTTACTTAAGAAGTTCTGCCTGGTCACCTGTTACTTACCGATCCAAGGCCACGCTAGGTACCAGATTGTAAATCTTTAAATAGCGCTTGCCATTCCTGTACTCCACTAAAGCCTTGATAGTCAGGGTGATGCGGAAGTTCTGAAAGTCGGAAGTCAACCGACCGGTGGTGTTGAAGGCGAAGAGCATAACCCTGCCCTCCATATGGTAGGAAGCTTCGTGCAGGAGTCTTGGTAAACGGGCCTTAAGCACAATTTGCTTCTGGTTGGGCTCATACAGAAATCCTTCCACGTGAGTAACTGTGGCGTTATTAAAGCCCTTATTTACATTGTCCAGTGTGCGAAAGTTGATCCAGATGGGCCCGCGATGTGGTGATTCCAGAATGATGGACTCCGAAAAATTGTAGGCATCCAGCGGAGGAAGTCCAATCTCCGGAATTCCTTTTGGATATAGCTTGATTAGCGCATTGATACTTCTAACCAGACACGTGGAGTCTCCGAAATTGCATTTTTCAACGTCTTCAGCTGGAAATGTTGGGCTCAGTAAGAACGAGATCTACTTTGACCTGAAAGCCTACGCACGTAAGCCTGCTCCCGAGGTTATAGCTGGGATACAGCAACACAACCAAATCACCGTATACAGCTTGCTCATTACGTTGGCGTAATTCAACTGACTATAAAACAATAAACGCTTCGGTCACGAAACAATTAATCCAACTCAAACAGTTAGAACCTGCTCCAATCGAAGCTTTTCAACTATCAACAATAACACATATAATGCAAATCAATGCAACCGGTTTGCGAGCATTATTCATCTTTGTCCTTCGATGTCTCCAATAAAACTGGAATGCAATAACTTAAACCACCTTTAATCATTTACTTCAGACTCTTTGGGAACCGGTAAGAACATATCATCGTAGGAGACCTTCTGAAAGATGTCCTCGAAAATGTCGCGAAAAACACTAGCGAATATTTTCAGATTTGTGGGCTCTAGCTCGTTCCAAAACTCTACCCAGTGCAGATTGAACACTTGGTTTATGGCTATCGTTAAATCCGTATTGGATTCGAAAAAGTTGTCCAGCCAGAATACCCAACTGTAAGACAATATTTAGTTAAACTAAACCATGTTATAGTCAATCACAACTCACCGATCCATATTCACAAAAGGACTTAGTTCGTAGATCTTCAAATAACGCTTATTATTCCGATACTCCATGATAACTTTTAGTTTAAGGACGAAGCGAAAGTTTTGGAAGTCTGAAAAGGACTCCCCTGTAGAATTCAGCTGCACAATCCACACTCTTCCTTCAGAGAAATAACTACCCTTGTGAATCAGACTGGGTATCCGGCCGTGTATTTCTATCAGGCTGGAGGTGGGATTCTCATCGAACCCATTCACCTTTGTAATCGTCGTGTTCTCAAAGCCATAGTTCACCTGATTGAACAGATCAAATTGCAGCCAGAAAGCGCCTACCTTTTCGTCGTTCCAGAACTTGGAGTTTCTGATGTCGACCACGTCGATGGGTTTCAGGCCCAACGCTGGAATGCCCCTTGGAAACTTCTTAATCACGGCATTCATCGAATCTACAATGCACTGAGATTCTCCAAAGTGGCACTTTTTAATTTCCTTCGCTGCGGTTTGAAAACGGATGGAAAAGTTAGTTATTTGCTGAGCTTCGGACTCCGAAGCCTGAACTTTGTTACCTACGTAGCATCTGGCCCTGCATCGATCCTATGATCTGCAGGAACAGCAGAACGGTTATTACATCACGCATTTTAATATTGTTTGTGCTGCCAGCACTCTAAGTGCACTTCTAGTGCCTTCAGCAGTCGATTTCGCTTTGACATCAACTAACTTAGTTAGGAGCATTGCTGCATCTAAAACCGGTTGAAAGCTCTACTTGTTTTATTAGCATTTTTAACTGGAAATAATTGAAAATCGTCAATGAAAACCTAATTTTATACAGTGTAATATTTCATGATTATGTAATAATAATTAACACTTTTATTTTTTTAAAAGTTGTTAAAGGTCGATAGTTAAATTTATCGCACAGCCAACGAAGCTCTTATTATAAACCACATCGATGAGTTTCAAAGGAATGGGGGTAAGCACTCTTTATTTCTTAGTTAATAATTCAATTACATTAGTGGCACCCTTTAAAAATGGGCCACATCTAAGGAATATCGGATTCGACAAATATAATAATGAAAATGTTTTAAAGAAAATTTTCTTATATAGATTTATTTTAGATTAGGCTTCTTAAATAAACTTACAATTTAGAAAAATAATGACTTTCATAATTCACTTGCAGTTTTATAAGGCCAACAAACCTCGCAGGAATGCGCATAAATCGAGAACCAGTTTAGCTTTCATAGCATATACATTTTCCCCCTTACTGTTTTACTGATTACCTGTGGTGTATATACGATCACTACAAATTAGATGAGCTTAGCATTAGTTCCAGGGAAAAATTTAATATCCTACTTTATTTTTACTAATAAGTATGTAAACTCTACTGGGCTTAATTATGTGTTGAGTCTTCGTCGGCTAGGAACAGATCATCGTAAGGTATAGTTTCGAAAAGATCCTCGAAAAGACTTAGGAAGACAGTTTCGAACAGCTTCAGAATACCCGGCTCAAGTTCGTTCCAAAACTCCACCCAATTTCGATTAAACAAATTGTTAATTGCTATAGTCAGATCTTCATTGTCAGGAAAGAAGTTGTCCAGCCACATTATCCACCTTTTGAAAGAACACAGAAAATATATCATAGGAATTAGTCATAAGGCCGTAAAGCTCTTAATAACGATGATATCCGGTTATCAAATCATTACATTCCCAACAAACCAATATTATTGATTGAAATATAAGAAAGTTGGCTTATAAAAAAAATATATTTATACTCACCGATCTAGCCTTATATTCGGGACCAGCTCATAGATCTTTAGATATCGCTTGTTGTTCCTGTACTCGATGCGCACTTTTAACGAAAGATCGAAACGGAAATTGAGAAAATCCGACTCGGAGGTTCCTTGGGAGTTTATGTCCACGAACCACAACATCCGACCTTTTGCCAAATAGTCACCCTTATAGACCAAACGCGGAATCTTGCCGTGAATTTCAATCTTGGTGGAAGTGGGATCTTTGTCGAATCCAAGGATCTCCGTGATGGTGGTGTTCTCGAAGCCATAATTAATCTGGTTAATTAGGTTAAAAAATACCAGGCACCTCCAACCTGGGAATCGTTGACCAACAGCCAGTCCCTTACAGGCAGCACATTGAATGGTTTTAGATTGACCTCGGGTATGCCCTTTGGGTAGTTCCTCAGCACGGCATTTGCCGACTCCACCAAGCACTTTCCGTCACCATAATGGCATTTCTTCACCTTGGCAGCTATGGAGGGAAATACATATTAGCTAACCGAATGTTACGAGGATGTCAAAAGGACACCTACGCAATTTCTGACACTGAAGTCCAACGAATAGCTGAGTGCTGATTAACACGTAGGCCAGGAAACGCATTTCACAGCGGAATAAATGCTAATCCTCTACAGATCACGCTAAAGCTCTCAGTTGACCGATGCACTTGCATAGCCGATGGCAACTACTCCGTGATCAAAACCAATTTGTTGTTATGGCGGAACATTTATAAGGAAATCTAAACAGCACCGATTATCATAACAAGTTGTCTAAGAGCATACATACATACTATATAGTCACTGGAAAAATTTTATAGTTATCTTAAAAAAGCAAGACAAGATATTTATTAACTGAGTATATACATAATAAAGTAGGAGTAAAATACTGAAATATATTTATTACGCTTAAGAGTACTTCGATAAACTATAAATTGTTGATTTTTCTCAGTGCTTTGACAAAATAATTTACTGCTTTATATTAGCACTGCTAAATCGACCTACCCGTTTCAAAATGCTAAGCTGAAAAGCTTCTAGTTTTTAAGCTTTCAACACACAAGAATTTCTTTTTTATATTTCATCTAATAAGCCAAATAATACGCTATGTCAAACTAAGGAAGAAACCACTCTTTATATGGAAGAGCGCTAAAAATTTTGTTAAATTTATCAATTAAGATTAGACGCATGAATTCCGTTACTTCCGGTTCGATATCCACCCAATACTCCTGCCAGTGCTTGTTCAGCCATTCGTTAGCGATAATGGTAAGATCTGTATTGCTTATAAAAAGATCTTCCAGCTCTTGAATCCAGCTGTAAAATTAAATATGCATTAATTAACATAAACTTTTAAGAAATAAATTGCACATTTACCGATCCATTTCTATGTTTAGACTTAGTTTGTAGATTTGGACATATCCCTTATCGTCAGCTGTTAAAGAGAATTTAGTGATAAACCGAAGATTCTGAAAATCTGAATTAGCTCGACCAGTTGCATTGATTTTTAAGGTGAGAAATTTCGAAATGAAATTAAAACGAAGCGTAGACCTAACGCTCGGTACTCCACCATGTATCTCCACCTGCGACCGCCTAGGATCTGGGTCGACACCCTGAATCCTGGTAATGTAGGTGTTTTCGTAACCATACAGCCATTGATCACAAATTCCCCAGTCATGCCAGAAGGGTAGCTTCCGATTCCCCCGCACAAGCTTATAGGGGGAAACTGTAAAAACATCCTGTGGATCCAAATTCATAGCCGGGAGTCCTGTTTTCCCATAACGCCGCAACACCGCGTTGCTGCTGCGCACTAGACATTTATTGTCTTTGTAATGGCACTTCTCTATTTCAGGAGCTGAATAAAAGGTCAAGTTAGTGGTTTTCGCTTAAATTTTAGTATCTGAAAATATTACGTAATTGATTGGCTGCTACCAGGTGAGCGAATAGAACGAGACATGCTAGTGTCAATTGCATTGTTCCTACTGCCACACGCTTGAAGTCAAACGATTATTTTTATAGTTGGGGAGCTTTAACCGGTTAATAAAGCGCTTTCTAGCTTCTAAATCAGAATCCTTTGCCATAGCTTGAGAACTTCGCTTTAATTCAAATGAATTGAGGGAAACTAACAGTGCACAGATTTAACTTGAACAAAACATAAATTAAAATGTAACCTATAAAAATTAGTCATCTAGTTCCTATAGAAATCATCATAGGACAACTTGTCAGCCACTCGCTTAAGGATCGACTCAACCAGTTGATCCACAGCTGAGGTGATACCCTTGCGAAGAGTATGCCAAATATCCAGCCACTTGGCATTGGCAACATCGTTCATGGCATCGCTTAACTCAGGGTTATTGAATAGATTTTTAAAATTCAGATGCATGCTGATGAAAAAGAGTCTTAGAAATAAAGTAAAAGTTAAGTAACCAAGAAATTACCCCTGCACATCCAGTAAGCACTTGACCTTGGCGATCTCAACATATCGTTTGCCGTCCTCGCGAAATTGCTCCATAGCTCTCACTTTGCAGCGAAATCGACATTCCTTGATCTCCACTTGGGCCTGACCTTTTCCTTGAATAGGCATCGAAAGCAGACTACCATGCATCTCGTAAAAGCCTTCTAATTTCAGCAATGGAATCCAGCCACCAATCTCCAGAACTCGCGGCAGCTCTGCTTCGAATCCTTTTGCCTCCGCCACTGTAGAGTCCGCAAATCCCCTAACAGTCAAGTTATGGAATCTCAGATCTAATGTTGCTGAGCCATCCGGTTCTATCCGGCTAACGATTACATTCTCGAAACCAATAGAATCGAGTGCATCCAATCCAATGGAGGCCAGACCCTTGGGATGCAATCGTAGAATACGGGTGACGGTTTCCGCTATGCATGTGGAATCGCCAGCCTCACATTTCTCAATATCAGGAGCTACAGGTTGACTAAGTGAATTAGGATCCTAGGAATATCCTTTCACTTACGCAGCTGACCCGTAACGAGCGCCACCCACAGATAGCAAAAAAATAATGTTAACCTCATTTCGGTTTAGTGGCTGCTAATTAATGGATGAGCTTGGGACTAACTATTCGCTTTTATAGTCCATTAAGCAGCAGCTAATGCCCTGTTACATGCATATGCAAATCGGATAATAGACAGGTGAATGAATACCTCAATAGATGTCGGTGCCCACGCCCACACCTCACACCTAACACTTTGTGTATTGAACGAATTAGTGATTACCTCATTAACCGTTTGGGGCTATAATTTTCACTTTCAGTCACCTAGTCGGTCATTAAACTAGCGGTTGTAGGTAACATTACGTGTTAGATATACATACATTGTACCTATTGACGTAAAACCGTGAAATTAATTTAATACTAAATAAAGACAACCATGAAATATTTTCCTTAATATAATACAAATCTTTATTCATAGCAATTTTGTACACAACAATTTTTAAAATATTTTTATGCAGCTAGCTAGGAGATGATGGACTCCAGTGGACCTTTAGTTTCCATTAAAAAGTGCAGCTTTAAAAAAGGAGTTCTTAGGTTAAACAGTACAAAATAAATACAAAGTACAAAGTTAAATTTTTAAAAACATTTGATAAATAATTACTTTCACACGATTCAATATATAGAGACACAAAATGATATTATTTTACAGGCAACTTTACACACGATTAGACAATTGATGTGGATCGATTTACGCTCAGTTAATTTCACAGCCCTATTATTAATAGACTTTATAACTATTTGCTTTAACTAAAAGTGCTTTCGATTTGATTAGATAATTTCGACAATGTCTTGGATTTTTGTTTTTTGTCTCTCTGCGCTTTTTAGTAAGTAGTGTTCATTAACCATTTTTGGTATGCATTCAAATTAGAATTTAGTTATTGTGTTACACTGATCCCAAGCCCTCTCGGAGGACCTCTTAAGAAAGAATACCCGAAGCAACAACGGTCGCCAATTCCATCCCCGCAAGCCGGGACAAGCCGGACTTTTGACCTAGCACTGGATGAGTTTGCCACATTGGGTCCGCTGTTGAGTGATTTGTTACGGCGGCGGCATTCACGGAGCCAATAAGAACGCCACCGCTAGCTGAGGACGACATGTTGACCCCCAGTTCCGTTCAGATTGCTGCTGGGGCAGCCAAGTTCGTTATTATTGCTGTTGGTGAAACAAACCTCCTCACTGCCATCGGAATCAGTGCAGCACAGTAATGGCTACGCATCCTCACCTTCCAAGCCCTCCGTCTCCTGTTCGGAGCTCGTGGCAATCCTGGAAGTAAAATGATTGGGAAAAGGTTATAAATGATTGATGGTTGATGCCGAGTATGTGTATATGAGGCTGGTTTGAGTGAGAGTCTCTCGTAAATGCACGATTAAATCAAAAATCAAAATTACAGAAATTATTATGCAAGAATTGGTATTGATTCTAAATGAAGAATATATAAAGAAATACGTTTAAATAGTTTTATTCATATGCGATTAATAAATAGTTATTTAATTAAATTTCAAATGGTAATTATATACAATCCATTATTAGTTATAACAGACTTATACAAACTTTTATACAAAGTTACAATATTTAAATAAAAGGAAAAACTAACACAACTGTGACTTTTTTGATAAATATAAATACTTACGTATATAATATAAATAGTTGTCTGCTAGATTACTAACTATCGAAAGCCTTAAAACGTTCAAATGGCTACATTTTCTAATGCGATTTGATAATATGTATGATAACAAAAAGCTTTAAGTAAGCTGTAACTAAACATAACCATATCACCATATGGTCCAATATTACCATATAAATAATAAATTTATAATTTGTAATGATTAAATGTTTTAGTTAGATAAAGGAACTGAAACTACTTTAATTAAATCGTAGATATTATTTATAAAACTAAAAAATATAAAAACCTTAAAAGCTTTATGATTGATTTATACTATTTTCTTCATTCTAAACAAAAATTAACAATAAAAATAATTATTTCAATTTCAGAGAAAAATACATACATTTTAATTTTGAATAGTTTAAGAGTAATAATAATATTTTTATTCTAGAAATATTCTCCCACATTACCCCTTAACAAACGTTAATCAACAAAACATATAATGTTAGCCAAAAACATACAAACGCATCGTGAAATTCCAAAACACACTTAAATTCACACGTAAACAAACATTTTTGAAAGCAAACAAAGAAAAAGTAAAAAAAAACACCAGCAAACACGAAAACGAAATTTGTATATTTATTATTGTCTGAAAAAGAGAGTGGAAACTTTTGTGAAATTCGTTTATTTCTAGAGTTAATAAATAAGTCTACTAATATACATAAAAAATCTAAAAAGTACATAATGATTTATACAAAGCTTCTAATATCAACAAAATGTTTTCAAAAGAGTGGTACGTACAATTCGTCTAATAAATAAACTAAGATAAATCATCTAAAGGGAAAATACTTAGAGTGCACGATCTAAGGACCATAAATTCTTTACAAAATTTGCATAAAATAGAAGTGAATTTCAAATTTTACAATCGAGTTAAAAGCTGAGTTAAAATTTGAAGTAAAACTATCTTAATTGGCTTCGTTGGGTGAGATTCTGATTTGGATTCTGAATGGAGTTTCTTGCGATTCCATTATCGTTAAGAGTCAGCTCACTATATATACATTATAAGCAGGATCCAATCCAGAGTTGATGTGGTAGTAGTAGTTCACGTTGTTCGGGGCCCCAAGCAAAGAGAAAAAATCAGTTTTGACCAGCACATTTTAGGGCGCGGCCCATTTTGGCCATATTAAAAGTCAAGTGAACAAAAATGGATTTTTATTTTGGTAGCCTCATAAATATTTCAATGGTCATGGCACGCGTTCTATAATCGATCGAAATTTGGCCAATTCAATTAGCTTCGATTTCGTTTTGCCTTGCCTTATGTTGCATTGAAATTTTGCATATTATGCGCAATTCTTAAGAAATCAATTTTGAATAGATTCGTTTCAAAAAGACATTTCAATTTGTTTGTATCGATGCCAAAAAATCCATTTCCACATAAAAATAAAGTTCAATATTGTGATCGTTGTGTGTGTGTGCGTTTAGTTGGGTTCGTGTTTAAATTTGTTTTTGCGTTTGTCAATTTAGTTGGTTGGTTTTGGTTTTAGATTTGTTTTTGTCGATTTGTGTATTTGTTTCGTACGTTTCAATTAGCCACAAATGAATGGGAAACGGGAAACATCAATCAATCCAGTGGTGTAGTAGACACCGAGTATAAGAGTAGTTTTGTATGGTGTATTGGATAGTACGTATATAGAGGGATAGTAGTGAAACACACAGACACATACAGAGAGTACAGGTTTTCCAAGTACATATAATAAAAGAAAAATGACATGATACAGAATTATTTGATAATTAGTTACACTTTTTGTATTACTTTTGAAATAATTTAGTGGGTTTCAGATGATAGATGAACCACGCCCAAAGTGCTTTTAGTCCATTGCCATAAAAAAAAACACACTTAAAATAAACTTAAATGTCTTGTAACTAACTCAAAAAAGACTTAAATGCTAAAAAATAAAAAATAAAGCAATATTTTAATTGATTTATAATTGATTTATTTCGTTTTTTATTTCGTAGTAAGTCCTGTTTATTCCGATTATCTTCCATTTGCTTGGCACTTATGGCCAAATACCAATTACCAGTAAATTGAAAAACTTTCTAGGAATACTTAGTGATAAATGCAACTTTATTTAACATGCTAAGCGTCAAAGCCTTATGAGTACATAATACCCATTGCTCGATATAGCAATCAGTGTAGACTTACCAAAGTCACGCTTACTATCTATAGGATCCCATCGTTGATGGGTAAATGCTTTTTATATACAAACGTAGTTCCCCTAAAGACATGCCTTACAAATTCTAAGGGTTGCGTAGAGCCCTAATAGGTACTTGTTAGTAGTGTTAAGCGTGTGATTTAGTGTTAATATCACAAGGGTGTGTGTGGGGGAGTCTGGCCTGAATGAGTCACTGGGATGATTCAATTAGGCACTTTCTCCGAGACGGTATTGAGACCTTTCACCGTGTTAGTAGCTGATTCGCCTACAACTAAGGTTACATCACTGTGAAATATTGAGAGAAGAGAGCATAGCAGATACGATTTGGGTGTTTAGTTTCGGTTCAGAGATAGTAACCAAATGTAGATTACTATAGATACAGATAAGAGTATACAAATGGATAAAGGTTAAGAACAAATTAAAAGTAGAAAGTCCAATTTGGTTGAAGAACAGTGCAGGTAGAAACTTAATCACAAGCTAGAGGTTAGTATGGAAGAAGCTACTAAAGAGGGATTTGCAGATCGAGAGAGTTTGTGCAATTGAGTGTGTTGTGAAAGATGATGATATAGTTGGGTGAATAAAAACTTGTACATACCTGGCATACGTCGAGTTTGCGTTCTTTATCGAAAAGCTGTTCTGGCTTGGCAACACGAAGCGCTGCACCCACTGTAAACAGAGAATACCTTGAGTACCAGTAGATGAAGTAGACATAAGTCTCCCAAAGCCCCCAAGAACCATATGTGGTCAGTCACGTAATTTGATAAAGTCAGCCCAATTAATGGCGATATCTGTGATGCTTTAAAATGTGTCAAAACGTTCGCCTAATTTGTGATTTGCTAAGCCCTCTTGATAAGTGGCCAAACTAGTGTGGCCCACATACTCACCCGACTGTTCATTAGACGCTGATTGCCCATGCAGGCAGCCATGTGTATCACAAGGTATAGATTAAACAGTATATACAGAATGGCAAATATACCTGCAATTAGCAAGGAAGAAGGAAAACTATTAAGATCAGTCCTTGAAAATAACAACTATTTACTACTCACAGACTAGGGCCAAAAGACCTCCTTTAATTTCCATGTTTTCCACTTGCACCACCACAAAGTACAAATTAACACCAATCACAACTATGGTAAGCAGTATGGAAACAATTTTGTTGCCTCTGTGAATACCAAAAAAATTTAAAAACTGCTAAAATATCAAAAGCTATTATAGCACTCACAGTCCATTGACAAACTCGCCCATAATGGCGGCACATGAGGTGAATGCGATGGTGGGTATGGCAGCGAATGGCAACTGGAGCGACATCACAGCATTCAGGATGTCATTCATGCTGGTCAGATCTTCCATCTTGCTAAACATTGCCAGGCAGAAGGTGGGAATAATGGCAATACAACGCGTGACCAGCACGCGACACCAACGCGGCCACTGCAGATTAAGAAATCCTTCCATTGAGAACTGGCCGGCATAGGTTCCTGTCATGGTGGAGCTTTGACCCGCCGCCAGAATACCAACGCCCCAAATATACATGGCCACAGCTCCGAAAGTGCAACCAAGAAACAATCCGCCCTTGTACAAATCCGCATCGATGATGGCAGTTCCATTTACATTGTCCGTAAATGACGTGACGGCATCCTCGTACATTGACTTGTTTTTACAGACACTAACCTAGAGAGTCACAAATAGTTAACAATTAATATTGGTATTCATTATTATCCTTAGATCTTCTACTTACCACGTCGTTGTTTGTCTTGCCATACATGCCATGGGCAAACACAGCCACCACAAACAGATTGATGATGAAGGAAACAAACAAAGCTACCGACGCCTCTATGAAAAAGTAGAAATTCGCCTCGCTTACTTTCTTTGGCTGGCGACGATCTATATCGCGGGACTGTTAAAAGAATCTTTGTTAATGATAAAAATGTCACAAAAATGATTTTCGCTATTTTACCTTAACCAGTGCAGAATGGAGGTAGAGATTGTGGGGCATGATGACAGCACCTACTACGCCCACCGCTTGCAGCAACACGTTAGAATTGCAGTTAGAGCACCAGGGCACAAACATCCCCTCGAGAACTTCTCCCTGGTTGGGGGCCGACACAATATACTAAAAAAACAAACAAGTTTATTAGATTAAGCAGTTATTTCTAGTTTTCAACTGATAATACGAACAAAACAAAAACCACTTGTGGAGTTTTTTTATTTTCTTATTTCTCTCATTTGCTAAAAAAAAATCCCCTGTAGAGCTACATATAGACATTTGTAATATTTTTCCAAAAACCCCCAATGGATATTTGTAAAATTCTGCATTGTATAATTGAAATGATAAGGTCTGCTATTATATATCCCATCTGGAATTGTTTGTCATTTCCGGCAGCATCATGTGCCTATCCAGCGACAGATGAAGTACCAGTCACCCCAAGCCCAAAACCCCTGGAAATGTGTAAATGCAGCTTATCTAATCATCTGGGTCTCCTACTGGGGCAGACAGCTCAAGTACAATTGTTTATTATATGGCCGGTGTACATGCCGCTGTCGTAAATCTAAGAGTAAATAAATTGTTTTTCTTAAAGGCTTCCTTTGGCAAATGAAAAAACGCCCACCAAATGAAAATTTGTTATTTACAGCACCTTCACGAGGAGTATAATCGCTTCTGATGAATATTTTTCATTTCACAAGTCACAATTGTTTAAACAAATTATATTTGCACTCACGTCTGACAGTTCATTCTCTTGCCCATTAAAATATTTTAAAGCTAGGGGAACTTTTCGCACATTTTGGAGATTACTTTGAATAATAGACACGCTACTTTAATTTGGGAACTTTTTGTTTTATCCGATTTTAACTTACCTCATATCCAAATGAGAGAGCCATAATGGTAATGAGCGTGCCGAATAAAAATTCGAGCTTGCGAAGACCGTATTTGTCCAGAAACAGGAACGTGAACGTGTCGACAATTGTGATTAACACGCCGCCCCACAAAGGCACTCTACAAATCATGGGGAAGTACCGAATGAGTACTCGGATGTCAATATTATGACCAATATATATACTTACACTTTATTGGACAGCAGGTATATGGCAATGGCTGTGCCTATGACCTCCTGCATGTCGGAACCAATAATGGCTATCTCTATCATTATCCAAAGGATCCAACGCGGAAACCGCTTGTACTGTCTGTAGCACATTTCGGCCAGATGAAGGCCGGTTACCACACCCAGTCTGCAACGGAGATCATAGACAGTTTGATTTCAATTTCTTTGGGAGAACTCGGGGGCCCACTCACCTTGCAGCCAAGCGTTGCATAAGCAATCCCAAGACAGTGGCCCACAGTAAGACCCACAAAATCTTGTACTTGGCCGCTGCACCAGACTGCATATCAGATTCGATGTTACCGGGATCCAGATACGCAATGGACATAAGAAAACCGGGTCCCGTGAAGGCCCACAGCTTGCGAAAGCTGAAACCCACCTTTAGATTATAAAATAATTTTATAAGTTTGTCTAGTTTGTATTATAATAGTTAGACTCACATTTGTGCTATCATCATCGGGTATGAGGACCTTCTCATCGCTGAAGTAAGCCTGTTTGGCGGCGGGTTTTAGATAGGTTGTCTCGTTAAGAATCTGCTGGTGGTGTAAGTGGTTGCTCCGCTGACTGCCTCCGGCTGACCCACTAGTGGATTCGCCTGGTCCATCTCCACCGGCGCCCTGCTCGTGGTAGGCCTCATTCGAAGACATGCTGGAAAAGCGAAGTGCAATTAAAATTTGAACTTACACATGCTCCTATTTCTGTCCACTGCCCGTCACCGACTATTCTAATCTGTATTTACTCAATGATTGTTTCACCTGACATCAGCTTATAATTCCCACAATTTCCATTTAATTGAGCATCTGCATGTGATTCCAACTCAATTAGCATTATCATAACGCAAACAACAAACAAATGAATTTCGCGCTATATTAGCCAGAGATTTCTGCACCATATAACTTTATCGGAATCATATATTATATATTGTATTTAGACTATTTCATCATAATCTAGACCTAAGCCAAAGTAACACGTTTTAGTTTTTTCCCCGAAACGTGCGGGGCAAAAAAATAAATAAATAACACAAGTACATAGTTTAAGAAGCTTAAGTCGGCAGGAACTGATAACACAACTATAATACTACATTAACTAATTCGAGCGGTTTATGAGGAAATAAAACCGAGCTTTATGATTCATACGGTCCAGTAATTGAAATTCCTTTATGCAATTTACCACTGCGAATTTCCAGATATTTGCTAATTTATTTTACGAACGTATGATATGGCTTGTTAAAAACAAGACTACTGAACAGAAATTCAAGACCATTGACCCAGCGTATATCGTTATTAATTTTTGGACTCTGTTTATTTGATAAAAAGCGATTACAAGTGCATTTTTAATGGGATGCCTCTGGGCAGGCAAGATCTCTTCAAAACATATTGTTTAATAAAGCGCCAAGTGGCTCACCTTGACAAACGCTACTGCCCCACTGATGGATGCTACATATACATATATCTGCTATAAGGCTTTCCACATCGCTTCATTGATGATGACGAACGGAACGGAGCACAACAAAGACAAAGAGCTCGAGAGCATCGGGCGATGTCTACTTATATGTGGCATTTAATCGGGTGTATATTGGTATATAGTATATACAGCAAGCGAGTTGGCCAAATCAAGGCGCCATTAATGGAGCTTTAATCGATTGGTGCAACGTTTTTAAGGCAAAGTGTTACAGAAAGTGTCTCTAGTTCATTGGAATACTTATTATACAAATGCATATGTACATACGTATGTCGCAGCATGCTCTATTTACCCAGTTGTACGGCCATACCCCCACGCCCCCAAAACGGAACCCAAGCTGATAACCGTATAATCAGCTTGTAGCTACGTGTTCCTTAACCATTTCAATACCAAATCAGTCATCGTAAATTTTGATAATTGTTAACCCAAAATAATAACAACCAATTTTAGCGGCTATTTCCAATTCAATGTCCAAATTAAATGTCGGCTTTTCCATTTTTAGCGTTGACAAAATATAATTTCGAGAAAATATTATATATTTTAAACTGCGTACCATTTTGCGCAGTCAGTCGCACATAAACAATTTAATTTTTAGCAAGCAAAGCAAACACTTGACAACAAAAAACGAAAATATTTCAGGCAAGATAACAGTTATTCTAAAATATGTAGAAGAGCAATACTTAGTCCACTTATCAGCAAAACAGATTGTCAAATCGTTTGTTTTCTAAAACTGTAATCGTATGTATGTATGTTTACTTGGTTTTTTTTTTAAATCTTTGGCCATAAAAAAAATAAACATCGGGAAAACAAATTGCTGGAGGGGATTAAAATGTGCCAAACGTTGTCAACAAACAATTGTTTTTTACGGTTATTTACAGTTAAGAACTATACAACTCTCTTTGCCGGTTGTGAAGTGTGGGGGGAAGGATGAAGGAAGGGGCAACGAGAGCACCACGTTTTGTTATTAGCACACACCTGCGTGCGCACCTACAAACACATATAAACACTCACAAACACACACCAGTAAAAACACGAAATATTGATGGAGATGTAAATTATTGGATAACTTAGGTTAACCACTTCCTAATAATTATTTAGCTTACTTGCAGCTGTTTTAAGGCCGATGTTTAACTAAATTGAGCCCTCGCCTTTATTATATCATACACTAGGCACTTATTTACTACTTATAAATGCATTTTCTCGAGCTTTTCTCGCGGAGCAATTTACGAATTCTGTGACGTTGGACGGTCGAAACAAAAGCGATGAAGACGCAGTGAAAAAACAAACAGTTGATGAAGAAGCCGCCTCTTTGGGTGCCAATTGTTGACTTAGTTAACGACAATTGACGAGCGTGCAGGCAATTTGTGCTCCGCCCGTGAGCGCTTTGTTTATTAATTTTCCTGGCAATATTTGAGATTCTGCCACCAGCTGCTTTCTTTTGCACGCACACACTCACTCGTCGCTTACACACGCACTCTCTTTTAGTCTTCAGCCGATGTGGCAACCTGCGACCACTCTCTATTTGATTTATTTCTGCCAAAATCTGGCAACACCTCACATTGGTAATGGTGCTACACTATTACCTTATCGGCCAAACTGAAGTTTAAACTCTGAGCCCACGCGATCGAGTGACTATAGCATTTAGCGGTAGCCCCTATTTATTCGAAATACATACGTCTCTCTCGCGGTCTGATAGCATCGACAGAGAGACACAAAAAGAGCGAGTGGAAGAGTACTTTTTGTTTTGGTTCAGGGGGATTTTTTGATAATGCCTAAGGATTTCTTTGAGTGGTCAGAAAGACCGCCTAAGATTTAAAACTGACGTTTGAAATACCGGTTTTTTAAACGACCTCGCAAATGTTTCTTTCTCTATGTCTCTCTCTGTTATCATTAACCACAGGTTACCGTTAGCGTTAGTCAGATTTAGTGGGTGTGTTGGGAAATTATTAGTTATATGCCCATTTAACGAACAATCAGAATTTAATTTTCTCCACGTTGTTACCAACACGCACACTTTATCGTAATACCCACTCAAAATTTAAATTATAAATCAACTTTATCGGGTACTACTTTGATTTCGTCTGACACTTCTTCCGATTGCGATCCGTCGCCAATAATTGTGATAAATCTTATCATGTAGCCGCTTCTTTTAGCTTGTCGCTCAAATTTACAACTTGGGCATACTTTCTACTTATGTTCTTTACTGATTAATCAGCACAATGCAAAGTTCTCTTTCTTTGTCAAACCCACATGCATACATACATATGTACACATGTAGGCACCCTAACCATGATTCATTGCCATAACTGGGGTTCATGTAACTTTTTCTACATTTCCAGATTGCAATGCTCTCGACCAAGCGGATGATAAGAAATACGATCCATTCAAGAAAGGCCTTGACAGTCCTACCCCAAATTAGAGATGCCTTCGTGATGTTTCAGGCAAATGAAATTCCTTTTGTTCTTATCATATACAAATTTGTAGGTTCCCTATCTTGCCCAATAAATAAAAAAGAATTACACTGACTTTTAACTGTAAATATAAGGTATCTAGTTTCCGACCAAGAAACCTTCAAATCTCCAAACATACCAAGCCACCTGTTCTACTGTTTTTATGAGAATTAACCGGAATAAGACTTACCTGTAAATATTATTTTATAATTTAAGGCACCACAACGAAAAAGAAGCCTTTTTTTTGATTTAGTTAATAATTAACTTTATTATTTATGTATTTATCAAAAGAGCAGACTTTTTATTGTGACTGTCCTCAACATTAGATCTCACCTGACGAGGGAAACTCTCGTAGACTTTATACAATTTAAAAAGAGCAAAATGAATTACATTACTTGACACATTAAACTTCATAACTAACGTATAATATATGAAATGAGCGTTATAAAACTGGCTCACTAATTGCTTGGGTGAAACATAAATAGCTAGGCATATATTGTTTTAAAAATATATGTGTTAAATACAAAGAATGTAAAATTCAGTAAATGATATATAAAAATGGAATACCTCGATTGGTTAAAATGCTAGCATAACAAATTACATTAATAATTTCAAGTTCTAGCCATTCGTTGCACATAATTTGAGTGGTTAAAACGGGGAACGATGGATGGGAAGGGAATAGGGGTAATGGGATAGGTTAGTAGCGAATCGGTTTATAATCCAACATCAGTATTATCGTTTTCGTTAGTTTGTAAATACAATTTGATTTTGTTCTATCGTGAATTTCAATTGGAAGCCTTTAGGAATTTTGCCCCACCACCTGCACATAGTTGGCCGGGAAGAGTCCGTAGCGGTTCTTGCACAATCCCCGCCACCACCCATCGTCGATCTTCTCGATGTGAGTGATCACGTCATCGGGATCAAAGGATATCTCGTCGTCGTCCGCCGCCTGGTAGTCGTACAATGCAATGGCATGGATACCTGTATCTTCCAGGTAGTCGGCCAAATTGTCCGAGTTAGCGTAGATAGCCTCCTCGGAGGCTGTTGCACCGGCACTTGGTGCGACTGCCTCGGTCACGGTTCCATTCGTGGGCGGCAACGGTGAGGCTGCCTTAATCTCGGCTTGGTTTTGGTACAGCGGTTCCTCTTCCGCAACGGGCTCTGGTTCGGGTTCTGGGTGAGGGTCAGGCTGGACTTGGACCTGGGGCGTAGGTTCGTGCTCTGGAGATGGCGGCTCGCTTCTGGGAGGCGTTGCCACGGTTTCCACCTCAATCTGGGGCACAACATCCGGTGGCGGAGCTACAGCCTTAACCACTGGAGCTGGCTCTGCCTCAGGAGTGGGTGCAGCTGAAATTGTAGCTGCAGGAGCAGCAGCAACCACTAATGGAGTTTGAGGGGCTGCTGGCTCTTCCTTTGCTTCTACCTTAACAGGCTGAGCCTTGGGAATGAAGATGGGCTCCTTGCGTGCAGGTGGAGTCTCCGAAACGGGCGACTGCATCTGGTTGAATGCACTAATCGCATTGCCGATTCCTCCTGTGCGACCCGTCTGAATGGCCGCTCTGCTTCCCTTGGGTGGGGGTGTTTCCGTGGAGGTAAGTGGGGTATTCTCTGCTACCGTTTTCTTGGCGGCCTCCTCACGATCTCTCTTGTCCTTTGCTTCACGCAGACGCTTTTGTTCTTCTGCGCGCTTACGAGACTCCTCCTCAGAGTTCTTGGCAAGGTTCTCGAACTTGGCCCGCAAATTGGAGGGCTTAGCACCTTCGATCACTGGCTTAACCTTATGGTCCACCTGGCTGGCATGCTTCTGGGGGGCTTCAATGTGGTCCCATCCCACGGCTGACTTATCCTTTCGGTCCTCCTGAACACCAAACTTGCCGCCAAAACCTTTTGAGTAATCTGAAAAAAAAAAAAAAAAAAAAAAAAAAAAAAAAAAAAATATTTTTTTTTTTTTTTTTTTTTTTTTTTTATTTCTTAAAAAAAAAAAAAAAATAAAAAATTAATAATTTTTTTTGGCCTTTTGGTTTTTTTTTTATTATCATCCTAAAAAAAAAAGGAAAAAGGAAATTGAAATAAAAGGCAAATAACAAAAATCCCGTACAAAAATATATACTTATTAGTTCGTATACGCAGTAATTATTTTGTGAAATATTGAACCAAAATCTGCTTTTTGCAGAACATCGAATAATTTCAAATATTTTGATTTCTTGCTATTTAAGCATAAATTTGTTTTGAATTATAAAAGCTTTAAAATCGAGAAGTATGTATCAGTCCTGAATAAGTAACTTACCCTTCTGGGACTCGTGCTTCTCGACCTTCTCAATGTGATCCCAACCTACGGCCGATTTGTCCACTCGATCAGACTGCACTCCGAACTTGCCTCCAAAGCCAGTGGCATAGTCTTTCTGCGAGGCGTGTTTTTCAACCTTCTCAACGTGGTCCCAACCTACAGCAGACTTGTCCTTGCGATCCTCTTGCACACCAAACTTTCCTCCAAATCCATCGCTGTAGTCCTTCTGCGAGGCGTGCTTACCCACCTTGCCCTGGTAGTCATGGCCGACAGCGGACTTGTCCATGCGGTCCTTCTCCACACCAAATTTTCCGCCGTAACCGTATCCGGCGTTCTGATCTTTCAACAGCTGCTTCTTCTTGTCCAGATCGGCTTGCTCAGTCTCCTCACGTAGCTTATCCATGCTAAAAACAAGGGAACAATGAACTTAATTCTGAGAGTATTTAAAAAAAATTGGATGACTCACTCAATGGTGCCGGCGGTGCGTCCACTGCCGTCAATGGTCTTCGAACCCCATCGCTGCTCCTGCTCGCTGACATCGTTCACAAAGTCTGGATCCGTCTCCCAATCATCATCCTCTGCAGTGGTGGCACTAGTGGCCTGAATCTGGTGACCGGCGGTTGCCTTCCACATTCTGTTTACGGGTAACTGGCTACTCGCTTATCCTTATCTGTTGGGTAGATAAACACCATAACGAGTATGAGTGGTCGTTGCAGGTTTTCGGGGCTCCGCTTCCGATGGCCCAGATAACAAGTCACAAAACAACGAAGAAGGGAGGGGCCGATGCCGGATCGAGAACAAGACGCTTCTGGTTTCATTATATATATATATGTATATATACCTACCGCCCGGTGACTAACTGCAAGGGATTCTGCTGATCTGGTGCCGCTGAAGTTCGTTCTGCAAATTTCTGAGCGGAGGAAGGGGTTTAACAATTGATTCATAAAGACCAACAAAACAAACGGGAAACAATCGATGCAATCGATACTTTGTCTCGATACATTTTATAACATAGGTCTTAGTCGTTTTTGTAACAGAAATGTTAGGAAATTGCAGCGACTTCTCTCTTTTCCTCTGGCGCTGCTAAATTACATATATTCGATAAGTCGATAATTCGAATCATTAGGTGATATAACTTCGATCTTTTATCACAAGAAATAAAGCCTTACAAAAGACAAATGCTTTACACATAACTGGCGCCTAATTTTAGATTTGTGTACTTCAGAGAAAAACCCGAACTACAGTCTACTCGTTTATTTAATAGAAATAATTAAAATGTTTCTTTTAGAAAAACGCATTGCGTATAGTTTTTGGGGCCGCATTTAGTATAACAAATACATTCTTATTGGTTTTATTGGACTTTAACATTACTTAACAAACAGTTGTGCACATACTGTAAGCAGTTATCTATGTTACATATTTTCTAGAAGCCTAGACTATGAACCGTTACGATTGGAATAGCATGTAAGATACATATGTACAAAGGCTATAAAACCTTGAATAATTCTAATAATATTTTCCCAATGTCGTCACTATCATTGTGCAAATATCGAATTTTCGTCATCGTTGATGTCTCAACAGCTTCCCATGATGATGATTCATGCGATTTACGCCCGTAACTCTTTGAATTCTCAGGTGTTTTTAAGGCGTAGGAGATAAAAGCTTTCCAGTCAAGGCGGGATCTGCTGAAATTTCCAACAAATTTATCGCAAATACAGAGAGAACAAATAGTTACGGTATTTTTTTTTACTACATACAGAGAGAGCGCACAACTATTCGGCCCAACACCCCGATTTCAACTTGACTCGCTCTCAGAGATCCCAATCGCCGGCTTTTTACTTCCAACGGAGAGAGCCCCAATATAAAATCCGACCACGGAGCGCGAAAAGCTATAGTATTTTTACACATCGCTAGCTGTTCGCATCGCCAGACTTGTACGTTAAAAATCGAATATCATTGGTAAATTTAAAGAAATTCTTGTAGATAAAACATTTTGTTTACCCTCGCAGTGCCAGAAATCGCAAAGTCAAGTGCAAAAGCAATCAGAAAAGTGAAAAGAAAGAGTGTGCCAAGCAAACGTAGATTTTATATTTTTGGTGCCAATGGCATTTCTGTAGAATTTTGGGTGCGGTGCAAGAAGAACTCTCTAGAATCTTGCATGGGAGTAAGCGAGAAATGAAATATTTTTATTTACTTTAAAATTCTGTAGGAAATTCAAATTGAAAAGACGGGCGGAAAAAATACAAAATCAAAAAGCAAAAATGACATCATCAAAAGCCCCTCTCTTTGGTGTTTTCTCTCTCAGACGCGTGTGACTTTTGTTCATCTCCCACCAAATCTAAGTAAACTTTTCGTTTGCTTCCTCTTTTTTCTTACTTGATGATGAGAAACGGAATTCTTTAAAATACCGTCCATCGAAATGCCTCTCGTGTCTTATTTTCCTGCTTAATTTAGTAATTCAATCAACTTCAATTGCTCTGATGGATGCTTCAAACTACAGTAAATCTTGGGAATAAGCGCTATACGCCTTTACTGAGCATTACTCATCGGATGTGGCCACATTCCACCTTCCATAAAATGTAGTAGTGCACTTAAGGTCGGGTAATTATACTAGTATAGGTGTGTCATCAAGGTTTATTACCGACTAAATTGCTTGGAACAATTGTAAAACATTTTTGAATTTCAATTCAAGGTACAGTCAGTCACAGTCAGGGCTTCAAAAAGAAGTTATTAAAAGCTTTTGTTTATGAAGTTGTTCACACAAAGTCACGAGTTGTTCCACATTCATAGCTCTCTTTCTATACTTTTCCGTTGAAATTTATATTTATATATCTCTATTCAAGTCGTGCTCAAAGCTTCTACTTGACGTCACAAATCGTGTGAATCATTAGTGCTGTAAATTTCAAATGTATCACAAGTCATGTTAGTGTGATTTCTATTTATAGAACACTATCATCATCCAATACGACATGGTAAAGATGTACGAGGTGTGTTCAAAAAGTAAGGTGACTCTTCAAATTTCGCGAATTTCAAATTTTTCGATTATCGATTTTTTTGTTTTGTTATATTGGTACACTCTTCCCTAACATCTGTACCAAGTTTCAATGGAACATCCTCTTTGTTTGGTTGTGAGAGGCGTAAAGTTACAAGTTATTTTGCGAGCTCGGCGATTTTTGCTATCGAAAAATATGGATCAAAGGATTTGGATTTTTTGGCCAAAAACAACACCACAATAATGCCTCAGCCACCATATTCACCGGATTTGGCCCCATGTGACTTTTTCTTGTTCCCAAAACTGAAGATAATCGAAAAATTTGAAAAATTTGAAATTTGAAAAGTCACCTTACTTTTTGAACACACCTCGTATAACTTCTAAAAGGTTTCGATAATCGAAAAATTTGAAATTCGCGAAATTTGAAGAGTCACCTTACTTTTTGAACACACCTCGTATATATGTTGCATTTTCCAGTCCCCCAACTTCTACCAGAAAGTGTTTCAAATGGAACAAATGAATAATAATATATGGGTGTTTCCAAACACAGATGCGTGTACAAATATGTACATTCGAGGTCAAAATAATATTACTTGGAATTTCTTTCGCCTTAAATTGATTACAAAATGTTCGTTTATATTTATGTTTTCTATAAACAAATAATTGAACTAAAATATTTTTTTATCAATTATAAAGCTGAAACACCAGATTTCAAAATCTTTAAAGATAGATCATTAAATAAAAACTGCTATTATTTTGACTTTAGCTGTATATAAGAACCGGTCCCAACTTTGGCCAAAACATTTTTGTTTGTTTATAGCTTGACTGCAGAGGCGTAGTAGTTGTTTCTGTTTTTTTTCTTTGGTATGGCCTTTTCGTGGCGTCGCCACGTCAAGTCTTTTATAATGCTTTGTTTCAGCTGCCTTTTGTTGACTTTCTACTTTGGCGGCAGCATAGAAAGGCAAACATATTTTCCGAATGTTTTTTAAGGTACTAATTCGGGAACGATCAGAAAAATTTAATCAATTTATCATTAAGTCATTTGGCCCTATTGATTTTAGTTATTATGTGGGCTTACAGCGAATCCCTAGAGATAGTGTTCCACTTGACAACTGAAGTGGAGTGCTTAGCCCAAGAACGATTGGGGGAAAGACATTTCCCAGAAGCTTTCTCTGGGCCACAAAACAAGCCGTGCCCAATGTTTTCCAAAGCAGAACGCAATGAGCTCATCAGTTGTTTAAGGCCATTTCGTGTGGGTTTGGTCTAGTCTATCACGAAACGACCAGGCCAAGCCATTTGGTTATCAGACGCACCCGGTTTCGTAGTTCCACCTTTTCCAAAAGTGCCAACTTAAAACTGGAAACTTTCACTTTCTCCGTTAGTACGTTGAACTTGGCTGGGCCGCACTCGGAAACGAAAACTAGGAAAAACATCTGGGTAAATAAACTAGGGGAAAAAATCAATGGGAAAAGTGTTTTTAGCCCAGCGCCTGGCTGGCTGGCTGCGGGGCGTATGCGTAATGCGAGGCTTTTACGACTTTGATGATGTCATCAGGCAGGGCCTGAACTATAAGGCCGGGTTCATTAGCTTTGGGGGCTACATACATATTTTCTAGCTGACCTTGTTGGGGGTTAATTTTCTATCACGATTTCGGCCTACTAGTAATCGCAGAGCCATTATTCATTATGTTTTCTCACTTCCTACTTACAGATTTTCCACAACAACCAGACCAAGATGAGTTCCGCTGAGTACTACCCATTCAAGGTAAGTTTACAATGAATTGTATTTAGGAAATCTAAAACCAGATTCTGTCATAGATTCATCAAAGTCAATTAATTTCTTTGATTAAGGTCGTTAGTAAATCAGCACATCAAAGTAAGCTAATAAAAATATTGGAATTTAACCATGATTACGTATTCCCATTAGCTCAGTCTCATTAAAAGTGATAAGATAAGGTCTTTTAATAGATAAATTTGTATTTTTTTACAAATATTAAATGGTCAAAAATGAACATTAAGAACAAAATTTTTTTCCTTCAACCAGTTGCTAAGTAATTATCTATTATTAATTGCTCGTTAAGTGCCGTATACTAACTAGACAATTTTTGAAAAACAAGTACTGACTGATAGGAACAGAGACTGATAAGAGAGTTATATACTTGTATGAGTTTCTCAGATAACAGTCAAAACAAGTAAATAAAAAGAAAAATAGAATACAGAATTTGAATACCACCTTATCATGAAATAATTAAAAACATACCGCAAATAATAATAATGGGGAATATCCACATAGAGTGCACATACTATAGGGTAATATTGAGTCACCACAGTGGCACCCTTTTTGGGATTACGTGCTTTGCATTAAAATAGACCGACTTATTCACTCTTTTTACCCATTACTCATTGCATTTCATTTTTCAGTGCACACCCACCGTCTACCCCGCGGATCCCTTCGATCCCGTCGAGGATGCCGCCATTCTGCGCAAGGCGATGAAGGGTTTCGGCACCGACGAGAAGGCCATAATTGAGATCCTGGCCAGGCGTGGCATTGTCCAGCGTTTGGAGATCGCCGAGGCTTTCAAGACCTCGTACGGCAAGGACCTGATCTCGGACCTGAAGTCTGAGCTGGGCGGCAAGTTCGAGGATGTGATTCTGGCTCTGATGACGCCGCTGCCTCAGTTCTATGCCCAGGAGCTGCACGATGCCATCTCCGGACTGGGAACCGATGAGGAGGCCATCATCGAGATCCTCTGCACCCTGTCCAACTACGGTATTAAGACCATTGCCCAGTTCTATGAGCAGAGCTTTGGCAAGCCCTTGGAATCTGACCTGAAGGGAGACACCAGTGGCCATTTCAAGCGCCTGTGCGTTTCCCTGGTCCAGGGTAACCGTGATGAGAACCAGGGAGTCGATGAGGCAGCTGCCATCGCCGATGCCCAGGCTTTGCACGACGCCGGCGAGGGACAATGGGGCACCGATGAGTCCACCTTCAACTCCATCCTGATCACCCGCTCCTACCAGCAGCTGCGCCAGATCTTCCTGGAGTACGAGAACCTGTCGGGCAATGACATCGAGAAGGCCATCAAGAAGGAGTTTAGCGGCTCCGTGGAGAAGGGTTTCCTGGCCATCGGTGGGTTTCAAGATGGTTTACTTCGAATTCCTTTCTAATTTGACTCTTTTACTGTAGTTAAGTGCTGCAAGTCCAAGATTGATTACTTTTCGGAGCGTCTGCACGATTCCATGGCCGGTTTGGGAACCAAGGACAAGACGCTGATCCGCATCATCGTAAGCCGCTCTGAGATCGATCTGGGTGACATCAAGGAGGCATTCCAGAACAAGTATGGCAAGAGCTTGGAGTCCTGGATCAAGGTAATTACTGATACTTATTAGCATTTTGTATGTGTGCTTGCAAGAGTTTTCAACTTTGCACCCCGTTTAAAACCACTAACTCGCATTCGATTGTCTGCAATAACTCCCATTAATCGATGTCTTATGAAAGATATATATAATCAATCAATCATCCGACTGGCTTTTCTTGTTGTTGCTGTTTCTTTTCCCCTTTCACTTTCTTGTCGGTTTTTGATGCCATTATCCTTTCCCGCCCGATTACTTCATTGTGTGCATAAAACATTAAAACTTGGCATATTCTATATATTTTTAGGGCGATACATCCGGCGATTATAAGCGTGCCCTATTGGCTATTGTTGGCTTCTAAAAAAGAACTCCCAATCCAACAATATCTTGTCACTATCGTCACTGTTCCACGCCCTAAACTATATAAAAAACAGAATGTACAAACAAAATTCAGTTATCGAATAGTTGACAATGTATAGTTTTTAAATTGGAACAAGTTTTAACGAAGACGAGGCCGCGCAGTGCATTTAAAGTCGTAGAATCAGAAACCCCAGTCTCGCATCCTGTTAATTATTATAATTATTGTGACTATTATTATTATTATGACTATGCACGCCACATGCACATTATTGTATCTCTATATTTACTACACTTGAGCCTATATACATAGCTATGTAGCTTATAGTTTCTGTTTTGTTTCGAGTCTCATTTCCAACATATTTTAACTTAAAAACGCAACAAAATAAAAAATATGACAAAAATGAATATTTAAAATTTAAATTGACTTTCTGTTCCCGTTAGCAGAGGTGTTTGCACTGCTTGTCATGTTAATAACAGCGCTACATTGGTCGCTTAACATCATACCATTAAATGGGCCTTTGGTTAAATTAATTACGAGTTGTGTGCAATTGATCTTTAGGAAGATATTTTATACTGGCTATATTAACTTGATCAGCAATAGCAAATGCTTTTTTAGTGTTTAAAACCGGAGATAACTTGAAATCATATGCAAATTACTTGACCTGCTTGTTCTAAGTAAACGTCAATTGAATGTAAATACCGTGTAAAGTCTCACGTTAACTATGTAGAGCTTAAACTGAACATTGATTTTGGAAGTTCAATGTTAAATCATTTGCTGATTAAGTAGATATCTAGTTGTTAGTTTTTCCTTGGTCAATTTTATATAACTTAAACACACAGCCACTTTAAAATGGATTAGCTTCCGCGTATTAATCAAAACATCAGCCATGTATACAAAGTAAAAGCGTTTAATGCTCTGACCCTCTGCTCTTTTCACGCTTTATCTACCCGTTAAACCCGACCAACAACAGGAGGACGCCGAGACCGATATTGGATATGTCCTGGTCACTCTTACGGCTTGGTAGACGGATGTAGCCGGAATATACAGATATTTATGAGCAATATTCCCACTGCTAAAGTAGAAAATGCCAAAAAAAACAATCAAATTTGTTGCATTTCCCAAAATCTAACAAAACCGACGAACAAATGAAATTATTTATATACATATGTTGTGATGTGTTCTAAAAATCCAATCTATGAAAACCTTTAGTATTTTTCCTCTGTGTAATAACGTCTAACGTCCAAGTCGGTTTGTTCGACAACGATTATTTAACAATTTTACGTATTTTATTTTGTATACATGTCCTTTTTTATTGTAAATTTTTTGCATCGAACTCGTATGTATAGTTTGTGCTTGTAATAACTAATAAAGTTGGCTTACATTCAACGGCAAAACTTGGTCACATTCACCATCCTCCTACTATCTTCATCTCGTTTGCAGGACGATCTCTCTGGAGACTACAGCTACGTCTTGCAGTGCCTGGCCTCCTACTAAGGATTCCCAAATCGCGGAAGCATTTCACTTCGATTGTTAACCATTCTATTTGTTGTAACTCTTATCTTAAGGCAAACCTCGTTTGCCACATTTTCTGTGGAAGATTCATAGCCTATATTCAATTCATAAATGCATTGTAAAATCATGGAAAATAATTTGCAAGTTTTTCACTTAACTAGGGTAACCGAAACCGGGGGAATGGGTGTGTGGGAAATTTTGTTAAGGGGGAATGCTATCTGTGTCTTCTACTTGGCTACTCGATCCTGGTAGGCAGCCCACAGGCGGTCACGGTAGGTCTGGGCTGCCTGCTCGGGACTGGCGGCCTTCAGGATGCCCCTGCCAACTACGCCGATGTCGGCTCCACGCTCTTTGACCACGTGCTCTGGACTCTGGTACTGTTGGCCTAGTTGGTCAACGCTCTCGTCGATTTTCACTCCAGGTGTCAACTGCAAAAGTCCGGGAAAGGCGAAGGCATCAGAGGATTGGCACACCACACCAGCCACGAAATCAACGTCGGCTCCTTCGGTGGCGATTTTGTTGCTATTCTCCTTGTACTTGGCATCGATCAGATTGCCACTGGCGGACATCTCTGCCAGCAGAAAGACGCCACGCTCCTTGTTGGCTCCTTCCTCGCCCAGGCCCGCCTTCAGGCCCTGCAGAATACTGCGTCCAGGTAGTGTATGAGCCGTCACCAGGTCAGCCCAACTGGAAATCTTGTAGATGCCCTTGCCGTACTGCAGGGACACCGTGTTGCCAATGTCGGCAAACTTGCGATCCTCCATCAGCAGGAAGTTGTGCCGCTGAGCCAGAGCCTGCAGATCGGTGATAAATTTCTGGCTAAAGTCCTCGACAATGTCAACGTGGGTCTTTAGCAGGCAGATGTACGGACCACATTTGTCGGCCACCTCCAGAATTTTATCAGCACTGGTCAGATCGGCTGCCAGACAGAGGTTCGTCTGCTTACTGGCTATCAGGTTGAAGAGCCGTTTGGCCACTGCGCTTTTGGCCAAGTTGGCACGACTCTCGTAGGTCAGTTTGGTGCGCTGCAAGTCGTTGGCTGAGGGGGAAAAAAAAGATGGGTTACCCGTTGAATGAAAGCGTTCTTCTAGGAATGTATGTTTCTATCTTATAATTTTTTCTTATCTATAAATAGAATATGTAACCAACCTTCATATTAATAATGCTTCCTTTCATATTCATAATTAAGTATGAAAAATACACATTTTTATAGACTCTCTATGGCATTTTCATTAAATAATCAAAAAGAATCAAGATGATTCTTTTAAAAACGAATAAGAGCTCACATAATAAAGAATATAAGATGTGTTACAATCTACTCCCCCAAACCAATCGTGATTATCAATTAAGATGAAATACCAATTATCTTGCTTTACAGGTGGAAATCAGAAACTAACCGGTTCTCAAACAACCGAAGAAACCCCAAAAATTCCTATTTTTAGTGACAGCCCAGAGATAGGCTTGATTTGGAGGAGGGGGCTGGCTCTCAATTGGCCTGATAAGCATAAAATAATAGAGTGAAGCAGAATTAGAATCACGTGCCGCTTTCCCGCGAACTTGATCCGGTCCGAGCGCGAAATTCAGATCGGCTTACCGCTGTTTATGGCGGTTGTATAACTTTATGATACCGCGACTGAGGCTCCCCTAATTGAATTTGGTTCGTGGCCATGTGCTGGACGAGTGTCATGTACTTATTATCTATCTATCTGAAAAATATCTAGGGGGATCTGGAGCATACATACCTCCGACAACGTCGGCCTTATCGCCGCCGACAAAGGTTCCATCGCTGTTGATTTGTACGGCGGCTATGTACTTGGCCACCGCCTCCACTGTAGACTTCTCAATCCGTCCAGCCTCGTGTAGGGTGTTCAGAAGGAAGGAGAGTGTGAAGAGCGAGTGCATCCGCACTCCATGCTTGGCAATGTTATCCACACCGCCCTGTTCACGGTTCACCACGACCACGGCATCAGTGACCACAATACCCTCACTTTGCAGATCCCTCACTGTATCCAGGATGCTGGAGCCAGAGGTAACCACATCCTCGACAATCAGACAGGTGTCGCCGGCATTGAAGATGCCCTCGACCAGTTTTTTTGTGCCGTAAGACTTGGCTTCCTTTCGCCGGACCAACATAGGTGTTCCCTGCTGTACGGATACTATGGTGGCCAAAGGGAGCGCCGTGTAAGGAACTCCGCACACATGCTTGGCGGTTAGCTGCTTGTCCTTGATGTGCTCCACTAGAAGATCGGAAACGGTTTGCTGAATGAAATTAAATTGTGGATAGTTAGACCATATGATAATTCTCTTGATTGGGCTCCATATACTAACCATCACATCCGGATAACTGACGATCACTCGCAGATCGAAGTAAACCGGCGAATTGATGCCGACTTTCATCTTGAAGTCGCCGAACTTGAAGGCATTGATCTCGAAGAGTTTCAGGGCCAAAGCCCGCATTTTGTCGGAAGTCTGGGCAACCATCGTGGCGATTCTGTCTTTGATCTGTGATATGCAAACTTCGTACACGTGCTAGCACAGCTCTAATAGGAACTGTCCAATTGGGATGTGTAAACATAATATAAGTCTATCGATATTTTTGGTAAAAAACAAGTATTTATATTGGGAAAACATCGATATTCTTATTTAATAATTTTGAATTTTTCTTAAACAAAAACTACACTTTTATAAATATAATTTGTAGCTCGAGAGCCCAAATATACATTATACACATTTCCATGTTATTGCTCAAACAAATTCTTACTTTCTTCAAGTTAAAGTTTAAAATAAGGGGATTTTAGAAGCCACGGTGGCAACTCTGACAAGGTGGATGGCTCCGCTAAATTATTCTTAGTTGTCGTTTTTATTTAAAAAAAAGTCGTTAGTTAGATTCTTTTAAAATGGTTTTGTGGTCGAAATGCTTATACGAAGATTATAAATTATAATTTTTCAAATTGTAAACGTGTATTCTAAGTATTGCAGCGGAAACAAACAGTGCAATCCTACTTAAATAATTTACTTCTATGAAAAAGCAATGACAAAAGTAACCCGCGAATACAGAAATTATAGTTGAGCTTGAAACTATATTATTTTATCATTATTTATATTCTTTTTTTGTTGATGTATTTGTAAAGTTTGGCTCCACCCATAAACCCTTAACTAAACTTTAGAGGGCGGAGTCAAATAATCTGCCAACCACCAATCACAGAAATCAAATCTCAACTAACAAAATCAAATCAAATGCGCCTGCGTAAGTCAACAAAGTTTCCGCAAGTCTTTGAAACAATTCCAAAACCTTTGGTCAGTGTTTCTAAAATTTAGTTTCTTTTTGCTGGCCCCCAACTAAGTCGCAAATCTCGGCCAAAGCAGAAACTTCTTTGTGCAATTGTCCATTTTAATTGAATCCTTTTCTCGGCTGCGTTGCAAATTATAATGGCCAGTTTAAGTGGTGAACCTGTTGGTGAAGTACCTGCCAAGCGTCCTCGCCTGGGCGGTAATCCTAAAACATCCAAAGTAATTGAATCCCAAGCGTCTAAGGTCGCCAATCGGGTGCCCAAGTGCGCCCGCTGCCGAAACCATGGGATTATCTCGGAGCTACGTGGTCATAAGAAGCTATGCACCTACAAGAACTGCAAGTGCGCCAAGTGTGTCCTGATCTTTGAGAGACAACGCATTATGGCTGCTCAGGTGAGATAAAATTATTTTAGAGCATATTATTTAATTTTTCATTAAAAGGTGACTAGTAACAATGATTACAGTCAAAACAGTCATAGGCCAACGATGTTTTCTTAAATCAAGACAAAAATATTAGTACTTATTTGGTAAAATTTTAAAACGAAATTTCTGGTCTCTTACAACTATTTTAGGTGTGGTTAGATTTTTTAAAAGTTCTTTATTTTACGGTGATTTTTCATTTATAAATAAAAAAATTAGAAAATAAAAACAAATTTGAAAAAATAGTACGTTTAAAATCACATTTAATATATTTTTTACCTTATTGATTCAATGTCCCATTTACATATAAAAACAAATCCTAAATAACAAACATAGAGGTAAAAAACCTTTTATGCATCAGTTTGAGGACGTAGTTAAATTATTAGTTATTTCTACAGCTTATGAACTAAAACGCCTACTATAGAACCCAAATTCCAATTCCCAAGATATGTATATATGTAATAATTTACGATATAATTTTAGTTTCGAAGTATATTCCTAGCTAAAAAAACAAACACAACTTAGTTTATGGGTCTGATAGTTTTCTCAATTACTTGTATCCAGAACTTAAATGTAAGCCACCCCATCCTATTTCAATCAATCTGTGTAACTGAATTCAATTGCCAGCTTCCTTAGAAAAATAGTTAGCTGTGCCATTTATATTGTCTTTAGATTAAGCACTGGCCAAGCGTTCAATTCGAAACACAAATAACCTTTGGGCAGGGAAGTGGGGGTAAAACCCACTCCAAGTCCAATTCAAACAGCCAATGAAACGGAATACGGGGAACAGATTCATTCAGGTCAACCAGTCCGGTCCCTCCCCTTTAGTGATGATGATGATGGAAAGTTGTCAAAGCGTAGGAACAAATCGACCAAAATATCCGCTTACCAAAACTGTTTGCACAAGTGTGGCTCCGTCTCGCATTTCATTAGATCGGCGTGGCTAGGATGTGGATGTTGTTGTGGGTGATACCCCAAGGAATTGCTGTGGTCGTTGTTTGCAGAAAAGTCAAACAGCAGCAGACGGAGTCGTTCACTTGTCGCATATTAATTTCCATTTGTGTTCATTCAGGTTGCCCTGAAGCGTCAGCAGGCCGTGGAGGATGCGATTGCCATGCGTTTGGTGGCCAACAAAACTGGTCGATCCATTGACACTCTGCCGCCGGGCAACATTTTCGGTCTGTCGGTAACCCAGCCCAGTTCCCCATGCCCTAAGAGGGAAGATGGCCAGTCGGAGAAGCCCCTTTCAGAGGAACACAAGCAGAAACAGCAGTCCCAGACGCCGGAGGAGGAGTACAACGAACCACCAGCCGTTGCCCAGGATCTCAGTGCTCCGCGAAGGGATAACGTTTCCCAGACGGCTATCGATATGCTAGCCCAGCTCTTTCCTCAGCGAAAGCGATCTGTTCTGGAACTGGTTCTCAAACGCTGCGATCTTGACCTGATTCGGGCAATTGAAAATGTCTCACCCACGGGCAAAACCTCTCCAGTAGATGTCACCAGCAGCATCCATCTGCCAAACCAGGAGACTGGAATCTTGCCCAGTGTGCCTCAGACAACGCCACCCAGGAGTAGCGCTTTCAGGCCTGTTATAACAGACCAGGTAGGGAAGAACTTCCTGATCTTTACTTTGGAACAATTTAGAATTATTGGATAATTTTGTCATAACATAATTATTTTCTTTTCCTCCGTTACTTTTTAAAACCATTTTACCTATTGAAAATTTTGGAATGTATAAAATCTTACCTTTCAGTATCAAAACAAATCGATGGTGGAGCTGAAGCCGCCGGTCTTTGGGAGCAGCGCCTCGGCAGCAGCAGCAGCCATTTGTGCCTACCCCAAGTGGTTCGTACCACTCTCGTTCCCGGTGACCATGGGACATTTATCCAACCTGGCACCACGCTGCACCTTGCCCAACTGCGCCTGTCTAGACAGCTACCAGTTCCACTAGGATCTGTCCCTATCAAGTACTACCCATTAATCTATTGAAATAAATTTATTTAACCTAACTACAAGCTGAACTATCTTATGAGTAAGTGGGCAATCTTCGAGCTTCACTTGGGGGTCTCCTCCGCCTCCTCCTCTTCGTCGTCGTCTTCATCATCCTCTGACAGGTACATACGATCCTCCTCATCGCTTTGCTGGCCATTCCTGCTACCGCTGCCTAGATTCAAGATGGGAACACTGCTTGACGATGCGGAGGAGGGTGAACCTGCCGTGGCTGTTGCTCCTTGGGCGGATGAACTGCGCTTGCTGAGATTGGCCCGTCGCCACTTGGCCCGTCGGTTCTGAAACCACGTCTTCACCTGGCGATCAGTCAGTTTCAGTTGAAGTGCCAAGTGCCGACGTTCTTCAGGTGACAGATATTTGGAGCTTGCGAATCGAGCTTCGAGATTTTTTGTCTGCTGGGAGGTGAATCTGATCTGGCCACCTTTTCGCTTCACTCCAAAGTTTGACATGTAGAAACTAGCCGCCGGATAAGCGTTGCAGTAGAGCGCAGCAGCAGCGGTGGCTGGATTTGGGAATCCTACGGAAGATACCAGAAATAAGTAAGAGTTTTAAGAGCTTTGTTTTAAATAAATTACTAAGAGGTTGCAGAAGTAATTATAAATAGCTTTTAAAAATAGGCAAATTGTCTAATAAGGCATGTTATTTTTTTGTTCTTCTGGACTTTAAAACATAAGTCTTATAAAAAGATAAGTTTTTTGATACTAATTTATTATCATTTCGATATATAACGCTAAGAATATAATAGGTACACTCAATTTATCAAAGTGACATGTCAAACCCTATCCTCCAGGCAAAGATAACTGAAAGTTAACATGATAACTCAAGAACAATCGATTTCTTTAAATAGCAAGTTTAAATTATCAACCCGATATAAAGTGGTGCAATCATTGGATTTTGATTGGTGGCCGCGGCGGCTCCATTCCCCTATCTCCGCCCACCGACTCTTATCAAGGTAATCGGACACAACAATTCCGAGTCGTACAAGTGTATGAGTGTTCGGGAATATACTATATAGCAGCAGTATCCGTATCAGGGGGATATGTCAACGCCCACTTGTAAGTGGTTGAAGAGCTGGTAGCCATTGCGAAATGGATTGAGTGAGTGCCGAGATTCCCGGGCAATTGAGCGAAATCAATTGCCACCCGACAAGCAATCCGATTGTGGTACTATATATGTATATAGTATATATCTGATAAGAAATCGAGAGCATTTCAGTTGACGTAACGGAAATTCGCACTTGTCGAATATTTGAATTACGCTCATGAGGCACTGCTGAACTAATCTGATATTTTTGGGACTCCGTTACCTCATTTGGGGACCAATCTAAAATATTAAATAAATAACATTCGATTGCAGATGCCATAATTTAAATTGTTACAAATAGACTTATTAACGGTTATTTTTATTAAGTGGCATATCTAATGATAAGACTCCTTTTCCCCCAAAGGTAGACCCCCAATCTGTTCCATCAGAAAGAAGCGTTTAATCGCTGAAAATTGGATTTGTTATTATTTTATAATGTGCGTGTCCAAATGAAAGTATAAAGTCATATCAGGTACTTGTCGAACACCTCCCCCCTTTAACCCCCTTTTCGAGTGTCGACTGCGGACGAGCTTATCGTAATCAAATGGCAATTGTCGGCATAAGATGATGGACAGCGCCTATTAATCGCCTCTAATAGCATTTGTCGTTTAGATAAGCCAAAACAAATCGGAAATCGGGATAGCAATAGCAATGGAGTGGGCTATACGAACCTATCTGAAATTTGGCTGATCAATGGCACACTAAACTAATCAATGCTCTACGAGTCTAAAGGCGTAGTATGATATTAACGAAACTCAATTTAAATTTTTTCAAGATTTTGCAACGTAGTGATAAGAATGCAATTGAGATTTTGAGTTATTGACTTGATTAAACCTGTAAGTATACTTTTTATGGCCAGTAAAAATTCTTTGATAGAGATTTTGACTGTGTTTTTTAAGGTTTTTTTTTGGAACTTTAATCTATGCTTATCAATTGAAAAGGTATTATGGTTAAGATTTATAAAATAATCTTAGAAATTTACTTATATTTCCCACAGTTAAGCTCATTTGTATGAATGAATTTTCTGACTTTTCTGACACAATAATAATCCCTTTCAAATAGGGTCCAAACTGTCAATTGGTATCCCCTCACTTAGTTTCTGATGGCTCTCACCTCAATTTCAAATATTTGTCATTTTGATAAGACCGTCGAAAATATTTCGTGGCTTTTTGGTATAGGGATGGAACTGGGGGCTGTAACGCTATCAGCATTACGGACTTCTATTTTACCTGCCTGATTTTCTGGGGCTAATCTACCGTTACATTGCACTGAGAACTAACAAGGGAATGCAGTTTTTGGGGAATGGGAAAAGTGAGATTTGAAGTGGCATTGGCGCCAACACTTGACTTTGACAAACACCCAACTGCACACACACATTAATCATGTTTATGGCCCATTTTGTGTGGGATCCCCATGGTGATATTTGGTGTTTCGGACACTTTGGACTTAGTCTAGTTAAGACTGTATTAAAATGAGGATTTTATGTAGGACTGTTCCCATGGTCGATCAATTTCCATACGTCAGTTTGATGGAAGAGATTAAGTCTTCAGCCTGGTCAACCTCACCAGGCTCAGGTTCAATGACTTGAGTTTGGGGTAGTTCCCAACCCTTTTTCTTAATCTTTGGATAAAACTGTGAGAATGTTTCTAACTCATGGAATACAGTTTATTGTAATTTTAAAATTTAAAGAACTACCATATCATTTCTTAAGATATGAACGTATTAACGCTTATCAACATTTCAGTCTTTAAGTGATAATTGTAGTGCTCATTCATTCATAATACCAGCTACAAAGTTTGTGACTCATTTCCGTTTTTTCATAATACTTTTTAAATGGTTATGACTCCCAATTTCTAAATATTTTTTAATTGTGAAATATTATTTTACAATCTATAGCATTTAACTATTTTTTATCTATGCAACGTATGAAACTATGGAACTCATTAATATGATTTTGTATGATAACTACTCTTCTGTTATTTTGGGTATAAATTTTCTTTAAATATTCCTTCTTGATCAATGTATTATAAAAAAAAATGATAAATGGTAAAGAAATGTTTCAATATCCAAATATATAAAATAAGTGAAATAAAAAAAAAAGAATCATAAAAGATTTTAACTATTCTTCTTTGATCCATATATCTGTATTTCTATGTCTAGAACAGGTATTTCTTACTAATGCAAATGCTAAAAACGCCCTTTAAAAATAATAAATATACTCGTACCATATATTATCTTTAATAGTTATTGATCAAAGAGAATATGTTTACACTATCCAATGAATCTTATGATTTACCAACCTTCGCAGTCCATCGCGAATGGACTGTATTGATCACAGTAGGCTGTTGGTTGGACGGCGGCTGCGGCTGCCACTGCTGCTGCTTGGAAGTGTGGCATGAAGAGCGAGGGATTCTTCTGGAGATTGAGTACCTGCTGGTAGAACAGCGAGGCGGGATCTGGATAGATGGGATTAAAGCGCAGAGAGGTGGGTGCCAGCACGGCACTGGAGTTTAGATTCTTGAGGGCATACTGAGCGGCAGCTGCCTCGCGGGAAAGATCGTAGATATTTGAGGTGGATGCAGGATTGGCGGAGGATGAGGCGGTGGCCAGTGTTGCCTTGGGTATGGCTAATGCAGGTGGAGATGGTATTCCGACTGTTCCCGTCACAGGGCTTTGAGAGGAGCCCCGGCGCGACTGAGATCGATGGGGTGTCTCCAAAGCTGGACTCCGTGCACTTCTTGTCTTTTGCTTCAATATGTTCTCAATGGAGAAGGCGGCTTTACTTGACTTGGTACCGATATCCATGTTGCGTTGTTTAATTATTAGTTTAGATCACCGTATAAGGTTTAACTGAACGTTTCCGGAGCGATCGAAGCGACTGCGTCGGCCGCAGGCGGTGAACTAATGGCAACCAGTTGAAGAAGTCGCCGCAGAGCCTAGGGCGCTATAAATTCTACCAAATCTGATTTCACAGAATATAATAGATTGTACCTATAATGTTGTGCTAATGGGTAGATATCAATATTAACAATAATAGAGCGGTATGTAGATATGCCGCGCCTGGGAGATAATGCCGGGCTACCGGCCATCGATTGATAAGCGAGTGGTGGTTGGTGGGCGCTCCAGTGGCTCGCTCGATGGCACTCCACTCCACTCGATTTCGATTTCCAATTTCCAATTGCTGGCAACGACAGCTCGACAACATCGCCAGTCGGTGTCCCAGTGCTTCGGTTGGACACCCAATCGGCGATCCGATCCCAGCCCGTCGTATAAATCACGGTACCTCCTCGGCCGCTTATTGAGCTGCCAAACCACAGCAACCCAACCCAACCACCCTCCCACTCGGCGGGTCGGTGCGTTTGATCGAGTAATTGTTAATCACCCCTTATCGGTATCGTTACCTGGTTTTCTTCGGCTCTCTCTAGCTGCTACTGTTCAGTTATTATATTCTGTTGATTGTTGTTGTAAACAAATTAAAATTACCAATCTCTCTCTCGCTCTATTAGCTCATTCCCACCGCCCCCGCCTCTGAGAGGTGTCCTTCCCATCGGAAGATATCGGTTTGATTGAGTAATCGAGCTTGTGTTATGATTTCGGCTATGGTGCCATCTCTCTCTGCTTTTCGGGAACAATATATGCGTTTGTATAATTGTAGTTGTGGTTAGGTTTTTCGGGGGTGTCTTATCAGTTGTACTCGGGCTCCTCGTAAAGCCTCCCAGATGATGGATTACTTCTGATTTCGGCCTTTGGGTTGGGTGATAAAAAAAACAGTAGAGCCCATAAATGCCTTCAATTGTTGTTATTGTTGCTGATTCAACAACGTTACTCGTTAGATACCTCTCAGATATTGTTTTTCAAGTCGCCCCCAATAAGTTTGTATCTTAAAGATACGTTTTTGAGAAGTTTTAGGTAACAATTGATTCGTTAGTTACAGTTGGTGAAGAAACTTTTATATTTTTCGTTCTCACGATCTTTATTGAATCCATATCCCTAAAACCTTTAAAGTTCTTCATGGTTTGTCATGATCTTTAATGGTGACTTTTAGAAATTCGACCAACTTTGATCAAAGTTGGATGATATCACTAATAAATGACTCAATTTCATGTGATTTTAGGCAATAATAGTATTCATTTCGATAGAGTTCGCCGGAAGGTGATAAAATGTATTGCAAATAGATTTTAGGGGGTTCTTCGCTGAAAAGGCTGTAAACTACAATCAATCGATTGCCGATTAAGATTTTATGACACCTGAAGCACCTTAGCTAATCAACTTATATAGAAGTTTCCTTGAACTTCCACTGAAAAATTAATAGTACAAAAATCGTATCTCATTTTAATAAAATCTAGGGGTGTTCATGGAACTTCAAGATACAAGAAAGATATGTAAATATATATACAGAAAATTATATCTAATTTTTTCAAATAATAAACGAAATACCTTATTAATGTTTTAGATCCCATAGGTTACAAAAAGATCAAAGTATTTCAAAAACTAATTTATGCAAAGTCGTCTTTTAAAGATAAGTAAGAAGTCTGTACTTCCGAGTGCACTTGTAATCCCTGGATCTAAAACTTCACCGCTTCATCATGAGCAGACACTTGTTCTCCGCTATTGTATAATCCCCGACAAAATCCCATCGACCGACAAGATATAACATTTTGCACCCGGCCTGACGGCCATTTTGTGACATATCACAAGGTGAGTATTCAAATTTATCAATATGTGAATGGTTTGAATAGGGTATATTGGGGGGCTAAGAGGTCCGGAGTAAGCTCTCAATGGGAAAGGCAGTAACGACCATTCAATAACTATTTTGTACTTTTTGTACAAAAAATTAAAACCAAAATAATGAATAATGAATGGTGATAAAAGTAAAAACCACAAATTCTTTTGAAGAGAAAAGCGTTTTTTGGTGGTATGCGATAAGTAAATGCGCCCAATTTGAGACATTGACGAGGTCTACAGCCACAAACAACGATGTTCGATAAGGTGCCATGGCCTGGGGGGCTTATGGTCGTCAAGTGACGCTAAATTATTAGCAATTATCAGAAGACAAACGGTTTGAAATGACTTCGAAATTGGGCATAAATATTCCTCACACACGCATTAAATAATATGGCAAAGGAAGAACTGGCTGAATTTATAAACTCTCTATAAGCATGTGCGAACCGATAACAAATTGACGAAATTTGTACCTTTTCGTTTTACATTTATAACTTTATTCGATCACTTTCGAAAGTTGCGGTTTTCAATACATATTTTTATATATTTTCAGTTGACTTGTTCTCCATGAAATTGCGTTGGATTTGAACATTGGTTTATTAATTTATTTCCATTGTTTTATTTATGCAAATGAATAAATATTTTGTATATAGCACTACGTTGGCTGCAAGTAATTAATAAGCAGTTTCATCATTGACCTCTTATTGCATTTGATTCACTTATCTCTCTCTCTGTCGGTTCTCCTTCCTTGATCATCCTTTTTTCATACAGTACAGTACATCATAATACATAGAGTTTAATTTAATTTATCGTTAGCTTTATTTTATAACTATTTATAGGCTTCGCAAGAAGTTGTTCAAGGTTTGCTTTGCTTCGCATTGTTTTGAGAGTTAAGAGTTTCTTTGAGTATTTGCTTGCTTGCTTGCTTTGATTTAAATTCCATTTAAAGAAAAACAACAGATAAATTGCAAAATAAATTAATTCAACTACAATTTGAGACATAACTAGGCATGCACACATTGAGTTTTCAGTTTTGGATTTATCTTTCAGTTATTTTTGGTTTGAAAAAGCACTACGAGTTACAAGATCTTCGAGTATTTGTGGTTGTTGCCATTGTTCTTAACAAGCTCCTAGACATTATGAAATAAAATAAAATCAATAGACTTTCCGTTTTTTGGTAGCAATTAGTAAGAAAATTCGAGTAGCAAAACGAGTTAAAGTTAAAGTAGGATTTAAGATTAATCGTTCTTCATCATCATCCTTTGTATAAATACAAATTGAGTTTAAGTTAGATTTGGTAGGTAGTAAGTTAGGATAGGTTAATAACGTTTACATATTAATAGATTGGTAGGTAGGTAGTTGCTAATCGCAGTTGGCCAACAATCCATTAGACCAGCTTGGCCACGTGCGTCGTGTCCATGTGTTGAATAAGAGTCCGCATGAAGGACATCTCTTTGCGCGCGTTCTCCAAAATAACCTTGGGATCCTCGGATGTGCAGCGCAGACAGTTCGGCGCAAACACCATGGCCAAATTAGAGGAGTCCATTTTGGTGCAGGTAACAACCTCGGATATCGAGAATTGTTGCAGGAAATGTATTAGATACGTTAGAACCTGAAAAAAAAAAAGGGTGGTACTAAATTTATTAGGAAAAATCAATTTTTGTTAATTTACTAACCAGCTGATTTATTTCGGGCAACTTATTAACTATTTCTTTGGCTTTGTCGGGATCCTCTGTGTTTACGCAGTCCTCGTAGTATGCATCTGGTATGAGCGGATCGTATAGTTCCCGGTACCACAGCTTAAGCAGACTGGCTGGAGCATGTGCATCAACTAAAGAATCAGTTAAAATATTTATATTATACTCAACTTTATCTTAGGACTGTTGTTAATATTTTACCCATTGTGTTTTTATAATCAGGAACATCCCACCGATCCAGGCGATTCTTCATACAATTGACTTCGTCCACATCCGCAGAAACGCGAAAGATTCCTTCAGTCTGCTTTCCATTGAGTAGCAGCACCTGTACAAATATTTAAAAAATAATCAAACTATGTTCTTGACTAACTAAAATGAAAACTTACATGCTCTGAAAGTGTGGTCTGTATCCAGGGCAGCTTGCGGAATGGAAACTTATCTTTTTGGAGCTCCATCACTTCTGACAGCGTGTTTCCAAACATGCTATTCCTCAAGATTTGTTGCTGAAAGTTAACATTTAAGAAAATATTTAAAAAGTTTTATAATTTTCACATGATTTTACTTACCCGCGCCTTTTCCACCTCATCAACAGAAGGCTTCTTGGCTAGTCGCCGTCCACCGCTGCCTATGCGATCTAAGCGACGGCAGCAAACTGTGGCGTAGTGTGAGATCTGCACATGGATGGGCCACTTGCTAACCTCCATGAAGCAAGTGTTAAACGAGGGATCGCGATGCCGATTAACATAACTGCAATGCGAGATATTTAATTAGGAAAGGGTTATTTGATTTTTACATTATATAAAACTCACTTGAGCAGCGTCGGTTGAAACGTTGGCGAAGGGGGTACATAGGACAGACAGATGGCCATCAGTTCCCAGCCTCGGATGAGCGACTCTCGTTTGGGATTCTCTGTTGTCTGGCGACACAACTGGACATAAAGCTCATCTCTTAATCTGTAAATAAATTAAAATGTAAAAACCATTTATAAGATTTACTTAGTTTAAGCGACTTACTGTTGCTGTGGTAAGGATGCACTGATAATTTCTATGGCCACTGAATTCAGAGTCATGCTTGTGTGTCTGGTCTTGCGATCACCCATGTAGATCTGCACCAGCTTGAACAGCTCGATGGCCGTCTTCTTGTCCGCCTTGTCCCGGGACAGGGCTAACATAGGTCGACTGATACCCTCCGCCGTCCAACTAAGCATGTCGCGCACAGATGCCTTCTTTCGAAAGATTCCCTTTGAATGTAAATTCAGATTGTCGGCAGCAAATTTCTCGATATCACATTCTTTCATGCAGGCCAATGTAGGGCCACCCAAACCCATTCCTCCCATTCCGGGCGCCCGTTCGCTGGGTGGAAATATTTGCTGGATGGTGGGCTTCAGTGAGGGCGGTGCCATTTTGTTACCAGGTCGAGAAAGGCTGGCTGGCGTTAAACTGCCCACCGTAGCCTGCTGTTGACCGGCAACGAGACTGTGGCCATGGCCGGTATCTTCTTTGGATGATGCAGCTGGTCCGGATCCCAGGTGACCGGCTCCAGCTAGGCGCGAAATCTGCCGGTTCGGTGAAGGCAGGGTCTGCGACTGCTTTTCTTTAGCGTCACTCGGTTCTAGGTGCAGCTGCTGCTGGTGTGGCAGCGACGGTGGTGGAACGTGATGACCATGGCCATGCCCGGAATAGGGCGGCGTATTGGAGTAAAGCTGCTGACCGTGGTAACCGCTTCCAACTGAAGGACTGTGCGATACGGTGTCATAGTATGAGTTCTGAAATCGGGGCTTTGGCTTGGGGACGGTGGCGGTTGGAGCTGAAGGTTCTGTTACATTGCCGCCAATCCCCTCTAGCACAGCCTCCACATTTTCGGAGCTAGCGAAAACGTACCAGTTAAATAGGATCAACAGGGAGAATATAATATTCCAGGTTATACTTACATATCCTCTCTTCCAGCGGGATCGTGCGGTGGATACATGCAAGCATAGTAGGAGACACTATCACCCATATTGGCGTAGTCGTCGATCATGCCATAGTTATGCTCCAGATAGCCGCCATGCGTATCGGATCCACCATCAGAGTCCTCGTTGTCCGGCTCGTGACCTGAAAGCGAGTGCTCCGACTGACTGTCTGAATGGTATGAGTCCGAATCGCCTCCATCCCCACCACGGTAATCATAGCGACCTGACAACTTGGCCTGCTCCAGGATGTACTGCTTGAGAGGCAGTAGGTGGGGCATCACCTGATCCCAATTGGTGTATAAGGGTGAGGTGTTTCCATTGTCGTACTCCACGTCGCTGTTGTCAGCCTGCTGGTGATACTGATGCTGCTTTGAGCGCCGCTTTTCACCTCCTTGTCCTCCTCTTCCATCGCCACTACCGCCTCCACCATGGTAGCCACGCTTGTCTAGGCTGGAACTGGCACTGTGTCGCAAAGATCCCTGGCCGGGGTAATGATGTGATTGAGAACGATTTGCCGTTGAGTTATTGGACTTCTGCCGCTGGCGAGCGGAGTCGTTGGAGCCGCGCGACGAGTGCGTCAGCAAGCCAATGTTCTCTGTGCCACCTCCTGGCGATATGGGCCCCGATTTCCCGAGCGAAATCCTTTCCAGACTCAACAAATCAAGGCTGTGACTTGGCTCCTGGAGTCGTGGGGAATGCTGCATCTGGGGCAGAGCACTGGTGGCACTCGTCTTCGCCTGACGCGAGCTCTTCGTCTGCGGACTAATAGGACTCTGCGGACTGGAGTCGCTGGAGTGCTTCTTATGGCTGGAGCTTCCGCTGCCTGCCGTACTAGTGGCCGTATTACTGCCACTTGCCCCACCACCACCAGGGCCTCCTCCGCTTTTGGTGGCATTGGTTGTGTGACGGCGGCGCGAGAGCGGTGTATTCTCTACCGACTTGAAATACTTCTCGTGCATGGAGTCATCGCTGGCAGCTCCTCCATTCGCCGCTTCTGCACTGCTCTTGCGATAGGATTTGCTGTGGTGACCGGCGGCGGCGGGATTGATCGACGATGACATGAAACTGCCAGAGCGGGCCAGCGATACCTTGTATTCGCGATCTAAAAAGGAATACGGGCAAATATTAGAAATATGTTCTTTGTGGTTGTGGTATAAACTTCATTAGGCTGCATTCAAATTTTCTAAATTTTTAACTTTAAAAGGTATTAAATAAGTAAATTATATGCAAATGATTCTAGTCTTCTTAAAAAGTTTTTTGTACTAATTTATAAATTATACTCCTGCAGCTAAACAAAGTACACAGCTAAGATAATTATTCTTACCGCCTCCGTAAGACTTTCCCACTGGTGCTCCGCCGCCACCGCCACCTCCGCCACTACGTTGTGCGTTCCTTTGCTGATGCTGCTGTTGTGCGTAGTTGTATTGGGCAGCAGGCGCTGCATCCGGCGACATCTTCTTCTTCTGCGATTGAGGCGTGTGAATAGAGTGAGTGGGGGAGGCAATATCCGACGACTTGGAGGAGTAACCCTGCAGGTGGTTGGGCAGCAGCTGATGATCGAAATACTTGTCCCCATAGCCACTGCCACCGGCGTAGGATGAGGATGTGGAGGTGCTGCCATGCGGTAAATTATGCGAACTGGTGCTCTCTTGCAGCATCTCAAAACTGAAAGGCGATCCGTAACCCAAGCGAAAGCAGAGATGAATATGAAGATATAGAAGCGATTTAAAGCCAATGAAGTGATGGAAACCAAACCACAAATACTTACGCTCCATTGTCCTTGCCACCGCCCCTCTGATGCTTCTGGAGAGAGCCCAGACGCAAGCTATCCGGATGTCCTGACCCCGGAACGCTGCCGTCATTAAACCGCCTGTAGCCATGCGCACTGGACAGACTCGAGTCGCTGGACTTTCCCGATTCCTTGTACTGGTTGCAGGAGTCTATCAAGGTTAATCGATATCGAAATGAGTCATCAGCATCATCATCAGAAAGTAGGGGTTGAGCAGAGCACTCACCTTGCGAACGCCTGGAGGCATAGCCCTGTGGATGCTGCTGCTGCGTTTCCATCGAGCGGGATGAGTCACCCGTGCCAACGCTGCAAAAAGGACCAGAAGGGAATGTAAACAAATCTGAGATGTAAACTAAAGTGGGAGCAGACCCCAAATGGGCTTACTCATCTCAACTTACCGAAAACTTTGACGGCCACGTGGACTAGAGATCACTTCATTGCTAGTTAGCTTCTCCTCGGAACTGGCCACCGTACCATTGCCACCGCTGATCCGCTGATGGCCCCGTCCCTTCTTGTTTGGCCCCGACATGGGTGAGGGTTGTTGCTGCTGCTGCTGCTGAGAAGGATGTTGCACCTGCTGTTGCTGTGCGTGCTGATGCTTTTGGGGCGTTGTCTGCTCACGACGCTCACTGGGATCGGTGTTTTGCTTGAGCGTCTGAAGCTTGGCCAGTGGAATGATGTCGCACTTGCTCGGCCGGTGCCACACAGTCTTCTGTGTGGCCGCATTGTAGTAGTAGAACCGCTGGGTATTCGTATCAAACAGTTCCCACCACTGCGATGAGTCGGTCCGCTTAATTGGCACATCCTGTAAAGCGAGAACGGAACGGGAATGAGTTACGGATTGAGGCCGGGAACGAGAACAGAACGCGGTACGCGTGGCAAAATTAGTTTGGATCGTTGTCATTCGACCGAAGAGTGTACTCATGTGTGTGTGATTTAGTGTGGGTCGGGTCGATGTGGAGGAGGATTTTGTGGATAGGGGCAACACGTGGGACGTGAGATCAACGTGTGTTTATTAGATAAACTCTCATGAATATAAATATGCCCTGAGGTGAAGTTAAAGTTGATCGATGGATATTTCCTAACCGGATATTCTTCACCTGTTTATGCAGATCAAGTATTACTTTCTCAGGTGATTAATTTCTCTGAAAACATGTGATAAAAGTTGTTCTTATCAGAAATTTTCATCTCTTAAAATAAAAAAAAAGGTTCATTGAACCCACTTTAAAAATAATCAGATAATGTTATTATTTTAAAACTATATTTTCGTACTTTATTAAGTTGGTTATTGCAAAAACAAGACTCATTTTTTGTTTTTATCTCTATTCTTATGAATGCCTTTAAGGGAAGGACTATAACCTCACAAATTATTTTCTCCAAGCTTTCTAAAATCAATTTCTTTCTGTAAAGACAATTTCCCAAAGATATATTGCACATATTTTAAGCATTAAGATTTCAGCACGTTTCAACATTTGTGTCATCAACGTAGTTTCATCAGAAGTGACACCGGACCCAATGACATTCAGCACTGGCTTTGGCAATGATAAGTTTCCATTCCGCTTAAGCTTTGGAGGCTCTATTGTTGCCGTTGTTGTAGGCCGTCTGGCTTTTATCCCTCCTCTTGAATTATCCAACAATTACACAAAAGCTGATTTATTTTGGTATCTCGACTCGAGAGCTTTTCTTCGGGCTTAATCAGCAAACTCGAGAGCACAAAGAGTGCCAGTGAGTGTGTGTGTGTTTATAATCTGAATCTGAAGGGTTTTATCTGCCGAGTAAATACAACAAGTGCTTAACAAACAAAAATTCTTGATGGCTCCTCGACTGCATTGCCCCGTAACAGTGTTGGGAAAAGTATTTATTTTTTGTATATTTTATCTAAGGTACGTTGCATTATTGGTACCTTATTATGTGAAAGGTTTGCAGCCAAGTTGATCATTATACTTATATATTAATTGGACTTTTTCGTGGAGTTTGATGGGTGATACTTTTCGAAATACTTTGCTAACTATCTTAACACTCAGTTATATAATTTGCCGTATACTTTTTCCCATTTAAAAATGAAACAATAAATCATTATGAGAGTCACAGCCCTCTTATTCATGCGAAATTTTGGAATTTAACAAACGTGCCTCTTTTAAAAATAAAACAATGGTTGGTTAAAACAGTTTAAAGTCAAGTTGCTGAATAATTAAATGCTTTCGCTTTGTAAATAATACTTTAGACTCTTGTAATTATAATTTTATAATTATTTAGTACGATCTTCCTAAAACTCTTGCTCATTGGTAATTAAACAAAAATTTAATCCAGAAAAAAAAAGCAAATTGAATTCCCTTATCTTAAAGTTAGTCAATTACATGAAGTTATTGGTTACTTTGAGTAAAGATAACTTTAATATTCCTAAATATCTAGGAACAACTATTACTTTTCCATATTCCATCACTGATTTAATCCTCCCTTTAATATCTGGCCTTGTTGGCGAGGCGCGTGTGCTTAATCCGCTGCATCTCGCTCGCTCCGTGCTCGCCATCTCTGTCTTGGCCAGAAGTCAGGGTTATTTCTGCAAAATGCATGCAGTAAGCGCAGCAGCAGTAGCAGCACAAGCAGCAGAAGCAGCAGCAGCGTTGACCTTGAACTTTTGCGTTGCAGATGCGCCCACAGCCGACACGACGACTGGAGACCTCAGCTTTAGTTGCAATTGCCAGGGCCAGTTGGGCGTTGGGTGTTGGGTGGTCCCTGACCCACGCCCACTTTTAATCCAGCTGCCTGCAGGCGTTTTGTTGCTTTTGCTTTTGTGGTTGCAACTGGCCACTGATAGCAACAACAACAACCACAACAATACCAGCCCTGCCCACCGCTCAACGCCCATTGCACCCCGCTGCAAATGAAAGCTTTCGGCTTGGTTGCTTTTCATTTCTGGTTTTCATTTCCATTTCAAAGCGGCGCCCCCGATTGCGTTGCATGTTGCATAATTTGTGGGCGCGACCAGACGACGATGGGGCCTAGAAGGGGGAGGGGCTGTGAGCTGGCTGGGAGCAAGGCCACCCAGCGGAGATGGGCCACTCAGATGCCATGTCGCCTCGTTACGCTTTTCGCATTGTTGCGTTTCCAACTGCCAGTCAGTCAGTCACTCAGTCAGTCATCCATCCAGATAGTCCTCTCTCCCCTGCCTCCAATGAACCGATTTCCCGCTGCCTCCAGTTAAATGCGAGATGGACTATAAAAAGAAACATCAACCAACTCGACCTCATTTGCGGCCTTGTACAAAATTCCAAATATTTTTTGTAATTATGGAATACGAATAACAATGGGGGGATGGCCTACATCTTAATCACAAAAAAGTCAGCTGAAATTTGCCCATTGCACAAAGTTTATTTACTGAGAGGTGGGTTGTAATCAATTAATTAAATCAATGCCTCTTATTTTGCATTTACACATTTACAATTAAGTTATTTTTGTTATCATTTAATTTGCATTAAAATCAATACATAGTTACTGAATTGCAAAATAAATATTCGTTCTACGTTGAACTTTTATAAGTATTTGCTTGCAATTAAGTATTACTTTATTTATATCTTTGGCACCCAAGAATCTCATGGAAATGCTTTGCCATACTGAAATGATATTCCTATGGATTAATGTGTCGGAATGTTTTTCTTCTTGGGAAAACACCATCATTACGTTTTGTTACTCACACGCCCTGTATGACTAAAGATGAAAGTTCTATATTTAATCAGCAAGATATACAAATATATAAACATGATTCCTATCTCAAAAATAATATATAGCATATAAGATATTGCAAAGAATTTAAATTGATTAGATTTTATTGGGACCCCATTCATTTCCCAATTGCGCCAAAGCGTTATATATAGATTCCTCAAATAATGCATTTCGTTTCGTTATCTTCCATTCAATTTGCCAACCATGGAATGGGGCATGTGGCATGTGGAGAAGTACGTCTGGCGCTTATTGAAAAACAATTTCAACTTTTAATCAGCGGCAAGTGGGTCGATCGAGGCGAAAAAAGAAGCGAGGCACACACAAGATTTCTAATCGGGTTGAGTCTAGAGTTCTCCGTATACAGAAAGAAGACTATGGCCGAGGTCAGTTTTGGACCGATCTGCTTTTCCTTTCATCTGTGAATCATGCATCGAAACAAAACAACCGAATGATATTAAATGAGACGCAGACACACTAAAGTAAAAACAAACAAAAAATCATCGCAGCATTTTTTTAGTTGCTCTTTGGTAAATTAGGTCATCGGCAGAGCGAATTTTAAAGCCCAGCACAGATCCCGAAATAGAACCCATGGAGGCGATAACATCGAAACTACTGAACACACGTCTCTTGAAATTCGAATGGAATGTGTCACCGAGTTTCGGGAACCAATGAATGGAATTGAATTGTTGTTCAGTTCAAGCAAATACGTATAGTTCCGTCTTCAATTGAAAGTTTCTTTTGCTTATTTTTCTCTTCGAATAAGCGCCATATATCCCCAATAACTTTTTCCAGACAAAAGCAATAACAATGAAATAGTCCAATTTATAGATTACGGCAATGCAGTTATCGATGAGTTGGGCACATGTTTCACATTCCCGCTAGGGTAGTGGCAAGCAGATATCTGAGAAATCCAATTCAGATTTTTATTTATAGATCAGTGAGCAGTGAAAGAGCCTAGTCTATGGCTTATTTATGGTACTGTTCCTATTCTATAGCTTATAGTTCAGAAACCATAGTGCCATAGATATCTAATTTGATTGACACATAAAACGGACTGATTTGTTTCTAGGATGAAGTCAATTTAATATTTATAAATCAATTGAACTTTTTCACTTAATATGAGTAAGTGAAATTCAGAAAAAATTTAAACCCCAAGACACTGATATTGCATTACCCACAGACAGTCACCCCTCAGGGGTTTTAAAAATTGTTATGTTTTTTAGCCTGCAATAGGCTCCAAAAGACGAAATTCATTAGCAATATTTATGCACATTTAATTGACTTGGTAATTGCTTTCAAATTGTGCCAGGCAAAGCGGAAGAAGTCGGCACTTAGTTGTGTATCTGTGTGCAGCCCAAAAGCACACTTTGGCCCCTACGACAGGAAATCAAACTTTACCCAAGAAGGCAATGGGCGATAGCCAAGCGACCAAGAGCAAGACAGGGTGCTAAGGAATACTTCAGGTCTGGAATCATAGATAATGCATGACATACATATTCAGCAAGCGGGTTATGAATTTTGATTTAACGAAACTTATAAAACCGAACACAGATAAACAAACGTAATTTATAACTTAGATGTATAGTTTTTACTAATAAAATTTTATTTTTGTAATTTTCTTCTCTCAAAAGTTGCTACTTAACAGCAAAAAAAAGTAAATAGTTTTATAAATGTTTTAATACAAAAAAATTTGTCTTAAAATTACAGCTAAGAATCCATAAATTTTGCAGAAACTTCACTTGTCTTGAGCCTAATATCCCCAAGGTAGATTAGCCAAGAGGGACCACAGTAAAAATTGAAATACTTTGACGATTGCGTAGCACAAGAGACCCTCCACTGAAGCGAGGAAGGCCCAGATCGAGGTCCGACCGTTTTGGAGGAGGCGCCGCATTTGGTTTGCTGGGGGAATGGCACCACCCCCTCTTTTGGAGGGGATCGGAGCAGTAGTTGGATGACGCCGGCGGACGCACGTGAACATCCAATGCTGGTCGTCGTCACCACTCCGGATTCTGATTCGGCAGTCGAGGTCTTGAGGCGGGTTTCGTAATGTGAAACATGAAACGAGCGATGGACGTGCAACTTGTGGGCAACTTTTCTTTTCTGTTTCTCCCTGCCAACCGGAAGTTTTACAAAGGCAAACGGGCAAAAAAGAGACAAAAAAACAGTATGAAAAAGTTGAAGAGAAAGACGGGGAGGAGTGGCAGTAATTTCGAGTTATAATAAAAAGCAAAGAAAAAAGTAGACGGTGTACCAACAATTGTGAATAAATTTCAAATCACGTACAATGAACGCAGCAGCGAGAGTTGTTGCTGTGGCTGCTGCTGTTACTGCTGCTGGTGACACTAAAGGGAGCCCGGCTAAAACAAAAAGCAGCAAGTTGGCCAACAAGCAACAAAAAACCAGTACAGAATGTTGCTAATTTAAAGCCCGTTAGGAAAAAAAGAGCGAGGGTGAAACAATGACTACGGAAAGGGGTGCACGTCAAGGTGGTGCAATCACCCCATCTTTTATAATGTCTTTTTCACGCCGCCCTGCATAAATTGTGTGGATTATATGGCGCAGTGAAAAGGATTCACTTCCTCGTCGCCACGAGGGGAAGCAGCCGGCAACAATTGCAGTAGCTGCAATCAGATACTGAATCGAGGGCAGGTTTTTATAGACCTTATCTGAATACTTCGGAAAGTAGAAGAATGGAGACGGAAGTGTCGACTTTACGCTGTTAATTCACAATAAGCAGCTCCGGAATCGTAACTTTGGCGTATTTGCAAAGGAATAGAAATGTGTTATGAAGTTGGGGAAGGCAAAAAGTTAGATAATAACAAAGAAAATACATTTTCATATTTTTTCAAAACCTAAGTAACAATAAATCTAATATCAGAACATCATTATAGCCAACTCATAGTTAAAAATAAGAGTTTATAAAAATCGAGTAAAGGTGCAAAAATAAAAACATAGTTTATTTATTTTAAGAAATTAGTTTTAAATCTGCCATCATATTAACTCATAAACAATATTTTCGTGTTTTCGTATATTTACAGAAAAACTTTTAACTAACTTCTTCATTCGGACAGATTTAAAACTCTTTTATTTTCGAGAGACTACTGTAGCCCCTCTATTCATTAACCACAAACCATCATTAATTAACTCAACGATAAAGTTGTTTGGGATCAAGTCCATTGATAGTTTACCTATATTATGGTTTTTGCTATCTTCTCGTCTCTTTCGCTTTTTGGCCGAGAGCAGTGTTTATGTTGGGCGGATAGAGGGGGTGTGGCCAGAATGCGGATGACGTAGTCGATGAGTCAAACTGAGAGTGAGAGTGACAAAAACCGAAATGAAATGCACATAAATAAACACTCGAAGAGAGTAAAGAGAGAGAGAGAAAATTACTTTGCTGCAGTGCCTTTTGGTGGATAAGGGAAGAAGGGGCGGGGGGAGCGGAAGAAGGGACGCAGGACGATAAATCATGGCTTCCAAGTGGACATTACGCCCACATACACTTAACAAAATAATTTGTTTGATAAATGATTAATAGTTTTATATTTAAATTCAAGTTAATAGTTTTACTATTATGGTTCCTCTTAAAAACTTTGTCTTTAACAATCCTATTAAATAATACCTATATTATCATCAATGTTTAGATTTTATAACTATAAAGTATTTTGAAAATCGGGCTTAAATAAGGAAAGCTTATGAATTTTCTTCTGTGTAGCTCATCGTGTAAGCCTTTTCATTATGGAAGCAGGACATGCACTCTCTCGCACACCAATACCTTTAGAAGCCATGTGTGTGCAATCAGGAGCGAAACGAGGACATTGCAGGCCAACAACAAAATCAATGAAATTTTCACTACTTCCTTTAGGAAAAGGTAAAAAAAAGGAATAATCAAAGCAAAGGAAAGAAGGCTGGCCTGGTTTGTTCGTCTGGACGATGTTTGCCTTTCGGCTTCGTCCTGCAGGCGAGACCAAAGTTATTAGCCTGCAACACCTTTTGGCTTTGCCGCATTAACCAAACAGCATATAAAATTTGAAAAAACGAAAGCATTTGAGCAAACAGAAAACCCAGATAATGACTTTTCTTTCTGGCTCGTCTGAAAGGGAAAAGTTATGCCTTTAGATGGAGAAAATATTTGCATTGAGGCATGAACGACTGCAACATTTCCTCCTTTTACTTGGCTGTTATATCAGAATGGTTATGATGATGCGCGCATCATTCGACAGTTATTTTAATATAATTAACCTTGGTCACGCCACTTGGCGAAGTGGGTTACGAAAAATTTGCAAGCCAAACACAAACAAGAAAATTGCGCAAACAAGTGACCCAGAATAGTAATTAAACAACTAGCCACACAACAAGTTACTCATCTAATCAATGAAGTATCCCCCCTTGAGCATGGTCGTTGAACTCCATAAAGATGGCAAGATCTTATATTGCGTAAGATTAGATGATGTTCTATATTCTATACTAATAACGAACGGATTTAGTTTTAAAGTAAGAGAAAGGTCAGACATAAATATTTGTTTGACAAGAAGCTTTTATACAATTTATTAGCTGCTGGAAATATTCTTACTTCTGAATTCGTGTACAAATCTTAAAGTTTAGAAATGTTCCCCTCAAGGTAAGCCTTTTGATTTTGCAAATACCACCCCGTCTCCCAAAGACCATATAAATCGGACATAGTTACTATAACAAAATATTTTTTAAATTGAATTGCTCTCAAGTTTTCTCTAACTTCCGTTTAGAATGTTATTTTAAAACAATTTTCTATAGATATATGGATATAGAGACAGATATATGTACTTACTTCTGGTGGATCCCAAACACATTCGCCTGTGGTGAGATTGGCGTACATGTGCTCCTTGGTACGTGGCTCGATGATTTCTACCCATTCTATTCTGCTATTCCGGAGTAAAGATAAAGATGGAGATCCGGGAGAGGGCGAGAAATACACATAAATAAGACATAAAATGCGATTGCTTCTATTTTCGAGCAACCAACAGAAGCATCTCAGGAATGTGAGTTTCTCGAGATACGAAACTTTGGTAAAATACGCCCTCAAAAGCGTCAGCAAAAACAACAACGGCTAAGTCTCCCAGCAAACAAATGTTTCATTCAATATTTCAGGGCATTCATTGAGGCAAATTTGATGGAAGGAAAAGAAAAAAAGTTGACCAAAATCAGCATTGTGCGTAGTTTCCAAATATATGTGTGTGTGCCGGTTTTCCCCCATTCAATTGGGCTTTTCTCTATGCTGACAAACATATTTAGTCAAACATTATCCGGTTTTTCCTTATTTGAAAATTGCAATCCTTACACACACACACACACAAGATGTAGGCGAGAATGGGAGTTGGGAGAGAATGAGGGTGTATGTGTTTGTACTCTCTCTGGCTCTCTCTTTTTGGCACATTTGGCGGCCGACGCTTGTTGCCGCGCCTTGCCAGAAAATCGATTTTGCAGGCGCCTGAGGCCACGAAAGAGCCAAAAAGTGCATAAATCAGGAATTTAATCAAGGTAAAAGAAAATGCAAGCGAAACAAGAAGGAGTAGGAGCAGAGAGAGTGTACCCACCCACACACGCACTTTTACGCACATACAGTCACAGAGGCAAGCAAACGCAGCTGTCAAAAGGCGGCTCCTTCTACTCGCCTCTCTTCTTCCACCCGCTTCCACGCCCACCCCCACCATCTCTCTCTCCTTTTGCCCACCCACCCAATCGCACTGCATGGAAATTTTTTCTGCATTCAAAAGACAACAATATATTTAACAAAAGCATCTGCAGTTGGTCATTGTTGTTGCTGCTTTTGCTTTTTTAATAAATTGTACACACAATTTCGACATTCGCGTTGTCTGGAGATTGCCGTTGTTGTTGCTGTTTCTGCTGCCGTTGATGTTAGTTGTTGTAGTTTGTAGTTTAACGGCACACACCTTTCACAACTTGAACTCATTTTTTCTCTGCTCTTTATTAGGGGGCTGCTGATGGTTGTTGTTGTTGCTGGCGGTTTTCTCTCGGTTGTTGTTGTCGTTGCTGCCTCCTTTTGCTATTTCTTCTGCTTCTTCCTCCTTTCCTTACACAAACACAAACGCACACACCCCGAACGCACTTTATATATATATAAATATATTTTCTTTCACTTATTTTCGTTTCGGCCGCGACAGCATAGATGCAATTTTCTTCTCAATTGATTTTTTCCTCACACTTTGCACTCCTTTCTCACATGCGTGCAGTTTTTGTTGCTATTACTACTGCTACTGCTGTTGTTGTTGTTGCTGTGGCTGCCGCTGCAGTGCAACTTAAAACACTTTCACATTTATGACATAATTTACTGGCCATATTTTTGCTTGGCTCTGCGTTTGTGCAACTGCATGTTCCCAGCGCGTTTTTAAATATTTATGCTGCCGTGCTAATTCGAACGCGAGTGGTGAGAATATAAATAGTCGTTTTCGGATGCATCTATGCGCTGGTGGTGTGGAAAAGTCGATGAGTCCATCGATAGTACGATAGTACTTCTAACCGGCACTATCGATGGCCTGCGATAGTATTGGATATGTATATAAAATGAAAAGTAAACATAAAAATAGGGCTATAATTTGGTTGGGTATTGCTTTTATAAATTATTTCAACATTATAAACAATTTTTTTATGAAAGTCCCAGTAACTTCTCGAGGATAATATCGATAAGGACCCATCTTCAATCGCTAGTGGCATGCACCAGCACTACCAGAAAACCAAAACAAACATGACTGGACCAATGCGACCATCACTTGAAAACTTTTTTTAAATTTTGCGGGTAACCGTTTTACCTAAAAACAGAAAAGTGTAAGCACAAGAAGCAACATTTGTTTTTGTAGTAAGGTATTTTGCGATTTGACACAAAATTGCTTTTGAAAGGTAAATGTTGAACACACTTCCATTTGGACTCTTCCCTAGAAAATTTAATATGAACATATCGTATTAAAAAATTGTACTAAAAATGTGAGGGTGTCGCTTTTAAATAGTATTAATAATTATTCGAATTAAATCTTGCCGGTTAGTTTTTGTACGCATTGCGAAGTCTTACCCGCTTTTTAAGCTTTAATTTTTGTTTATTGTTTCCCGCGTCGGCGGAATAAAATCTCAATTCTTGCGCAATACTTAAATATGTATATAGTTATCAAAAATATTTTATATTTCAAGGAAAAGCACGTTTAGCTTACTTCACACAGGGTTTGAACTTATAATCGGCTTAGCCCGGAACTAATAACAGTCGGAAATCATGTTCTCATCGTCGCGCTTTAATGCACCGAGGATATCATCCAGCAGAGAGGTAAAATTCTCTCTGCACTCAAACCACTCTTGATGCTGCTTGACCAACTGCTCCAGGTCAATAGCCTTTAATTCCTCGAAAAACTGTCGTAGTGGTACAGCAAACTGCTTGTAGTAGAATTCGTCTATGTGCCGCTTTTCCGCAGTTCCTCCCTCTTCGTTTATCTGCATCTGAGTCTCAAACGCCTTCTCCAAAAGCTGGGCATCCTGCGAGTTCAAAATGGACTCAATTACTTCATCTGCTTCGCTGGAATTAATTGGTGCTTGATTCGAAATAGGCGTTTGCTGTGGTTGGTGCGGGAAACTGAAGGTTGGAAGATCGCTTTCCGAGAGCGGCGATCTCATTTCGATTTCCTCCATCATCCCCTTGTAGCGTTCAAATTTTTCCTTTAATATCCTAACGCCCATAATAAGAAGTTCTAGTACCTCCATCGAAGTCTCCTCTCGCAAACACTTGAGAAGGACGCCAAAATATCCGTACTGTTGTACCTCGCCAAATACTTTGGCAATGCTAGTCTGGATCTCTTTCTCCGTAAGAGTGACAATCTTTTTTTGTTCCTTTGAAAAAGTAACCGTGGGAAAGGAGCCATCAATCATACCCTGGTTGCTGAACTGACGGTAAAACTCCCGGCGCCAGAAATTTAGGGCATTCAACTTGACTTCTTTATGATGATCTCCAATTACACAATAGTTAAGGGTTGAGAAAAGCGTGTTCTTATACTTGTTGTGGATCTTACGGTGTTCGTAGATTTTCATAAGTGTGATTATGGCTTCAGCTCGCACAATATCATCGTTTTCCCGATACATAACATGCAGAAGATGGTCCTGTTCAGAGGTTTTTAAATATTCGTTGTTTGAAATTTCCATGGATTTACTTACCACAAGGTCAAGTTGGCTAAGACCATTCTCCCACAATAGATTTATGGATACCATTTGGGAAAGACATTTAAATGCCGAAGCTCTTACATAGACTTCCGAATCATTCTTAGCCATTTCGTAAACAATCGGGGGAATCTTTGAGTCGATCAAAAACCTTTGGAAGGCGGGAAACTCTAAAAAAATTAAAGTTATCATTAAAAGAATGCAGAACGTAATAATAATAGCATGCTTACTGACGCGGGAGATACTGGCAATAGAGGTAGTGAGCTCCAGAGTTGTGTCACGCACCTCCCACATCGTGTCGTGCATTCGCTTTACGATAATGGGACCCAGACAAACCAGCGCTGAGCCTTGCAAGTTATCCACCAACAGAGCCATGTTGGGGGAGAGGAAGTGTTCTACAGCCAGCTGGACTAGCTTTAGCGCCTGTACAGTGCACTGCAACAAAAATTAAATTAATAAGAATGGTTACTTCAAAGTCCTAATAATTAAAAATTTATAACATTTGACTTATTTAAAATAAAACTCACCCTGGCATCCATGTTTGTGTTCTCCAGGACAAAGGCCAAACAGTTGACCAGACCAATGGTCTCCACGGACTCCTTCCATGTAATCTTAAACCGTTCGATAAGAGTCCGCAGACCCACCATGACGGAGTGCAGTACCTTTGGATCGTTAACTACTTGCTCAGTGCCTCGTGGATACATTTCTAGGTACGAGGAGCCCGCGCTACTGACACTATGGCAGTCATCCTGCGAATTGTTTGTGATGACACTCAGGGCTACTGCCTCGCGAAGCACATAGAGCAGTGCTTGACATACAGTAACCGCCTGCTCCCGATCGAGAACATTTTCGAGGGCCAAAAGGCTGTGAATGCATTTGTTTGCTAATCCAGCCGTGACAAGACCCACCGCCATTCCGTCTGCTGTGAAGAATGTATCTCTCATTGTATAGCAAAGCCGAAGAGTCTGCTCGCACGAAATCTCTAGCAACTTAACAACATACGCATCGAAAAGTTCCACTTTATTCTCCTCATCGGCGATTTTCTGAGCATACTTCATAGAGAAGAGCAGAGGCAGCATATGGAAGCAGATTAACTGGTTTTCAAACGTGACGCGTTCCTGCTGGATGACGATTTCCTTCGGCGCGCGAGTGCCCAATTTTTTCCACAAAACATGATTCAGCTCAGCTAACTTCACAAAGCTCACACCGTCTTTGCGGGTAATAAAAAATTTCATGAGATTGAAGAATGCCAACCCGAACTCTGTAAACTCCTCCGGAGGCTCGGTGGCATCCGTATTCAGCAGCTTTTCATGCATCAGCAGAGCAAAGTTGTAACTGCTCAGCGTTGTGAAAATTTTCTCAATAAAGTAAGGGTTGTGAGTCATATCAATCAGCTTCCAAATGGTAATCTCGAAGTCATGATGCTCCTTGAGCAGGGCAATCAAACTGGTGCGCTCCTCGTGCACCAAAGTCTGCTGAAGGATGTACGATAGCAGGTCCAAAGTGGCCGAAATTCTGTGTAGCAATTCGTTGTCATCTACCTTGATGTGGATGCGCTCCTCGTTGTCGGTGCTCTTGTACAGATTGTCGTGGATTGGTTTCATGATCTCGGTGAGAATCTCCAGGGTAACGGCCTTGTCATGCAGCTTATCGCAGGACTTGTACAGCATATTGTAGAGCACCTGCCGGGCTTCCCGTACCACATATAATGTGTGATCGTTGTTGGAATACTGGATGAGCAGGGTCCAGATGCGGTGCATACGTAGGAACGCCAAACCCATACTATACACGGTGATGGCCTTCATAAGACGAATCCCACCCAGTTTTATAGAAGGACTAAAGTTGTGTTCCGCCTGAAGGAGTTTAACAGCTCTTAAAGAAAGAGATTGATGATAGGGATTTTCCAAGAGGTTTCTTCTTATTGGGCCACTCACCTGCTTACTATATCCAGCTCTCGGAGGCGCACAATCATCCACTCATTGTTTGCCAGATAGCTGGTCAGATTTAACATAAAAGAAACTACCTTCGGATGGATCTTGTTAAAATCCTCGGTTAATGCAGTGATGACCCTATCCACCCAGTCAACCACAAAAGGGGCCTGAAGCACAAATGCGTTCTCTGCAGAAAGATATAAATTGATAGGGGATTAGAAGAGAGATAGTACGACCACTTCGAATCGGAAACTTACCCTTGGCCTGCAAGTGCGTGAGGAGCTTCTCAAAGTAAACATTGTTGGTAGTGGAAAAGTTCTCGCGCAAAAATATGTCGAATATCGGGCGCAGGCGCGACAGCACCTCTTCTTGCTTCTGCATCTTGTTGGTTCCACTCTGACTGCCTATATAGCGATTCCACCTATGGCATAGTTTTCGAGCTTGCAATTGTTCCACTAAGTAATGAAATCGTTTGATTGCGGCCCTTATCACGCCAAAGACACTTGTTTTGCATTTAGAGTAACCATGCGCAGGTGCCTTCGAAATGCCAACTTGCCAGAGTTCCGTGTGCTCGAAAGAAAGCCCGGGAAGAAACCACAGTATGAATAGCATAACGTGTGTTTGGACAATTTTTTACGTTTTATCCTTTATGTACGGAAAAAAAGTTTCAAATTAAAAAAAATATAACGAATATTTAAAGATTTATTAACCATAAATTAGGAAACCGGATTCAAAGATTTTTTAAACATAGAGGCATTGTCTTGGTTCGTAGAAAAAATTGTTTGATTATTTAACCTCGGTCGGGATGAATAATCATTACTCCTAGCCTTCAAACGATTGATTTCGCACCTGTGACTGGATTAGAGATCATGTGCGCAATTTGTCCGCATCACTGCCGAAGAAGTCGTTTGGTGACAGCAGCCAAAGCTGCGAGGGTCACACTGTTTTTTAGATGCAAAATAAAATAATGACGCTGACATCGAATCGGACATAGGGGACGAATAATGGATAATAATGTAGAGCAAACAGCAGCAAAGACCCAAAAAGCCGAATCCACAGCATCAACAATAGGAGCACCAGCATCAGGAGGAGCACCTGCAACCGGAGCAAGAGGCGCGGGACCAACGCCCGGCGCAAACTCCTCGACCTTTTGGAAAAACAGCGGACGTCGGGTGCCCGGACGACCCAGTCCCAAGCGGGAGCTCGAAAAGTCCGTGGGAGTGGGACTCGGCGCTGACTCCGCAACTGGCATGGTGTCCACCTTTACCGAGTACCAGAAATCGGTGAGCGATGCCTGGGACATGGGTGATGACGAGTTTTGCATCATTAGCAGCACAGAGGCAGCTGCGGCGGCGGCAGCTGGAGCTGGCGGTGGTAATTGTTTCGCAACCAGGAAGTGTTTTCTTTACTGAATTCCGGGTTTGATCCCCGACAGATTCCGCTCGCTTTTCCCGGCAAGTGTCCCAGACGGTGGCGCTCAACGTCATCGAAACCCACTCGCGGAGCAACCAGAACCATAACGCATCTCGGCCGGCCAGCGAATGTAATCTGGATTCAATTCCAGCTTGCAGGAGCTCGGTTGATGACAACAAGGAAGACCACAGATCGCTGCCGGACAGCAACGAGAACAGGTGAGTGGCGCCAACTCAACTGGGAAGTCAAAAAGAAAGTTGAACCTGTAGCCCGCAGTTGTGCAAACAAGCCAGGGGTGGAGTGGGTGTGAACCCGCACCTTGGTTACTTGCTGATGTAAGGCGAAAAAGGGGGCACATCTTAATCTAAATATTAAGCGTTTCTCTTTACCTTCAAAAATTGAAAAGAAATTCATAAATTTTTTGAACCAATTAAATTGATTCGAACCAATGAACGAGAAATCTTAAACTATGCCAGGTTTCTTACTGGGTCTCTTAAAAAATGTAGCATGTATGTAGGGTGTGATATATTTATTTTCCGCTGCAGTTCATACCTCTATTTGTCAAATCTTCCACATTAACCAGTGTTAACCGTTTGGCTTTGTAGCCGCTCCTGAAGCATTTTACTTCCTTAACTGATAGCCTCTCCCCAGCATTCCCTCAGAATAATGTCAGCAGACGCAAAACCAAGATCGCAAGCAATTAAGCCCCCAGAGGTTAGTAATCGAGGTTGCCTTTTCAGATCGCGATTGAGAAACTACCCAGGAAGGCCGCAACTGCAGAAAATCAGTTCGAACTGCCAGGACAGCGAGTATGAGACAAAAATTGAAAAGTTTCAGGTGGTGCTAGACTCTCCTCAACTCGATTTAGTGGCCCTCAAGAAGATCAGCTGGTCTGGCGTGCCACGGAAGGTAAGATTTATAAGAATAATCTTGGTATAATCCTAATATCAACCCACCTTAGATGCGCGCTGTCAGCTGGAGACTCCTTTCGAAATATCTTCCGCCGTCGAGCGAACGGAGGATGGCAGTGTTAGAAAGCAAGCGGCAGGGTTATCAAGACCTCAGACACAACTACTTTCGGGTAGATAGTCAAGATGAGACGCAACAGGACACCTACCGCCAGATCCACATCGATGTGCCACGCATGAATCCGCAGATTCCGCTCTTCCAGCAACAGCTTGTTCAAGAGATGTTCGAGCGCATTCTCTTTATCTGGGCCATTCGACATCCTGCCTCGGGCTATGTGCAGGGTATCAACGACCTAGTTACGCCCTTCTTCATCGTCTTTCTCCAGGAGGCCCTAACGCCTAATACGGATCTAGAGAAGTATGATATGTCCACGTTACCCGAGGAAACGCGCAACATCATAGAGGCAGACTCTTTTTGGTGCCTATCTAAGTTTCTCGACTGTATCCAGGATAACTACATCTTTGCCCAGTTGGGCATACAGGAAAAGGTTAACCAACTAAAGGATCTGATACAACGCATCGACGGTAAGTGCCTCATTAAGTTTACCTTAAATTAAAGGGGATCAAGTATAGATAGAGATATATGTTGTCTGTATTGTGATAAGATAAGTGCGAAGGCTTTAGACTTGAGTAATAAAGGCTTAAACCTTTTGTCTGCCTCTGATTAACATTTCAGAAGAGATGAATATGCATTCCTAATGTATGTATGTATTTACACTTGCTGTTTCGTGCGAAAATGTATATGAATTACCTGAATTTTAGTTATTTAATTATATTTGTTAATATTGACATCAATGACGTGTGCTAACATTATCATGACCCAACCTATTTCGCTCTGATATGTATGATTACTAGATAAGGGACAAACGATTGTCTCTTTTAAGGCCTCTAACCCCTATAATTGCCGAATAATGATAATTACTTATAACTTTTGTTTTCAGTGAATTTACACCGTCATCTACAGGCACATGGCGTCGACTACTTGCAATTCTCATTTCGTTGGATGAATAATCTTTTGACACGCGAACTACCGCTGCACTGCACCATCCGGCTGTGGGACACATATCTGGCGGAGTCTGATGGATTCGCCCTGTTTCATTTGTACGTGTGCGCGGCTTTCCTGCTGCACTGGAAAGAGCAGCTAATGCAACAGAACGATTTTCAGGTAAGTTAATGATAAGAATCCTTTAAAACGTCTACTGACCGATGGTATTTTTCGATCTGATAAAGGGTCTCATGTTGCTGCTACAAAATCTGCCAACACACAATTGGTCCGATCGCCAAATCAACGTTCTATTGGCCGAGGCATTCCGCCTTAAGTTCACGTATGCAGATGCACCTAAGCATCTGGAGACAAAGAGTTGACAAAAGCAACACAAACAACGCATATACGTAACTTAGAAGTTAGTTTACTACGATTTGCGGAATATACCTACACAATACACGTACGCTACATACATCTAATAATTATATACAATTTGTTATTTAGACGTTCCTCTCAATTTGTTTTCATTTTTTTGTCGTTTCCGTTTTGTATTTATCAACAATCCGTACGTTGGAAACAGCTAAGGTTCTGCGCTTTTCTGTACATAAGAATCAAAATTCAAAATACAATTTTACACGTTCAAGTCGAGCAGTTTCAATTGAAATTTGTCTTTTATAAAAACAAATCGAATCAAAAGTAAATGAGAACTTAATACTTTTTCCATGTGAAAACTCAAATTAGCCTAAATAATAAAGATGAAAAGCTATACAATTAAGGATTATAGGCTTACAAGAGTGGGAATTCTTGGGCAATACAATTGGATTAAGCAAAAAAAATCTGAATATCTAAAATCAAATTTTTGCTTAAAGCTTTAACATCTTATATCCTTATCCTAGTTCTGTCTATCGGCGATGTGCTTCAGCTGTTTAAGGACAGTCTCTAACAGTTTCTTCTTGTCGTTCTTTCGCACCAGGGAAAATATAGGTTTTTTATCCGCTTCGCGGATCTTCTCCAGTATTACAATAATGGACTGTGGTTGCACCAAGTGGTATCGGTTCTCCTGCTTTCCATAGTCATGGAAATACGTACTCCACTCCTCCAGAATGAGCAGATCCAACAGTTGTCGGTTACGCAGGAAGTACTTGCTCAACTCCCCTTCTTTTAGGCCAGGGACCGGTTCTGAAGCAGCAAAGAATTCGCATTGCATTAGATCGAGGTTTATTTGTGTTAGCGCCCCAGTTGAAATCTGTTTCACGTCCTCGTCATACATGATCGAGTAGATCTTTTCCGCAATGTGTTCGAAGGTGCGTCGACAGGCAGCCTGTGCGATGTGAGGCAGTTTAAAGGCAAAGTTGTCGAAAGTGCTCTTCAGATACGAAATCATGTCCGTAATGAAGGCGGAGGCAATGCCCGGAGGTTCTACTAGCAGCCAGTCATAAGCGCTAAGCTCGAAGAACTCGTCAATCTTGGAGCAGATGCGTAGGCCCACTTGCTTCTCGGCATCCTGCCGAGCCACATGGAACATTGCTGAAGGAGTCTGTGACACGCTCCTTTCCGTGTTGGTCATGTGACACACGAACTCGTCCAAAAACGGTCCCGCCTTCTCCAAGTACTGCGTGTCAATAATTATCTGAATGAGCTGCGTTAGCGTAATGCTAGGTTGCCGAAACACCACCGACAGACATCCACTGAAGCTTCTCGTTAAGAGAAGATTAGCGGCCTTGCGAACCATGGCGGCAACCTCATTGGGCGAAAGCGTCAGCTCCTCGGCGAACTTCATACAGGCGTACATGAACTCTTTGGCCTGATGGTAGACCTCTGGCACCATACGCGAAAATGGAAATTTTTTGGGAAACGGAGCGTTTTCCAGCTGTTCCGAATGGAAGGGGAATCGCTCGATGATGCCTTCATACTCTTCCGCGTTTTGCACAACCATGGGAAGAAACTGTTCCTTGTCTAAGATTTCACGAAAAACATGCACCCAGCGTTGCAATAAAACCTGCAAATTACAATAAACATGTTTGTTATTTGAAAACAAATAATTTAATATTTTAAAGTACTCACCTCATTATAATGATCACGCATATTGTGCAACAGTTCCCAGAGGATGCTCACTGTGTAACCGTAGCACTTAAAAGTGTTAATAGACAGCATAATCAGGTTCTTGATGCGCAGCAATATATTTGGATCTGTGCAGGACGACGAACTCATGCTTATCTCATTAACAAACTTGGTAAGAGAGTTAGACCACAGATCTTCTAGATAACTGCTTGTCACCACGTCGCCCGCCGTGTTTTTTACATGGTCCTCAACCACAAAGAAGCCAACAATAGCGCAGATGTAGGTCTTGTAGGCCTCCAAATTGTCGTGCATATTGGGTGGTGGCTGGAGTACCAGTTTGGCCTGATCCCTGCGCTGCTGGCGGTAGTCTTTCTCAAAGTATTCACGTTGCCCAAGTACCATGTAAATGTGCAGGCACCGGTAAATTGGGGAAAAGTCTATGAGGTCTTGTGCACTAACATTGGCGCCATCATCATCCCCGCCAGCACCAGCTCCGCCGGCTCCTCCTCCGTTCACCTGGTGCATGTGCTCGGCGATGATAGCGTTTATGTCGCGCTTTTGGAGTTGCTTAGTGTGAGTAATAGCCAACTCCCCGATGCGGGGTGAAAACTTCCGGATGTTCTCCAAAAACTCACGGAAATCAGAGGCGGAAGAGCGTCGAATGTTCTCCTTGATGATAGGAATCTGAATTTGCATCTGGGTGGCGAAGCGATAATTATACGTTTTTAACCGCGTCAAGTGCTCCGCCTCCAAGGTCTCCAAAGTTCTTAGCGCCTGGTAGTACTGCTTATTCGTAGCCTGCTGAGTGAACTTCATGTAGCACTCCAGTGCAGGCAGACAGGACTTAAGTGCTTCAATGGCGCTGGCCAAATTTGATTCGATTTGCCGGGCCCGCACTAGATCATTGCCTTGCTTGATTAGGGAGGCGCTAATATCTAGTAGCGAGGTGTCCAAGCCATGCACATCTTGGTGGAGTTGATTTGCCTGTGTCCGTACTTGCAGCAGTTCCTTGATTGAGTCGATAAAGCCTTGATAGTACAGATTGCAGATCCGCTCGATCTCCTTGTCATGACTACGAATCCGCTGTTCCAGTTGATCGCCAATTTGCTTTGTGTTGTTTCCTGTCGGGAAAATCAAACATGGGCGTAAACAAAGTTGGGAAAGTACCTAAAACACAAGTTACCTTCTAGAATTGAACGGAATGTCGGTCCCCAGTAGTCATCCACCGCTTCTATATCTTGGACGGTCACCTTCGACATCTTAAAACCTTTTTTTACGTTTTATTTTAGCAATTTTCTACAAGATTTAATCAACAATTTTTATTCGTCCGACAGCTGTAATATCGATATATTAAAATGTTAATTTACAATGACTATCGTGATTTAGTATCGATAGTATGCGATAGTGACGGTTAGATTTAATTTTTTACTGTATTCAAATTTGTCGCCAACTTTTCGTTCCCAAAATAAAAATATAGGATAATATGAACTAGACTTTATGTACAGCTTCCTATAACAATGACTATATTAGATCGGTCTACAATTTTTTTAATTGTGGAAACATAGTTCCAAAAAAATGGTTTAATTACGTAAAGTCAATGCAATTATTGTTCTTTAATATCCTTGTTTTGCTATATTTTGTGTTTTAATACCGTCCTCAATTTAAATATGTCAGATGTCATTGTTTTTAGATGTCAATGAAATAATTACTTTGCTGGCAATTCGGCGCCTGTTTTCAAATAAATTCAATAATGAACGTTCAAGCAACAGGTTTTAATACATGTCTGACCGTTATAGGCCGCCTGCAATCAGCTGTTGCTTTTTCAACTTTCACTTTGGCTGGCGGTTGTTGGAGCTCTCGGCTTTTTGAGTGGCCAAAAGTTGTCGGGGGAGTTGTTGTTTCGATGAAACAGTTATGTTGCAGTAATACCCGTACACGCACGCAATCACACCCAACATAAAAGCTATCATGGCCGAACTACGGAGTCGCCACAATGGAACCATTGCCGTGGAGAAGGAATCCCAGCCAAGCAACCACAACAACAACAAGCTGGATAAGGAACTATCAAAGAATGGGAACGCGGAGAAAAGTGACCCGATGATATACATCATTTTTGTTTCTTTACTCTTTGATTTGCTGGCCTTCACCATTATTCTGCCACTGCTGCCGTCGCTTCTTGAATATTATCGCCAAAACGATAGTTCCGGGCTATATGCCGTGCTCACGGATCGTGTGCGTTGGTTCCAGCAGCTCCTTGGCGCCCCGGAACGCTATATATCGGTGTTATTTGGAGGCTTCCTAGGCTCCATGTTCAGTTTCCTGCAGTTTGTGGCAAGTCCAATTGTCGGAGGGCTCTCAGATTACTATGGCCGGAAGCCTGTTCTGCTGGTTTGTGCGGTATGTAATTATAATTTTAACTAGCTTTTCGTATCGATTTGATTACTTTTCCATTCATGCTTATTTTACTTTTACTTTTTCAAATTAAATATACCGATTAAATATTCAAGCTTGTCAATTCAATTTTAAATAGAAGCCCACATTAAGAATAAGCCGGGCACTACAATATATTTTTCATTAGATAAACTCTCATATAATTTATTACACGCACATTTTGAATAAATAAATAATTTACTTATATATCCCCGTTCCAGGCTGGGATTGCGCTATCCTATCTGATCTGGGCCTGCTCCAGCAACTTTGCCCTTTTCGTTTTGGCCCGATTTGTAGGCGGCATCAGCAAGGGCAACATATCGCTGTGTATGTCCGTAATCACAGATGTATCCAGTGTGAAGACTCGGGGCCGCGGCATGGCATTGGTAGGAGTGGCCTTCTCCCTTGGCTTTATTGTGGGACCTATGATTGGTGCTGTCTTCGCCATATTTTCGGATAAAAGTGGTAGTGCCTGGTTTGTGCTTCCCTCCCTATTGGCATTTGGCCTGGCAGCTGGAGATCTCCTGGTCCTGTCATTCTGCTTGCGTGAAACATTACCCAAGGTGGGCTTAGTTAAATAAATTAAACGTGACCTCTAATTCATGGATTGACATTTTCGCAGGAAAAACGTGTTAAGGAGATATCATCTGCTCTGTCATATGGCCTGCAATTGCTGAACTTCCAGGCCATATTTAGGTAATTAATTGTTTTAATTAACATGATGCGAAAACCCGTCGTGTGATCAACTCAAAATAGTCATTCGTTGGGAATTGCAAGCAACCCGGACTTGCTTGACTGGTATAATGTATTTGATTATTATCGTGCCGTCTACTCAGGCACGTTTTTTTTGATTTTCTTATCAGTTGACAAATGCTGGTAATACTTTTGATTAAATGTAGTTACAGGGAAGGGTGTTGAGTTAGCTTGAATATTATCTACAATTATGATTGTCTAATCATATTTCGAAATAATTCTTAAATTGCCAGATTTGCTGCCATCAAAAATGTTCCCAAGAAAGACATCGAGGCCCTCAGATCTATAGGCCTGATATACTTTTTGTACCTATTTTTGTATTCCGGCTTGGAATTCACAGTCACTTTTCTGATGTACCACAAATTTGGTTACACTTCGATGGATCAGGCTAAAATGTTTTTGACAACAGGTATGGTGATATTTGAACGGTTTAAGCTCGTAACTAAATTATTTTCATATTGTGCAGGGATTATTATGACTTTGCTGCAGGGATCGGTAGTTCGACGATTGCCAGAAGCGAAGATCAAGGGTTATGCCATCTTTAGTCTGTACCTGATTGTACCCGCCTTCGTATTAGTCGGCCTGGCCGAGGGCAGTAGAATGCTCTACGCCGGCATGACTCTATTTGCAATCTCCACCGCCTTCGCTGTCACCTGTCTGACAACCCTCGTATCCAAGTACGGAAACGATGACCAGAAAGGCTCAGTATTAGGCATATTCCGCTCCCTGGGAGCTCTGGCTCGTGCTCTAGGTCCAGTGGTGGGCTGCATCGGTAAGCAAATTCTTTCAAATTTTTTTTTTAAATCCGCTCGCTTCTTATCACAAAAATCACTATAGCTTTCTGGTGTGTGGGATCGAGAATCACATATATAGCCGGTGGACTTCTACTCATTTATCCAGCCATGGCCTTGCAGCGCGCTCGCATTTAAGTGCAATAAGAACAAAAGTTATTAATCACTGTATAGATCAACGCAAGTATTAGCTGCACATTATACTTAATTTATTGTTTTGTACAACAAGTATTTTATATTAAAATAAACACATTTATATTGTATTTTATAATCAACCAATATTTTATTTCGAATGGAATAGATTAATAAACTCATCGGCACTCCGATTTGATTATTTTAATTTCTTAAACTAAGTTAAAGCTTTTCCGAAATATTTCAAATTAACTGCTGTCAAAATTATTGGTCAATTTTGACGTCATATAGAGAAGGCAACTCACTGATAGAGAGGCACACTTGTGACAGAAATGCTAAATCATGTGAAATGGATTTTAGCCGTACATAAAAATAATACAATTTATACAAGAAGGCATCAAGGTTTAAAGTTTTCTAGTTTACATGTATTAACGCCTTATCTTAATCGAGCTTTGCACCAAAAATCATCGATTTTAACAAATTACTGGCAACATTGTCTTCTATGGACAGTGTTGTCAAATGCCATTTTACTACTATAATAGAACAGGCCAACCAAATTGGCCAAAAAGAAGCTAGATTTCTTATCAAGTAGCATTATCAAATAGTCGTTTCTTTTAAGAACGAAATATTATATTTATGTTAGTCATAATGGAATAGTAATATTGTGTATGTACTTTTAATAGGCCCTTTTACTTAGACTTATTAGACTACCTTAAATTATTTTTTTAAATTACAAAATATTTATATCTGACAATTTGATATAAGATAGAAATTTAAATATTTACACTTTTCTTAAACATTTAATTATTTTAAATTTGTATTATTTTTGCATGTTGTAAAATAACTGGAACTAAGAAGCTTTTTCTTAGTTTTGTGTTGTCTTGTATTCGACCTATAAAAATATCCAAATTTGGGGGAAAATAGCTAAGTTGGCAATACTTTCTACAAGCCGCAGCCAACTTCACTTCACTTGGATGAATATTGGGAGTGACTAAGTTTCGTGTAAGAGAAAATCGCAGATAAATGCCTTGAAAGTAGCTGCAAATGTCAAGTTAATACTGTTCGAGTTGCCGGAAAGATTGTGCCATCCATTCCAACCGCAAACGAACTAAAACCTTAGCAGTTTTGTAATAAAAAATACTGATATATACACATTTCTTTTTCTTTACAACTACAACTGCAAATAAAAGTGTAAAGTGTGTGAGCCTACGACAAACGCATTAAAGAAATCGGCGGCGCGCAGGGATTATTGGATTTCGTTTAGCACCCGCACACAAAACAAAAGGACGGAACTGGATTAGCCAAGGATATCGAGTCGAAAGCGAGCGATAGCAAAACAAATTGAAAAAATGGGTGCAAGAGAAGACGAGTACGATTATCTGTTCAAAGGTAATTATAAACATGACACTAGCCGGTGGGCGAAGATCGTGGAAGGGGGATAGGAGGAGGAGCAGCTTTTCCAGGCTCTCTTTCTTTCTTTCCTTGGTTCAATGGCACTAATTGAAACTAATTGGAGAATAACAAAAAGTGCACTAAAAGAGCCCAAAGTTCATGTGATGGTATGTGGCTCGTCTGTGTGTGTATGATTAATTCCCAAAATAAGCCAAAGAAGTACGCCCCCCGTGATTGTTGTTGTTGTTGTTGTTGTTGCTGTAATGCAGTTGGATGCCCTTTAGAGGTTCTCTCTCCCCCTTTTTTCTTCTCTCTCTTTGGAGCTCTCTTCCGGATAGAAGTTCGCGTACTTTGCCGTTAAATGTCTGCTTTGTCATTACGTTACCGTTGCTCTCGCCACGTTGCATATAAAAGCAAACTCAATTCGTATCAATAAAAGTTTAAAAACCCATATTTTATGCTTAGCCACCCACTCAAATTTGTAAATAGATTAGATTTTCAGTAAATATAGTGAGAGAGAGTGTGGGTATTTTGATTTCTGTACAGCTGGCTTTTGCATTTTGATTTTTGTAACTTCTTTCAGTGGCTCTCTTTTTCTCTCTCTTGCTCTCTCGCTCTCAATTGAAAGTTTGGAGCACGGTGAAGCAAAAACATGTATTAACAGATTGAAATCTTTTCCTTTATCCCACATCTCACATTTATGTATGTTCAGAGGTCATCAATTCTCAGTTCTCCTTTTGTTCTCTTCGTTTGCTACTACGCCATAAATTCCAATTGCGTTTGAAAACAAATCTGATATCACAGCTGAGCAACTGTTGAATGTCATTAATGGAAATTGTACTGCCACATCTTTTGTCAAATATTTAAACCCTTATCATTTGTTGTTTTTGGGTCAAGTATCCAAAAACAAAAAAAAAATTTTTTTCAAAAACACCATATGAGTGCGTCAATGAGCGATATGCATGATGAGGCTTCAAATTTCACACATAAAACGATATTAAACAGGCATGACTCACAGGCCTGTTAACTGTTAAAGAATTCCACTCGGCGATAAGCACATAATCACATAACCAAAGTGGACTGTATTTGGGTTGTTCTAGCCATTTCCACTAGTAAGTAATGTCCGGCGATTTCTACTCCCCTTTTAATTTCTCATCACATCCGCTTAACTAAGTGTAATTTCTCTTTGAAGATCGTTAGAAACGGAGAGAAAAAGAGTAGCTAATAAAGTGACTCAGCGCTCTCGCTGATAACTGTAACCAGGCTGCTCCCAGCTGTCCACACCAAAAAAATTATTTTATAAATAATTTTCACTGTATAGTAGTATAAAAACGCAGGATTTTGTTACTAGTTACCTGCTGCTGTATCCTCAGAAGTCAAATTTATAATATATGTAGCTTTATTAAACATCCATAATTGTAGTTTTAATAATTTTTATCAATTTGCTTTGCAATTTTTTGTTTTGTGCAGCTTAGTAGAGAGTGATAGAGCGAAAAGGTGTTTTATGAGTTTTTGTTATTGTTTTCTCAATGGATTGGCATACACTCTGAATCAACAATGTCCGAAAAGGGTGTCAAAAATGAAAACTATCCGACATGTTTACCCTGTAAATATAGTAGATATTGCTCGGTGCAAGCTTAATAAAATCTAGCAAACAAATAAGAGCATTTATCATATTTTTTAGAGAGGTTTAGGTTTTTCTTAATTTATTTTAATAGACACCACTTTTGTTATATAGCTTTATAAAAATCTGAATCTAATACGTGTTCTTTAAAACATTTTATAGTAATGTCTTTTTCGTACATATTTGAAACACTAGCCATATAGAATTTTACTAGATAATGTTTGTATTTTAAGGCCCTGAACTTAGAAAGCATGTTTACTTGCACAAATAAATCCCCCACTCAATTATCCAAGAAATGTTTGCTATCGGCTATAAAGTACAATAACATGAACTCCCGAACGTCAACTCCCACAATCATAAAACATTTGTTTCCATGGACTGAAATTCCCCCGAGCATGGCGGTTTTATGTTCTCGCTGACCTTGAGACGCCGTGCCATCAACGAAAAAAGGATATGACCTAGCCGGGCCATAGGCAACTATCCTGTCCGGCCATAAAAACACAAGGCACCGGCCACACCACACCACAAAACCCACTTACATATATATTATGCAACTTGGGGTCTTCGATTATCCAATGCCGATGTCGATGTCGCCACCGTCACTAATGCTCTCTAATCCTTTGCAGTTGTCCTTATCGGTGACTCCGGTGTTGGTAAAAGTAATTTGCTTTCACGTTTCACGCGCAATGAATTCAATTTGGAGTCCAAGTCGACTATTGGCGTTGAGTTTGCAACGCGCAGCATAGAGGTGAGTAAGAGGGGCAAAAGTTGGGGGTGGCTAAAGAAGCCACCACCACTCGCTGAGTGGGTCACGGGTAAACTTGCGTGTGCGTTTCGCTTGGAGGACACGTAGTTGAGGCATCTATCGGAAAATAAAGGGGAAAACTTACGTTCAATTTCAGTAAGTGTCTGAGAATTTCACTAAATAAAGGATTGCCAATTGGTTTTTATACCCGTTACTCGTAGAGTAAAAGGGTATACTAGATTCGTTGAAAAGTATGTAACAGATAGAAGGAAGCTTTTGCGACCCTATAAAATATATATTCTTATCAGGATCAATAGCGAAGTCGATGACCATGTCCGTCGTCCGTCCGCCGTCCGTCCGTCCGTCCGTCCGTCCGTCCGTCCGTCCGTCCGTCCGGAACGCTGAGATCTCAGGAACTATAGCAGATACAAAGCTGAGATTAAGCATGAAGATCTGAGGTCCCGGACAGCGCAAGTTTATTACAGCATCCTGCCACGCCCACTCTAACGCCCACAAATCCAAAAACTAAAATTGCTGAAATCTCAGAACTATTGCAGATAGAAAGTTGAAATCAGAAAGTATAATCTTAGATGACAGCACAAAAACAAAAATACAAAAGATTTTCAAATCAACATTATTTCGCTATTTATGAAAAATTAAGGTTATAAGGCTCCACATGGGCAGTGACGTCACTATAAGCATACCAACATACTCCTCTGACAATAGGTGGCGCCTTGGAATTTCCACTAGCAAAATTAATATTTTAAAATTGTAAAACAGTAACGGGTATCTTATAGTCGCGGCACTCGACTATAGCGTTTCCTCTTGTTTTTTTTTGGTTAATTTATGAGGCAATCCTGTCGGGATAAGCTAAATGTTGACATCATAGTTTCCACGTTTACCCAGATAGTCGTGTAACAAATTAGTTGGCATTAAAAAGCGAATAAGTCATAAATATTTTATTTAATCTGATTAAATTGACAAATGTCAATAAATGTAATTAAAATATTTAAAATATTATTATTACCTTTGAACTCTTTTAAAAAGGGCATTAAAATATTTTTAAAGTAATTATATGTTTTAAATTTGAAAGTGAAATTTTGACAAGGCTTTTCGTGTGAATTTTATATAAATATATTTAGGTCAAAGGGATTTAACGGACTCATTTTGGTTTGGGTGCTCAAATGTCCCATTTGGTAAACCACTTGAGGTATCCAAATTTTACCTAAATGTTGACATCACTATGAAGTGCTTGTATATCGATTTTCTAAGTGAAACCGCCGCAAGGATAACGTAAGAAAATTGCCAATTACTGTCACTATTCTAATGCTGTTCCTTTGTTTCTCCCTCCAACCCAACACACCCAACCAACGCAGGTCGATGGCAAAACAATTAAAGCGCAAATCTGGGATACGGCTGGCCAGGAGCGTTATCGCGCCATCACCTCTGCCTATTATCGCGGTGCTGTTGGAGCCCTGCTCGTCTATGACATTGCCAAGCATCTGACCTACGAGAATGTGGAGCGGTGGCTGAGGGAGTTGCGCGACCACGCTGACCAAAACATTGTCATCATGCTGGTGGGCAACAAGTCCGACTTGCGACACTTGCGCTCCGTGCCCACGGACGAGGCGAAACTGTTTGCCGAGCGCAATGGCTTGAGTTTCATAGAAACCTCGGCCCTAGACTCGACAAACGTTGAAACGGCATTCCAGAACATACTCACAGGTGAGTGGTCCAGGTTAACTTAGGTTGAACTCGAAGCTTCGATCGGTATATATTTCCCAGACGGTCAGAAATGTTTATTCCTATAAAGTATATTTCGATTTCTTATTCTGGAGAAGAGTCATCCGACTATTAATTATATTGTCATGCCTCTGACTATACAATAAGGGGTTTTTATAGAACTTGCTTTATCAAAAACAGTTATATTTTTATCTTTCATATTTGAAATTAAAATTTTAAAATAAAAAGAAATAATGAAAATTGTATTAAGTTCTGAATGAAATTCAGAAAAATTATTCGGATAAATTTAATGTTATATACCATACTCTTTTTTTAAACCCCTTAAGTTATTCCCATATTTAATTTGTCTAATGGATTATATTTCTATTTTGCTGTTTAGAGATCTATCGCATTGTGTCGCAGAAACAAATCAGAGATCCGCCGGAAGGCGATGTCATTCGCCCGTCGAACGTGGAGCCCATCGACGTGAAGCCAACTGTTACCGCCGATGTACGCAAGCAGTGCTGTCAGTGACCGCCCCAAGCAACTTTCGCTATCCCCCGCAACCGCCAGAACAGCAACATAAACAGAAGCAACAGCAATTACAACTACAACAGCAGCAACAACTACAACTTCAAGATCAGAAGGAGCGAATTTCTGATGGACCGCATAAGATGTTTTTGTGTTATTCAACCACAGTTTGTCATATGTGCATAAATTGATAAATCAAATCAAATCAACACCACCAACACCAGCAGCAGCAACAGAATCGAAAACCACATCCGGCTGTAGTTAACTGCGGTTTAAACTGAAGTTTTATATATACAGATTTAAATAATATCGCATAAATCGATCGCCGTGGAAAAAAGCAAGCAAAACTAAACACTCCAAATTCAGTTTAAGCTGTAGAACTATAATTTATATAAATATACATATATGCTAATATTAAAAATATTAATATTATTAATTTTTCGCAACATAAATATATAGTTGTAATTTCTCGAGAAAAACAACAAACAACCGGAAACTTCGATTATGATGAAAATTAATTTCTACAACACTGCAGCGCGGAATATTTTCAGTTTTCAATCATACATTTAAAAAAAATTGGCCACTTCGTAAATTAAACTTTGTCAAAAACTAGCTGATAAAGAGAAATCAAACAAGAACAGTTGTAAAACTTTAAATGCATAAATGAAACGAAATAACATCATTTGTGTTTGCTATGTTAAGTGTGATTAAATAAATATAATTTAAATAAAAGGAAACTTAATCATTTGTTTGAATTGGGAGGGGGCGGGGGCCTAAATTTAAACAGAATTAGAGTGACCAGATAGAGTTAACGCAACTACTTGGTATTTTCTAAGCATGCAGCCATACTGATCCTAACACGTGCGGCAGGAAAGGTAGCAGAAACATCAAAACATGGGCGGCAAAAAGAAAGTGCATCCAAAGACGCGTACGGCGGCCTTCAAGGCCAGCGAGCCGAGTGAGATTGTAGAGGCGCCGCACTCCTTTGTCATTCATCGCGGCCTCACCTGTCCGTACATCACGGACCTTACTTTGGACTTCCGTCGGATCATGGAGCCCTTCACGGCCAGTAATCTTCGAGAGAAGCGAATGAACCGCATTAAGGACTTTGTCAGTTTAAGCAGCTTCTTTCACGTCTCCCACATGGGCATCTTTAACAAGGCCTCCACGCAGCTGTCTTTTAAAGTGGTCCGTCTGCCGCGCGGTCCGTCCCTAACTTTTAAGGTTTGTTTGGTTTGCTGGTTTAGCTGTTTTGCTTTTTAACACTAAAGTTGTCATTACGTAGGTTCACCAATTCACCCTTGCCAGGGACGTGATCTCTCTCAGCAAAAAACAGATGATTGACAATGACCACTTCAAGCACGCCCCCTTGGTTATCATGAACAACTTCAGTGGCGATGGCAAGCACCTCAAGCTGATGGCCACCACGTTCCAGAATATGTTCCCCTCCATAAACCTGGCACAGGTTAATATTGGCACCATTCGTCGCTGCGTACTGTTCTCTTATAATCCGGAAACCAAGCTGGTAGAGATGCGACACTACTCCGTGCAGGTGGTGCCCGTTGGCTTGAAGCGAGCGGTCCAGAAGATTGTCAAGGGCACAGTGCCTAATCTTGGCAAGTGCAACGAAGTTGTGGATTTTGTCACCAAGTAAAAAAACTAATCCAATCACATAACTTGCATTAAATTACCTTTATGTTTTCTAGAGATGGATATGCCTCCGAATCAGAGGCTGAGGATGATGAGCAGTCCCACGTAGTCCTCGCACAAACACTCAAGAGCAAGGGAAACCTGGAGGACAACAAGAGCTCTATTAAGTTGCACGAGATCGGACCTCGTCTAACTTTGCAACTCATCAAAATAGAAGAAGGCCTGCTGACCGGCGAGGTTCTGTATCACGATCATGTAGTCAAAACAGAAGACGAAAAGGAAACCTTGCGCAAACTGGTCGAGAAGAAGCGTAAGCAGAAGGAGCAACGTAAGAAGGAACAGGCCGAGAATCGTGCTCGGAACTTGAAACTAAAGAAGGATGAAAAGTGGGCTGCCAAAAGGGAGGCGGAGGGACGTAATGACAGCGATCCCGAAGACGATGCGGAATACTACAAAGAGGAGGTCGGTGAGGATCCAGATGAAGGTGAGTTCCAGCATTTATCATACGTTAGAACAATAACTTAAAGCATCTCATTGCAGAACTCTTCAAAACGGAAGCCAAATCTTCTCGCAAGCGGCCCAACCTGAGTGGCGGAATGAAATACAAGAATAAGCGGGCTAAGCTTGATCCGAACGACAAGAAGGACAAGTTTGACCGAAAGGATAAGAAGGATAAGTTTGACCACAAAAACAAAAAGGACAAGTTCGACCCCAAGAACAGAAGGCCCAAGTTCGATCCCAAGAACAAACGTGCCAAGTTTGACCACAAAAAGAGTAGGAAATCAAAGTAGTATATTAAACATAAGCTATTTTATAAAGACCGTTGGTTAGCCTGACTTCGAATTGTTATCAATGGGAACTAGCTAAACATGCGTTGTACCACTTCTTTATAATGGGCGTTACTATCTTTCCAGCTTGTTGCTATGTTGTCGCGTAACTTGCTGAATTCGCGCTTCTCCTCGTAGTTTGGCAACCGTTCGATGGTGGCCTGCGCCTTAGCGAACTCCTTCATATGATAGTATGCTAGTGCCCGGCGGTAGATGCTCTTCTCGCTGGGACTTTTCTCCATCTCCACGAATTGGGTATGGTAGATCACATGCTCGTATCGCTTTTCCTGAAGCAAACAAGCTGCCAAATTGGTCTGTATTTGGATAAAGAGCGTTTCGACCTCCTGACCACTGATTCCATTCTCCTTCTTCGTCAGTTGGTCGAAGGGTTTGTAGGTGATCAACAACTTTGCGGCCCTCGCAAAGTAATCAAAGGCAAATTTTGGGAAAGTTTTGAAGGTAGCTACGCCGCTCTCCTTGAGACGCAGTGCCACCTCAAAGATACCGGCTGCATCTAGCTTTTCCACCTGCGTATTCTTCACAATCCTCTCCAGCTTAAGCTCAAATTCTATGTGTTCGCCTGTCTTGCTCGTGATGCTGCAGGCTGATGTTTCGCCGGGTACAAATTGCTGCAGCAGAAGCTCTAGGTAGCAGTCCACTGCTGTCAGGCTGGATCCCATTTCCAGGGTGTGCTTTTGCGGATACGTCGTTGACTCATCGCTGACCAAGTACTTGCTAGGTCGTTCTCCTAAATTGGCGCTCTTCTTGCTGACACTGAATTCCACCGTACTGTTAGTCGTGGGCTTTTCCATTTCAGTAAACTGGAGGGAAATTACCCTCTTAGCCAGACCTCTACTTTTGTCTTCCCATTCCGTGCCCACGTACCAGTCCATTTTGAAATATTTGAAGCGAAGGACTCTCAAAAAACTTTTCTAAAACAATATAAATCCAGTTTTGGGTCTTGGAGGTGTTACCAGATAGTGCCAAAATTTACACACAAAAGAAGCGCTCAAGCGTAAAATCCCACAAAAAAATACTTCTTTCCCACTTTTTTTAATAATGGAGAGCAAAGCGCGCAATTTTAAACTAGCTAACTGGAGGTTACCGAATTGCTCCTGTTTAAAATATGGGTTTTTATTAATTTCCTACTTTAGTTCAATTAGTAATTTAAGCGTTAATGAAGATGAAACATTGAGCAGTTTAAAATAAATTATTTAATGCCAGATAGACATTTTTAAAGGCGTATTACCTAGAAATACGGCCTTAGTGGGTTGTTTCAAAGATACGTATGTAAAGTCGTTACATTGAACAAACAGAAAAAATAAGAGTATGCCAACGAAAATTTCACCCATTTTCATGAGATGTAATTAAAGAACAACGATTTAGCATTTATACACAATTTATTATTATTTCTAGTTATGTTACCTATACTAAGCCCATTCGCGCATAGCAGTTGCTCGGCCATTGTTTAACAAGCTGCACTCTTTCCACTAACAGTTTTTCATAATCCGGAGTATGTGTTCATATTTCATCAACTTTTTGTTAAAGTAAAACGTTATGTACATACATTAGTTAACGCGGAAGCGGCGATCGTGATCCAGATCAAGTATAGCATTGGAACTTAACTTACAAATAGCAATACATATAGTAAAATATCCATTGATCACAATCAACGAATTGTATACATTTAAATATAATGATGAAACTGCCTGGAAATTTGCTATTTTCTACATATATCTGTATATCTAAAATCTATAGTTATCATAGATCAATCAAAGAATCGGTTATATATTGCAGTACAATGGATTAATTTTCGTTTTATCTTCACTAGAAAGATTTTTAACTACCAATTGCAGACACAGCATGTGTCGATCTTTACACAATAACTTTTAATTTAAATTATTTGTATTTTGGGTAACTTAGATTACAATTGCCAATAAAATACTAGGCTTAAATTTAACTTTACAATTAACACAAACATTAGGCAATAGGCATGTAAATTAGGTTACAAATGTGCAATGCGGCGAACCGAAATATGCTTTGCCAATTTTAATGAAGCGACTCTAACTAACATTTATGCTAATAGACTGATTCCTCTGGCCGCTTTGCAGATTCCTCCTGCGTAAATGTTCCAAGTCATTTCACAGTTTTCCCTTTACTTTTCTTAAGGCGGCAGCTGCCTAAACGCGATGCTTGTGTATTTGAGCTAAAGAAACACTTAAAGTAATGCCCGATCGATCAACAGATCCAAAGTGCGGTTCAAAGACTGACCCTCGATTAGTATTACAGCGCCTAAATAACTAATACATAGTTTTTCTTTTCATCTGCATTTGTTTCATTTTCATTCGTTCTTGACAAACCTAACAGCCAGTTTTGCGAAAATATTTATTTATATTTTGTATACTCCTTTTGCATTTATTGTTTGTTTGTTTTATAACTTCATTTAATTCATATTATGTGTTTGATCCGTTTGAATGTGTGGATGTAGTATAGTGTGTGTGTGTGTGTGTATAGTGTTGTGTGCGATTGTAAAATAGAAGTTTAGAGATCGCTGTATCTTGGGTTCAACATAGTTTTCAAATAGACGAGTCGCAATGCTGTGTGTGTTTATGCTGGCTAAAAACCATTCTCTTTTCATTCATCATAATCATTAATATTCTCTACATCTACATCAAAATCCAGGTCATCCGATTCTGGATCCGAGCCTGAACCGGTGACGGATTCCGAACCACCAACATTCCGATGCCTAACATATCCCCCCATAAACGCCCCAGCATCATCTCTAGAATCCTCCTCGAAATCCTCGCCATCATCTTCGTCCTCATCATCATCATCTCCTTCGCTCGAGGACAGTAGATGTAACTCGCGCAGCTGCCGTTGCATAAAATGTTAATGTTCCATAAGGGCCGCTATAGCGCCAGCAACAACCGCAAAGAAAAGTCAGAAAACAAAACGAAACCGTTATGCATAATTCAAAAGATCAATGAGGTGAAAGTTGGTTGCTCTTACGTGACGGTGTGCGTCCGGACTTGTTCTCATTGGGTGTGAAATTTAGAAAGTCCCAAATCAAAATTGTATCATCGTGCGAGCTGCTCACAATCTGGAACTCATCGAATTGCAAACGAAAGACGCGACCAGTATGTTCCTAAAAGGGTTCATCACGGCGATTAGGTAAAAGCGGAAATGACGAAGTTAATGACTCACCACAAGTGTATTCAGACAAAGAGTATTGGAGGCAGCCCTCGGATCCAGGGCGGCGACCAAATCCCAAACCTTGATCTTGCCATCGTATGCCCCACTGACGATTCGTTTCGTGTCGAAACGGATGCAGCGAACCAATTCCTCATGCCCTTCCAGGACCCGTAAACAGGCACCGCACTCTATGTCCCAAAGTCTGAAAATAGGTTTCGGAAGATTAGAAACTCAGATTAGTTATTTCTGAGGTATCATTTGTCAAGATGGGATAACTTATACTCTTGGGGTCGAACTAAAGTCTTGGGAATACTTTTTGAAGTTAGAATTATAGCAACTAAGCCCCAGTTAATTAGTACTTGCCCCATAACCTAGCATAAAATTAAGAAGCCAACTTTAAGTCAAAGCAATTTGCTTCGATGGGAACGGCAATCGAAACTAATAGCCACAACTAATCGCAACATTTACAAACAAAATTTGTTTATCGTACGTCATTAATCATTTATCCGGAAACTGTGTTAAATTCAAACGGCTCACCTTATGGAATTGTCTGAGCTGCCGCTGACCACCAGGCGATCTCTATACTGCAGGCAGGCAATGCCACGTTTGTGACCATTCAAGGTGCGCACGAATTCACAGCTCGAGGTGGACCAGACCTTAATGGTGCGATCTCCGCTGGCAGATACGATGTACTTCTCGTCAAAGTCTACAACATTGACGGCAGCCCGGTGGCCGACGAGAACGCGTCGCAGCGTGATCTCGCTAGGTGAGGTCATGTCCCAGACGGCAATAGACCGATCCTTGGAGCAGGTCACCATCATGCCGTTGTTAAAGCGCAAGTGCAGCACCGCTTCGCAGTGGTGAATGAGGGTATTGACCATCTCGCCGGTATTCACGTCCCACACGCGAACAGTAGAGTCGCTGGAGCCACTGATGATCACCTTGTCATCGTATTGCAGGCACAGCACCGATCCAGTGTGGCCAATCAGAGTCTGTTGATGTTCGGGGAAAGGATAAAAAATGTTAGGCATACAAGGAAAGGCGTGTTTTTTTTGTAATAATTTATTAAAAATTAATAAAAATGAAAAACAACGCATGTTTTTATATCATCTGCTATAAAACCCACCTTAACGCATTGCAGATCCGTGCGATCCCAGATCTTAATGGTGTTGTCCCTAAGCCCAGAAACAATCTTGCCATCATCGTACTGCAGACAATAGACACCCTTAGAATTCTCCGACCGGCAATTAATGCGGCGCAGCATGTGGCGTCCAGTCCGCCAGTTATTCTCTATACTGTCAATGTCCTGAAACCATAAAACGATGAATTTAACTAATTGCAATTTAGATATTTCGATGGCAACTCACATTCATTATCTTGGGGAACAACTCGCGATGGAATGAGTGTGGCCGTTGTGTTTGACCCGGCCTTGGCTTAAAGAGGTACTGCATCCAATTACGCCGCTCGGCCAATCCGCGCCACAAAGAATCTGTGCGCACCTTACGTTCGATGAGTTTCTTCCAGAGCATGCCCTCGGAGATGACACGCAGCCATTCCTTGCAGACCAGCTCAGCCGATTTGAGCGATTCAGCATCCAAATATGACAAAATGTTCTCTGCGATGTGATCCAGACCCTTGACTGCAGGTGGTACAAACATATTATATTTAATAAATTACTGGTTATAAAATATATATCATTATAATTGAACTAAATTTTATACAGAAACCCTCGAAATTCATTCTTCAAGTACAACTAATATAGGTGTTGTTCCGCTTAATTTAGTTTTAGAAGGCCATCTCTCCAGGCAAGTCTGTAACTAAAAAATCTATTTATAGTTGGCAGCCAGATATCTCTGATATGACACATAACCAATTTCCCATCAGATATAAGGTTGCTACTGCTCTTCACAAACACCCAGTCTCCCCAACCCAATCAAATCGAATGCAATCCAACCACATCAGCAGACTTAAACTGGGCGAGGAACAAGAGGCAAAATGATGCACCTAACGGCATTAAAATGCACTTAGCCCAGTAAGTGGGAGTGGGAGTGGCTGTGGAGGAGGCGCAACCAATAGACCGGCATATTTACATGTGTCATGAATAGGAGTGGTTGGGTGCCCCTTGGGATGATGAGATGGGGATAGCCACATCTCCATCTGCATTGACAACTCGACTCTGAATGAGCCAAGTCAGGGTCTGAAGTGCATGTGAGTATTCACTGCCTTCTGCTCCCTGCCGAACACAATTAAAAATGTGCATAACTCGCAATGGCAGGCTGCTTGGCGGGCGGCAACGATTTGGCTCAAGTTGTTTGCCGTCGCCGACGACTAACGGTCTTAAGAGTGTGTCTATCCGTTTATGAATCCGTCGCTTGGTCGTTCTGTCAGCCCGACTGTCCCCCGGTTAGCTGCCTTTGAAGTGCATTACAATGTAAATGGAGGAGACAATGTTGCCTACTTTCAACTCTTTTTCTTTCGCAGAATAGTTAGTGATGACAGCGAATTATTACAAAATGTAGAAGAAAATGTAAACAAGAAGAGACTACGAGATAAGAAAAGAAGAAATTGAAAACATGTTTTCAACAGATAGGATTTTGTTAATTTTAGGTTCTCATTCCGCTTGGTTTTTTGTAGAGACAATTTAGAGAACTGATTAGTAATCATTTTATTGCCGAGCACACTAATTAATATAAATATTTATAACACTTCTTCAACAATTCTTTAAATGCTTCATAAAACGTTTACATTTGTTACTAACTTAATTGTAATTCTCTCTGCTTTTATTGCTGTCAACTTATAGTTGATAGCTTCTGATTATTATATTTAATTTACATTGAATTTAACGAATGCAACTTATGTATAAGATAGGATGCCCCTTTAGCGAGAGATCAAATCTGTCTAGTAAAAAGCCAAATAGGCATAGCTATAGCCATAATCGTATAACAAGCTTGAACAAGGAGGACATTTGCCGGGGATTAAGACAACGGAAACATCCGACAACTTCCTCAAAGAACTTATTCCAGACTGGTGGCTCAAGGAAAGAAAGACGGCTTATATATTAAAGCGACATTTTCCACGAAGACAATTATAATGTAGGTATGTACTTATGAGCACCTGATTGCATTTTAGCTGAATACGAAATTTTTAAACCCAACGAACAAACCATAAAGGAGAAACAAATTAAATATAAATGTTTATAAGTGCATATTTTGTAAATGAATGCCCTTGCAAAGGCTTGAATTGCACGCACAGCTCTTGTGTTGACTATTTGACTCATCAATACGTATTGATAAGCGTTGTTTCAACCGCTTTTTCACATAATCCGTCCGAGTCATTGTAAACCTGTTTATCAATACCAATAATATCCAATCACACCTTTAACTTGCCAATAGTTTTGTTATTAGTTAACATCTGCTAGCCGACAATCAATGGCAATATCGATTCACATTTACTTATGAATAATATACAAGGTTCGCTACCGTTCCCGCTTTCGTTCTGTTTTTGTTCCGGTAAAGCGCGTTTAATGGAAGCAACGACCTTTCAGTCAACAGCCAACAAACCAACAACCAAAAGCCCTCCCACTGGCTCCTCTCCTCTTGTTGGAAACATGCCCGGCAACAATCCGGAGGAGAAAGGTTTTGAATCGGGGGGGACGCGGAACAAATCGTACTGGGTTCTGAGCGGGGTTTACCTTTCATGTTGTTCAACTTTGTACCTGCCGTTTGTTATTGTTTTACCTATTTCGTGTTGAGGGATTAAGCTTGGTTTTTGTGCTCTATTCGCAGATAAACTTGGCTTAGATTTAGATTGTAAGCTGTTTTTAGACTTTATTTTGGTTAGGAAAAACTTTAAATTTCCGACCGTGGGATCTCCACCCTGTCGGCTGCTATTACTTTCTTATCAGCGATTGCCAGTTGGTTTCTTGGACATCTGAGAGTACTGACCTCCGATACAAACTGCGATGTTGATAAGGCCTCAGTGTCAGAATCCCTCTTTCTCAAGTGACGTATGCGTGACTTGATTAAATTTAAATGAACTATATAGATGAACATTATCCCAAACTCTACCATTTACACTTTAACAGTTTGTTTTTTTGGATTGGCACAGTTCTATCAAACAAAGCAAATCTGATAACTACATTCAATATGTCTTTGAATTTATAAAGTAGTATACATTAAACTGCAACTTTATTGGGCCTTTTAAGAACAAGAATTACCAAATCATTTCACATTAATTTGCAAATATTTACGGAAAAAATTACAATAAACTCAGTTCATAACGAGAACTGCATTTTTAACGTTCATAATTTTAGACTTGATTGACAATCGTGCCTGCAATTTATAGTTTTGAGCACCTAGCACTTAATTGAAAGCTTAATATCATAGTCACACAACCAAACAGAAGTTAACAACATATTTAAATGTTTAATTTGAAGAGTTTATGGCCAAATCTGTCTGGGGTAGGACTGACATTTATTTACTAACTAAACATTCAACCAATCTTTTGAGCAACATTCTTTTCTAGTGATTCTTAGAAGGCATCGCAATTAAAACAATCCACACGCATTTATCTGCTTTCGGTTCAATGTTCCTCATTTATTTGACGTGCCAGAGATGTGTACTAGGTTTTAGGTTTAAATAATGGTTTGAACTAATAGGTCTTATATAGAGAGGTATTATTGTCGTTGTCATTTCATAAATAGTTATTGGGGTCTATATATGTTCTATATATTTTTTTTTTGAAACTAGGTTGTTTATCTCGCGAGTTATTTCGTAGACACTAATAGAATATATAAGAATATATATATATAATATATATATATATATACTCACTTGGCAGCAATGTGATGAAGTCCCGCTGGAGCATCGGCTTGAGATAGGCATTGATCTGTCCGTGCTGATAGTGGCACATGCGCGACAACAGGTGCTCCACGAAGTCCACCTGTCCCGACTCGCTCCACTGGGTGAAGTACTGAAAACAGAGTTCCCGCTCCGTTTGGTAGGTGGGCGATGAGTCTTTCTTTCGGACCGGGTCGTACAGCATAGTGGTTGTGAACTGTACGGGTGAAAATGGGAGAGGGACAAAAACAAATTAATTATGAGATTGCATTTGTTCCGTTTGTTGGGGCAATGGATAGATGATACATAAGTGCTTGGATGTCAAGGGGCGATCGTTAAAACTGGAAAAGTAGCTACCTGCGGGTTGTGCAACTTTTCTTTATTTTAAGCAAATGACGACCCAAACTAGAGGGGCTTACAATTAGGCAATTAGTTTCGACTCCGCACCGAGTTTCTTTCTTCTCGTAATTTTCTCGTTTTGTTTTTATTTGGCGGCGAAAGAGTTTGCAAAGCGGATTTCTGAAAACAAAACCGCGACTAGCAGCAGTTTGTAGTAGATCATTCACACGGGCCAGTTTATAAATAATAATTGTATCGATGTTTATTTGGTCTTCCATCCTCATTATGCGAATTCTAAATATAGCCATTCCCATTGATGGCCCAATAACAAAACGTCATCAATTAAATGCTAAAGATCTAGGCAAACAAATATTTTGAGGCAAAGTAAACATATCGTCTGTGAGTGATTTGAGTAATTAAGTTAACTGCAATGCCAGCAATGCGAAAACCTTGCGTATAACACTATGTGCGAGTGTAGTAAATGCTGTATATAAGTATTCGGGTCGGTTGCCTTAATTTAATTGCCATATTATGGTTTTTTAAGAGCTTTAGTTGTTTGCCTTTGTCTGGTAACATTGAGTTAATATGAAGGATGACTTCAACTAGCTTTGTATATATCCTCTATGTGGATGTTTAGAGTTATCAAGTGTAAATAGCCTAAAGTATATTCTACAATTCTACTATTTTATGGAAGTTGTGGAAGTTCAACTGTTTACCGAAGTTATTTCCAAGAAGAAATGTGTATCATTAACCAGATTCAACCTTTATTCCAACAAATTAAACCAAGATGACTCAAGCACAAAATAAATGTATTGCTAACCGAGCGAAAAAATTAAAAATAAAAAACAATTTTTGGGCACATTGCTTAATGGTTTTGCGGGAACTGACCTTCAGTAAGCCGCCTATCGCATTTAACTCCATAACCATAGAGACATACAATAAAATAAATACTGATTGAAATGTACACGGACGCAACAAAGTGTAATTTTTGTATGAGGTTTGTTATTAATTGTGTAAACAAACTCGAGGCCAATTAAAGAAATCTGAAAACTGCTTTTGGACCAACAAAAAATAAATGGGAAATTGGGGTATGTATATGTATGTACGTACATATATTTACATATATGTATGTAAAGACGGATGATTGGACAAAAGGTGATGATGAAAATGAAAATAATGATGATGCTGGCGATGAATAATAAGGCTAATGCCTAAAGTCCGCAAAAGTTTAAGGTTAGCCTATAGGATAGGCGACACTGATCGAATTTAATAGAGTGCACGAGTGCAAAATCTGTAGTATATACGAAAATAAAGCACTAGTACACGCACACATACCTAGGTGGCGGGAGTGTATATGTGTGTGTGCGTGCCTATAAAGGCGACACCTTGGGCTTTATGTACATAAATCAGTATGTATTTTGTACATAATCGAGTAATAAGAACACTTAAGCCAAGTAACTAAGCTAAAACTCACGGCCTGTGCATTGGAGTTGGTTTCGTCCATTATTTTGTCAGTCTCCATTTTCATCATTGTGTTGTTTGTGTGTTTGTAGAGTTTGCTGGGTCGTCTTTTCTCTCTCTCTCTTGCTTTTACTTCTGTTTTTCGTCGCACACACACTCACGCACGTCGTCTAGCTGACTTTTCGTTAAAACGGTTAGCAAATCGCTTTACGCTAGCAATTTCATATAATTTTTACTCGAAAGAAAATTACAATTTGGTTGTCTCTTTTTTAGTAAGACCACAGGCGGAATGCGCGAAAACGGCGAACGCAAATGGGAAACTCAACACGCCGTAGTCCCCTCACCAATTGTGCGAGTCTTTTTGGCAAATCATTATTTAAGCTGCACCTGGCTGCTTGCACTTTGTTTGTCTTTGCTTATTAAGTTCGCGAAACTGTCATGCACTACCTTTTTCACACAGAAGATTTTATTTTTCACGAGTTTCCGCCCAAATATGGACTGACACTACCGAGCCAAAAAAGATGAGTGTGCAATATGGATATCGGTAGTTCTAGCTTGGTTAAGCGGCGGTCACACTGGTAGCCTAAGTGCTGTAAAACACCGTTGATGTATACAATTTTAGCTTTTCCTCACTATTTTTTCAAACAGGTAGTTGCCATGACGGTTATTTATGAAATATTAATAAAAGGCCTCACTTTAAGAGAGTACTATTTTTCAATTTCCAACTGTTAAGTACGTTTTTTTTAATATGTGGCAACCCTAGGTATCAGCAACAGCTGACATTACGATCACTCTCTTGATTTTCTGTTGTTATTTAATTGATAAACTTTTTGGGGGGGGGCGCCTCTCCAGATAACCTACACATCTAATTTAATAAACATAGCGCAAGTTAGTACTCTCCGGCTGTCGATTGGTTTAACGTTCACATTCATTTGACCGCAGAGCTGCTTTATTCCATGAATTTGCTCGAGTTGTACGGATAACTTAACGTACATATTTCTTAACACTTTCCAGTGGTTCAACTGACCAGAATCCTCAGGATGGCTTGCCGAGACCAGCAGGGCGCCAACTTCTTGAACGAAGGCAAGAAAATTGTGGGAGTAGCTCTCAACTACATGTAATTTAGTGCTAAATAGAACACTTGGATCTGAATTGGTATAACCCCAATCCTTGTATGCCGCAGGGATGTCGTGAAAGCCAGGAACGTTCCTGTGCCCTCTGAACCACTAGTCTTCCTGAAACCCACAACATCGTATCTCCAGGAGGGTCAACCAATAATCGTAAGTTAAAGAAAAGTAAGAGAACAAAGATCTTTGGTCTCTTTTAAAAATACAGATTATGAGTGTTTTGTTTTTGGTAGTGCAATCTAAAAAACTTTTATAGAAAATCAATGGATTTTATTATTTTAATTTTAAATCCTAGTTGCCCAAAGTATTCACCAAGGTTGCCTATGAAGTGGAACTGGGCGTCGTGATTGGAAAACCCTGCAAAAATGTATCCAAAGCTGATGCCATGAAATATGTGGCAGGATACTGCCTGGCATTGGATCTTACGGCTCAGTGCAATTTGGTAAGAAAATACGAAATTCCGATTTTCACATTCTATGACTAATTATTTTAGGGGGCAGCCCGAGCAGCCGGTCATCCATGGACCTTGGGCAAAGGATTTGATACCTCTACGCCTGTCTCCAAGTTTATACCACTCGACCAAGTGAAGGACCCACACAACCTGCCTCTTTGGCTCACTGTCAATAAAGATGTTAAACAAAAGGGCTGCACTGCAGACTTGATATTTAAGGTACCCGACATTATTTCGTACGTGTCAAAGTACATGACCCTGGAGCCTAATGATCTAATCCTGACCGGAACGCCCAATGGTTCCGATGCTTTCAAGGCTGGTGATGTGATTGAATGCGGAATGGGTGATCTAGCCAAATTAACTTTCCAAGTGTGTGCTGAATAAATAGAGAATGGCTTAGCCATTTTTCTAATGATTTATATTTGGATTTGTTTTTATAACTTTTGGCATTACGTTCTGTTGCTTTCGACGTCGTCACAGGCAATCAAATATTTCCGCATCGCTGTGCAATCGGTGGTGTTCTTCCATTTGGTGACCGGGCAATTGACATAAACCTGCTCCATGATGCAAGCCAGCAAAGTGGCAGGATAGAAGTCGCATTCGCCCTTATTGTGCATCCATTGAAATTGCTGTGCCCTCTTTAGAGCTGTTCCAGTTTATATATTAGTAAAATGTGTTGATATTCTTTCATAACCTACCGTAATCCGTACAGCTGTTAAGGCTCTTAACCATCAGTTGAGACATGGTCGGATCGTTTTTGTAGCGCTGTTGATAACTTTTCTGTAATGCCCCTAAGTTGACACTTCCATTAATCAACAAAAAGTTATTTGCCTTGAAGGAACACTCCGCCATGCACTATAGTTACAATTTTTAAATAAAGTGTTTTATATTTTTGAGTTCCACTTACTGCATGCAAGGCCACTTTATCCGATTTAAGATTGCGTGACTCTCCGTTATTTTGAGTTGAGTTATTGTTCAGCAAGGACTTACGACAGGCTTTGATAGTCTTGTCATTTTTTTGAAAATCGCAACATGAGCTTAGCTGGAAAATATTAAGAAAATAATAAAAAAAAATTTACTTGATATCCGAAAATATATTACAAATTTTGGTTGCTTCGCCTGGTCACAGCTTGTATAGTTGAAAGATTTCACACAGGAGATAAAAATTATTATAACTAAAACCAGCTTGGTGGAAGGATACATATTTTTTTCTGAAAATTTATTACTAAACTGATACTCAAAGCAAATTTTATGTCAGTTTTAAAGTCACATATTAATTATCGTTGGTATTAAAGTTAATAAGGCATGAAAATTGTCGGTTTAGTATTCAATAATAATGTAATTTATATAACCTACATATGTTCACAGATGGAATGAAATTTTATAGTAGGTAATTAAATCTCAAAACATGTTTTTATAGTAACCGTCAAATTGTTGTATGCATTTTTGTGGTGTATCTTTATTTTACGGAATGATTTAGCATAACAAAAAAACACCATTCATGTTTTCCCTAATCGCTGAAACTTTGTTTTGAATTTAAAACAGAACATCAGCTTAATAGATGAGTAAATATTTTAGTATCCTAAACATAAATCAACAGGTTTTTTTCGACAGCGTGCTATGGTCACTCTTACAAGCATTGAATAAAAACGTCAAACCACAATTTTCGTTTGAAGAGAGTAAATTGTATTTATGTATTTGTTATAAGCATTTCTATGTATATACGATACACTATATACACTATACATATCCAAACTATGGATGACCACTGCCATCTGTAACTACTTTGAACCGAAAGTTTTTATTCAAAGAACTAACTACTTTCTCAAAGGAGTTACCAGGACTTATCCAATATGGACAAGGACATTCCTTTGTACGAGGGAAAGCCGATATTTCGCAATAAGCCATCTTACAAACACTTCAACAAATCCTTCGAGCATGTTGACGATTCGCTCTATACGTTTCTGAATGAAGTGGATCCAGAAATCCTACGCATGGAACTCCAGGAACCCTCAGATGTCTTCAAATCCTATAACCGCAACACAGCCCTAAAAGATCCTCGAACCAACGAGATTCCGGGTAGTACGACTTGCGACCATTCTAGTGACAGTTCCGGCTACAGCTTTCCTAATCCACTGGATCAGCACTCGGAGTTGAATCTCAAGCAGCAGGCCGCATGTATAAGAGTACTTTTAGCCTGGCAGCGAAATGAACCTGTCGATGAAGGTGATTTCGTTGTATGGCAGGCAACAGAAAAGAAGCGCTGCAACGAGCAGCAAAGAGTTCAAAAACACATACATGACCATGAGCACGGTCGCAAGGAAATTGTCTATGCTGCCATGAAGAGTCTAGTGGCGATCTACAGAATGTGGTACGAGCTAAAAGCCAGAAAACTGCTAAAAGCATATCCCAATGAGTCATATGTGACCTTTTCCGGTCTTCCACAGTTGTCGCAGTGCAAGAGTCTCAACTCTCAGACCGCCAGTATAGAGCAGGTGGAACTAGAACGAATTGCAGGTCGGGTAAGACTCTGTCAAGGACTAGATGTGAGCCAAGAAACGTTTCGCACTTTAAGAGTCCGTTTGGATCGGTACGCTGTTAGAGAAACCAAGGAGCCAGCTAAGATTTTGCAAGATGAAGAGAAGAACCAGGAGCTGGAAAATGGTGATGTCTTGGTTTTGCCGCTGGACTCCCTCTTGATGCTGTTGACCACCGGAGCATACATTGATCTACCAACAGAAATGTTTGTCAGTTTGAAAGAATCTTCAATGAGTAAACACAAGTGCATGGAATTCCAGGCTCCATTTCCCGCCCGCAACTGTGGTTGGCATACCAACAGTTTGCTCCTTAAACATGCCTTTGAAACTTATATATCTCAGCCTGGACAAGCCAAATGGTTAGATTTTGAACCGAATAGAGCAGTCAGAGAAGTTGCAGATAAGTCTACCTGTGAGATTCCTTCTATTGATCTTCAGATGGCCTATAATCCCCATGCAATTGATCAACAATCTTCAGACATCTTGGAAGGAAGCACAAATACTGGTCTAGTCAGTTGGATCCTCAAATGTAAGACCGAGGGCGAAGGCGATGAAAATAAACAGTTTCAAGTCTTTAGCACACTATCCATACCAGCAGTTAAAGATTCACAAGGCAAGGAGCCATTTGGATGCCACTTTATTAAGCTAGAGAATAAACCAGATTGTGGCTGCGAAATTATGTCTAAATATGAGTTGATAAGTGCATGGCTACATTTAAAGCTTCTGCAATCAGATATGGGTCATTGTACACGCATATCGATGCGGGACTTTAGGCCCATGCTGGAGGAGAAGTTCACGCTTATGTCGCTGGAGCAACAGCTACGTGACTATTACAACACGAGTATGCCGCAAGTGCTTTCCAATTTGTACGAGTTCCTGAAGCTATTGGATACGGTACCTATCGGGGAATACCTGCTACGATACTCACCCAAGTACAAGGATAAATTTCTTCTGTGCCAAGCTACTACGCAGGCCACGGCCAAGAGCTTCAAACTCCACCAACTACTCACGGAAACTTCTCCCAGTGACCAAGTTTTTCTTACGCAAAGCAGTTACCTTCCAATCGCACCCACATTATGTGGGCGCCTGCACGAGGAACTCCAGTTGCTACCTTGCGCATTTCCAGCAAAGACCAACGGTCGGTCTGTTCAACGTCGGAAAGTGGCGGTGCCAAAATCAGAGCCCGTTAAACAAGTTCCAATGAGTCGGCAAACAAGAAATAAGAAATGGACTGGTGCCCAAAATGAAGAGTTCCGCCGCCGATGTAAATACGCTCAAAAGGCTAGAGCCAAGGCTCGCAAAAAATCGGCTGCCAAAGAAGAAAAGGAACTAGACAAGATTATGTCGCTGTGATCCTAGAGTTTATATCACGTAAATGTTATTTCTTGTTTTAATGCCAAAAATATATAATCGAAAAGGTTAAACAAAAGACGTATAAGATGAAGTTTTTAAAAGTTTGTTTTTAAAATATACAACACTGATTAACTACAAGTTTGTGCTTTGGCTATTTATTTTTAGCTGCAGTACAGAACGTTAAACATTCCCTAATTGATTGATAAATTGATTGTGCTCCTTCCTTCCCAGACTCGGTGTTTTCCTTATTATTAAAGTTTTCATATTAAATCTATTATATCTTTGTTTTCAATTATTTTGGTTCAGAATTATCCGGACTTAGACAAACGCCAGCATCGTAAAATTCCTTAAACAATTCCTCGTCGTGTATAATTTTGATTCCTTCATATTTTATGTTGACTTGACTTGTTTTCTTAAGGATATCTTGATAGGCGGCAGTCAAAGGTTGCTGAACTGGTTCCTTGTAAACATAATCTGCACCCTGAAACAGAACAGTTTACAACCTTTTTGTAACTGAAAAAGGCAAAGAAAAACTTACCAAGACGTATGTACGATCCGAATCCAGATCTCCTTTGTAAGCAACGAACGGAACGTGAACAACAGGCGGGTTCTCCTTTTTCCGGCACACCCAGGTCTCGGGATGATCATGCCATTCGGTGGTCAGGTTGCAGGGCTTATAGCCTTCGGGCAGACAAAACTGTCGGGCCACAACAAAAGCTTCGATGCTTGAGTTTCGGGATGCCGAGGGCTTGAATACACACACATCCTTAAAGAATCGCTTGAGCTGCGTATACAACCGGCTGGTCCTGTCTGCCCTGTAGATTTTCGACACGAATGAGCCTCCCTTTTCCAGGATGAAGGTGGATATGCTTAGGGCAGATAGAAGCAGCTCCCCCTGAACATAAGCGTCAAAGTCGTGCATGCCCGTGGAATCGGGAGCTCCATCGCTAACCACAATCTGTGCCTTCTCTCCGCCAAAGAACTCGATAATGGCCTTCGCTGTTGATTCCTTGCTGATGTCCGCTCGGAGTTGTGTGACGCCTTCAATTGGAGCCATTCCCTGTAGGTCCACGGCGATGATTTTTACCTTTTCACGCTCCTCCGTCGGTAATGGCTCATACATGCGCTTGGCCAACACTTGTGACCAACTGCCAGGAGCTGCGCACAAATCAACGGCACGAGTGAGACCTGAAATATATAGATCTTTAGCATAAATTAAAAAAACACGAGTTTCGAACTGCACCTTCTAACAAGTGAAACGTCTCCTCTGCCTGGAGAAGCTTAAAGGCACTCCGCGCCCGCCATCCCTGCTCCTTGGCAAGTCGGTAAAAGATGTCTCTCTTGTCCTTCGAAGTCCTACCCATTGATAAGTTTTTATTTTCCAAATAGACAACAAGAAGTTATCAGCTGGGGAATACAACTTGTCTACGCATAGTACACAGTGTTATCATTTCAGCTTATTTCCCGCCAAAAAGCAAATAAATACGCCAACGCTATACTATGAATTATTTTACGAAATAGTTAATTTACTTTGAAACAGTAGTTATTATTACGTAAGCTGAATAATAACATTACGTTGAATATGATACTAATAATAACAATTAAATATGAACATTAGTTTGTTTTGTGTAATCTAGAAACAGCTTGCTCTCTGACAACTCCAATCGATAGTTTTAGTAGATCCGAGTCTATCGATAATTTTCTTGCAAAATAACAAGTAATTTTGTTGTTGCAGCCCAGCCCGCAGAGTGAGAAATTTTCTGCTATGAAAACTGTGAAACTGGAGATAATACCAGCCCCGCGATCGAAATAACACCATCCCCGAGAAAAGCAACGCCAAAAAAAAATGGCAAAGTTAAAGAAGCTGCACATGAGCTCCAACATGGAGGACCTGGAAAAGATGTCCATCATTCCGGATCTGCGCAGCAAGGGCATGAAAATGTAAGTGGACACCCTGATTTAGTGCTGATAGGGTTATTTTTATTAACCTGATATTTTTCTTAGCCTGTTGAATACGGCCCGCAAATTGTATATGACCGCCGAGGAATACAGACTGGATGGCGACGAAGAACTTGCGTATATCACTTACATGAAGTACTTCAACATGCTGACGGCAATTCACAAAAAATCCGATTACGCCAGCCACAAGACGACGGTGCGCCAGATGTTAGGCGACACCGAGTCGAATCGTCGCATAATGGATACGCTGGAGGTGATTATTGACTCCCTGCGACTTCGTTATGCTCAGCAACGGCAGCCGACGGAACCAATTGCTGGCGACCTAGTTTGCAATGGAAGAGTAAGTCTGGACTCACCGGTAACGCAGTCCACGGATTACGCCAAACTGGGGCTTATTACCTGCCAGGAGCTGTACCGGCGCATGCAAGAGAAATCGGTTCTGGTGATGGACTGCCGACCGAGCGCCGACTATGAGACCTCTCATCTCACCTACTACTGCTCTTTCAACGTGCCCGAGGAGCTGATAACACTAGGGTAAGTTGTTAATACACTTAAGATACTAAATGGTTACTAACTCCTGCTTCCACATATCTTGTAGCATGTCGGCTGGCAGACTGCAGGCTCGTCTTAGCAGCAGCGGCAAGGCCTCGTGGGCATCGCGATCTGTGAAAGATTCGGTAGTTCTAATTGACTGGAATACCAAGGATGCTCAGCCTGCGCCCAATACAGCCATTTCCACGCTGCTGGATATCCTAAAAAATGTAAATAATAGTGTACTTAAACCATAGAAAACATCTAATACTCTTTTCTAACAGTGGGATCCCGATGTGACGTACCGCTCACCCATCCAGATCGTCGAGGGTGGGTACGAGTACTTCATTATGATGTACCCCACCCACTGCACCAATCCAAGTGTGCAGGCACCGCAGCAAAACAATAACGTCATTGATACTATCGACGATATCGAGTATCCCTCAATCCACGACATTACCATGAAGGAAGACATCAGTGCGAAGGACTTCAAACCAAGGCCGGACATCAATAGAGCTAACAAGCCCACGGCCCCTCGAACTTACGACCAGGGACTGTCCCGACCTCCCCAACAGGCCAAACCTATCGATGAGATCATGCGTGATCAGGCAGAGTTTCTGCAACGGGCGGAGCAGAACGATGAGCAATTGGAAAAGGCATCTAGGATGTGGAAGCGTCAGGCAGCCGAAGGTGATGGCTTGAATGCCACCGAGGGACAGGAGTTGCATTTTAGAATTCTCCAACTGGAGAGCAAGGCCCAGGACTACGTAAGATCCGTAATTTAATAAATTGTCGAAAAATAAATGTTTGATTCTCCTGCAGATAGTGGAAAACAATCGACTGCGAGAAGAACTTAGTCGCATTCAGGAGCAGCAAAATGTAACACAGCAGCTATCGCAAAAGGAAGTTGAGGCTACGAGAAACATCGAATCCAAAATTCGTGAACGTCAGCGTCTCGATGAGCAACACGAGCTGGAACGTCAAGAGCGGGAGCGCCTTTTGGCGATCGCTCGTGAGACCAAAAAACACTACAAGCCCCGACCTCCAACTCCTCCATCTCCGGACAGAAACTTGGAGGATTTACAGGACCTCTCCGATAGCCTGGAATCTCTAACGCATCTAACTGGCGAGGATCCGCCGCTTGCCCCCACGAGGGTGGAGAAGCCGACATTCGATAGAGCGATGAAACCACAGCAGAGGAGTGTGGAAAGAACATCGCAACGGATCCGTGATTTCTCGCCAGTCATTGGTCACAATGTGGTAAGTGATGATTTAGGGGTGGTTGACTCACACCGAGGGCCTAAATATAGCCGCCACACGAGCCAAATCAATAGCCAATGGGTCACGTTTCGAAGACACCCGCCCAGACGTTGGCCGTGCTTTGTGGGTATTTCCCACTCTCAGTCGCTCGCCATCCGCACTCAAAGCATGTTCAAACCAAAGAAACGTACAATTGCCATACTGTTGATCAAAAACAGCAGAAGACAGGATTCCGCGAATGATTTGTGTGGCGGGCGTGAAGCTCCAGCTGCCAACAGCTCCGCCTACCTACAGCATTTATAGCTCCATCTTTCCGCTGCGACGAGTAACTTTTGGGAATCAAACTGGCTTTGAATTGGTAATAATACTCATATGTATGCAATTTTTCAGGGTCGCGGATTGACGGGATTGAAAAATCTGGGCAATACATGTTATATGAACAGCATCTTGCAATGCCTAAGTAATACGCCTCAGTTGACGGAATACTGCATCTCGGACAAATACAAGAACAACATCAGCAGGAGCAACAAAACCAATGGCCAGGTGATCGAGGAGGTGGCGGCACTCATCAAGGAGCTTTGGAACGGACAGTACAAATGTGTGGCTAGTCGGGATTTAAGGGTAGGTCATCAACAAAATCATTTTTTAGACGTACTAAAGGCTACATTTTTCGTTACAGTACGTTGTCGGACAATACCAAAAGATCTTCCGAGGCGTTGACCAGCAGGACTCTCACGAGTTTCCTCACCATCTTAATGGACTGGCTGCACTCGGATCTTCAGACACTCCATGTGTCCCGTCAGCGAGAAATGATCAGTGCCTCGGAGAAGGCTTGGCTGGAGTTTACCAAGGCCAAGGAAAGCATGATTCTGCATTTATTCTACGGCCAGATGAAAAGCACCGTCAAGTGCGTAACCTGTCATAAGGAGTCGGCCACTTATGAGAGCTTCTCGAATCTCAGCCTGGAGCTGCCGCCCAATTCAAATGTCTGCCAGCTGAACCAATGCATGGACATGTACTTTAGCGGGGAGCGCATACACGGCTGGAACTGTCCTAGTTGTAAGACGAAAAGAGATGCCATCAAGAAGCTGGATATTTCCAAGCTGCCTCCAGTGCTAGTAGTTCATCTGAAGCGGTAAGTATAGCTTATTATGTATCAGTACTTGATTTTATTTTGTCCAATCCTTTGCAGGTTCTATGCAGATCCCAGCAATTCGGGCGCTTACATGAAGAAGCAAAACTATCTTCGCTTCCCATTGGAAAACTTGGATATGAATCCCTACATAGCCCGGGCGGAATCGCGGGCGGTTACGCCCAAAACCTATCAGCTCTATGCCGTTTCCAATCACTACGGAACCATGGAAGGCGGCCACTATACGGCCTTCTGCAAGAGCGCCAACTACGGAAAGTGGTTCAAGTTCGACGATCAGATCGTCTCCGCCCTTGACTCTTCGAATGTGGTTTCCAGCGCGGCCTACATTCTATTCTACACATGGCTACCGCCCATGCAGGTCCCGCTGTAGGCGCGCCGTTCCTTCCCTCTTCGGTTTTTCACTTTTCGTTTTTAACTGTGTTTTTGTTTATCTCTCATTTTTATAGTTTTTTAAGGTCTAGTCGCCATTCACTTTTATAATTTACTAATTACCGCTTAACTGTTGCTATTTAAGACGATAATCGCTTGTTTGTTGTTGTCTAGGCGCTTACGCCGGATGGACAGTATTACGCATGGGGGCGTATTTTGTATGGGTACGGGCTGCATTCACTAAAAACAAGAACTTCAAGTGCATTACCAGTATAACAAAAAGAAGATCACATATACGTACGTGTATGTGGGACTATAGTTTATTGTATTTTGCAATTATATTTTTAAACCAAATAAACGAAATGAAATTTCTGATGTAAACATAAACTTTATAATTATTAAAAACATAAATTTTCCGATGATTTTGCTGGTCCTTACAAATACCAATATTCTTTAAACATGTAACTTATAAGAAAAGAAAACGCAAATGTAATTTGTTTTTAAATTTTTTATAAGTTTGTTTCGCGCGCAAAATAAAATCAAATCGATAAAAACAAATCGGCTTACGGTCACACTGTAAATAGCCCCCGCTATTTACCACCTGTAGTGTTGCCAACTTTTGCACGCCAATAATCAGCTAATACGATGAAAAAAAAGTCTGTTTTAACAAAATGATGTTCAACAAAACAATCAATTTCTTTAACAAATGAACATTTTGTTGTAAACCTTGCTTAATGTTTGTGAACAATTAAGGGGATAGGAAAATGTGTACTTTTTGGCTATAGCTAAAAAAGTTTTAAATTTTTCTCACTTATAACCATTTAGCCAAATTTGGCTACAAGACATCTTAACCCCCAACACTGACCACGTATTTGATTTGATTACTTGATAGTTAACGTCGAATCACGGCACTTCCAGCCGCCTCCGGTGTATGCCAACTGGCGACAATCGTGCATTAAATCCAACTCAATCGACAGTAAATCAAAAACTCCCAACCACGCCCGCCATGAATCTGCCGGAACGCAGCCGCTTTGTAATCTACGCCGTGGGAATCTTTGTATGCTACTTCTTGTACGGTATTGTTCAGGAGAAATTGACGAGGGGTCGCTATGGCGAGGAGGTCCAGACGGATGGATCCGTTGGCGAACGCTTTACCTATGCCTTGGCTCTGGTTTGGGTGCAGTGCCTCTGCAACTATGTGTTTGCCAAGGGTAAGAAATAACAGATTATTGTCGGCTAATTTTTACTGATTATCGGCCTATAGTTCTCTTGACCGTGCGGCCGCAGAAAGAGGACACCACCAACGCGGGCTCCTACGTGGCTTGTTCACTGACCTATCTTTTGGCTATGGTTTCAACTAATATGGCCATGCGCTGGGTTCCCTATCCAACTGCCGTTGTCGGCAAATCTGCCAAACCCATTCCCGTTATGATCCTGGGCGTTCTTATTGGCAGGAAATCCTACAGCTGGACTCGTTATGCCTGCGTGCTGACTATTGTATTGGGAGTAATCCTGTTTATGTACAAGGAAGGCAAGGTATCAAATTTGCCGGCTGAGACGACGCTCCTCGGCGAGGTGTTGCTCTTTCTCAGCCTCTCCATGGATGGGTTGACTGGAGCAGTGCAGGAGCGTATTCGCGCGGCAAGTGCGCCTTCGGGCCAGCAAATGATGAAAGCCATGAACTTTTGGAGCACCCTAATGCTGGGCGCTGCCATGGTTTTTACAGGTGAGTTGTTAGCCTGAATTTTGGTTTTTTTTTTGTTGGTTATAAGTTTTTGTAGACAGTAGAAGTTGCCCTTTTAGTTTTTTGATATTCTTAGAATCGGAAAAAAAACTGTCAAGATTTTTATTTAAAGAAAATCACTTAAAGCACTTAATTCTTATTTAAGTTTTTAAATTTTTTAGTACTTAATGCAATTGAAATATAATAATAAGTTGAATAATGGATATGTAGATAAAAATAAAAACTTAAAAACATTTTCTAGGTGAGGCCAAAGAGTTCTTGTACTTTACCGTCCGCCATCCCGAAGCCTGGACTCATTTGTCGCTAATTGCTGTGTGCGGTGTTCTTGGCCAGTTCTTTATCTTTTTGATGGTGGCCAACTTTGGACCATTGGCCTGCTCAGTGGTAACAACCACGAGAAAGTTCTTCACCGTACTGTGCTCTGTCCTGCTGTTTGGAAATGTCCTTATTGCCCGCCAATGGCTTGGAGCTGTCCTGGTATTCGCCGCCCTCTTTGTGGATATGCTTTACGGCAAGAAGGCGCCTGTGGCTTCGACAAAGAAGCCACCTGTCGAGGGCAAGTTGCTCGAAGAAAAAAAGAAACTGAATTCTTAGAATTTACTAGATGATTGCTTAGTCTAATGTATATAAACAAATTTAGAGAAGACAACGCTTTAGCCTCAAGTGGCTGCTGCGCCAACATTTCATTTTTCCTGGAACTGCTAATCGTACAAAGGATTTTAGCTATAACGAACACAGCATTCGGTACTTGATCTGCAAACCATAAACAGTCGTTCTAAGTTTACTAAATTATTGATACATATTAGAAAAATAACCAATATTTTCCAAAAGTTTACAACGGACCTTAGGGTCTCTGACATACAGGATAATTCAATCATTTAATGCTATAGTTTATAATTAAAACATGTTTTTTGTATTATTGTATGTTGTATTTTTTAGAAACCCCATCTACTAGCATTTATTTAAAAACCTGATAAAAGTAACTTGACCTTACAAAGGCAAATGGATTTAATATAAAAATAATAATTTAATTTGGACTTTATAAAAAGTATATCTTCCTTTTGTGTAATTTTTTTTTTTTTTGAATTTGATGGCGCTTTTTGAGCGCTGCCACTGTAAACGATGTTTCCAGACAAAAGTAAACTACTATGAAACTATAGTTCATTAAACTAAATACATACATACACATTCTATTCTTTTCTAATACCAACTTACAATATTATTTTGTTAATATAATGCACGTAATAAACAAACAGGAAGAACACATTTTTCTATATTTCGATACTATCGATATATATACTTTAATTGTATAACAACGATATCAACAAATTATCGAGCTTGGCAACTCTAGTTTATTGCCGTAGCCGTTGCCGAATTTTTCAGATTGTTTTTAAAATGTGTAAATCAAGTATTTGCCATGGTCATTATACAACAAAGTAAACGGATAATTATATTCGGCGAAAAATAAAACTATGTGTGTTTTGGTTAAAAACAGAAGACTTTGAACGCGTTATTAACCGATAATTCCAAAAAGGATATTCCAAGCATTAGCGGGAAAATGCAATAAAAATCGCAAAAAAATGCAATAAATTTGCTGAATTCGTGCGGTTTTGCAAATGAATATCGAGTGCGCTGTGATGCATGATTAAATAAAAGAATACAAAGTTTGCTGCCCGTTTGCATAAATCAAATAAAATATATTTTCTTATTGGATGAGTCGCACTCTAGTTAGTTATTGTTGTTGCTGCTGCTGCCAGCTGTTTGCCTGTGTATTTGTTTTTGCCCTGGTGACGTCCGTGTCACACATCGAGCGTGTATTTGTGAGTGTCTTTCAGTGCTTTGGCTTAATTTTAGCAACTAAATTCGAACGAAAGTGAGTGGGGGGTCGAAACGACGCGAATAAAAACAAAGTAAGTGAAATATATGTATAATATATTTGTAAACTACAGGCGTTGTAAAAATTAAATCTGCTCACATGTTAGAGAGAGAGTGAGAACACAACACACCCCCGAATTAGTCTTTCACTCTCTCCCTGTCTCTTTCCTCCTTTAGGGGTTGTCGGTCATATGTACCGTTGATATTATGCCGGTCGGTCATCTTCTTCTTTCCTACATCTCGCTCTCTCTTTAAATAACGGTTAAATAGAAGCCGGCTAAATGCATTATGTAAAATTTTAAACTTTCGCCCTAATTTAATGTCATACTCCCACTTATCAGCGTAGCGTCAGACGGAATAATTTGTGGAAAAGTGATTTATGCTTGCGATTTGCTGCCCCGTTCTTTGGCAGATAGTGAAATAAAGAGGCCCTCTTATCGCCCGCACAAGTTCAACAATAAAGTAATGACTGTTGAGCAAAAACAAAAACAAAAGAGAACATGCATAAATAAAATAGGCAGGCCACTGGGCACAAAATGCACAAATAAACAAACACACTATCGATGCGACTTTCACACTGCTGATAAAGTCACACAATGAGAGAAGAAGGGTGAAGTGGGTGTCCGAGGCAGAGAAATTTTCGTAAATAATTCCATTCATTTATGACCATCAGTAAATTAATTTTTGACATCATGATATTCACGATTATCAACATCACGTGATTTAGAGACTGGCAAATTGTATAGAAAACGTTTTCTCTTATCAACTATTGCAAATATGTATTCAGATCTTCTAATTAAAAGTTGGTATTCTATTTATAAATATATGTTAGTTAAGTGGGACATTTAAATATTAGCGCGTATATAGTTTTATGATTAAATGGGAGTAGGCTTCTAGTTTAATGAATTAGTTTTGAAATCTTATAAGAATTTTCTTTCAGGCTTTATTTTTAATGATCAACAGATCATTTTTCTGTTCGAAAGTAAAATCAAATCAAAAATTTTGATCCGAAGTAAGCGCAAGTGATTATAATTAATATTTTAATTAAATTTAAGGTACCACTAGATCCGTTTTTGGTTTATAAGAGAATTCACCACCAAAGTTTTCTCTACATTTTTGATTTTCTGTTAAAGATGTGGGCTCTCGCAAACGCAAAAAAGAATGCTTAAACGTAAAACGCAATGTCCTTCAACATTCAATCAACATTTTTCACCTTCCTGACCCCATTCGAACCCTCAATCACTTTTACTTTCGCCTCTCAGTAGTCATGGCTCACCTGAGGCCAATAAACGCTTCTGACATTCTCGAAAATAAAAGCAAAAACAAATTTAGCGGGAAATAAAAAAAGATTCAAAGCGAATCGAGCTTTTCGGTCACTATTTATAAACACCCTACCCTTTCTGCATTTCATAATTCATTTGTCAAGTTCGTGTGTGCCCAACTGTCTGCCCGATAAACATCACTCAGCCCAACCGCCCACTACATAAACCGCCCACCACCCACGGCTCATGATGTCATCCACTGTGGGCCGTCAAGTCACATGTTTAGATTTGGATGTGCGCCCGAAAGAAGAAGCAAAATAACAAAAATAGAGGAAATTTCCTTTGTACTCGGAAAAAGTTTAGCCATTTCTTTTTTTTCAGACGCAAACCGCGTAAATTTCTTCCCCAAGCGGAACGTGAAAATTGTTAGGATATGTAGTGTTGAAAATAATGATAGATTGCTGGTCTTATAGTATAGGTGTTTATGCACAGAAAGAAAATTGTCATGTACACGCTTTATATTTTAATTAGGTTAATTTGATTAAATATACAATGAAAAATAATAGAAATCGTGACCCATAGATATGACAAATTTTATGTTTATTTTCTGTATCCATCAGATCAAATTGTCTCAGATAAAGAGGGGTAGATTAATTTTGATCATTTTTCGTAGTGTATTTGGTTATAATGCCTATAGAAAGTATAACAGTAAGTCTGGTCTTTGTCGATATTGTTTATAATTTCATTGACAGTGTAATAAAGTTTTGTTTACTATTTGTTTTTAAAATTGCACGCTCGATGAGTTTCAAATATATATTAATTGGCATTGATTTGAGATTTGATTGCACCATTTGGTTGAACAGAGAACAAAGAAGGTGACAATTAACTGGGGCAAAGTGCGAAATAAGAGATTTAAAAAATGATAAAGTGCTTATGGAATTATCTTAAAACTTATTAAGTGCTAACACACAAATCTCTTCACTTTTTAATCCTCTTTTGAAATATGTAATGAAAAGTAAAAGGCTGCTGAAATATAAAAATAAAATTCTAAAAATGCATCATAATTATATAAATGAATTTTTTTTTTTTTAAATATAATTACTCATTATTAGCTCAACAATCTTTATGAAGTCTGAATGTCTTCAAAATAAAGGTACGATAAGATCTTTGGAATTTTTAAGTGGTTCACTTTTGAGTTATCAGTGATCGATTGTGAGGTGTTAATTTCCATTCAATAAGTCGTTAATTACTTTATCTGTTTTAATTGTATCCTCCATGTTCCCTTATCTGACTTGATGCATTCATTCGTGCATACTTTCTTATGCAATTCCATGACAGAGGAGAGGTCACTTTGGGCCCTATTTCATCACATTGGTACATATGCGGATGAGTCACTGGACGATCCCATTGGACTTTTGTTTTTTTCCTTGTATCCGTTTAATTGTCTAACCCGTCTGCCCACATAATTCCATCTGTTTTCAATTAGCAGTCATGCTCAATATGCCCCACCTCTCCTTTCCGTTTTTGGTAGGGATGCGCTCACGTGTTCGTCAAACAGCTGATTGCGAAGCTTTCTCCTGTGGCGTATACGCAATTTCTGGTTCGTTCTATGGGTTGAAGGTAAGCCGAAAGTCGGAGCATCGCTCTTTCTCTCTTTCTTTATGCCCTGCATATGGAATGTCAAATGGTATATTCTATTTGTGTTTATTCTAAAATTTACAACATCTCTTATAAATAGAAAGAGTTTCGTAAAAAATACCACTTAATGCAACTTAATTAACGATTTCATTTAATATTAAATACATTTTTAGTTAAGCAAAAAAGCGTAATTTAGTGGGCGATTGTTTTTTAAAAGGGTATCTAATGGTTGGGACTTTTAAGGTCTTTGTTTTCATCTGCAATTTTATGAATTAAATATATAATTGCAGCTCTCTCCGCTCTTTCTCTCTCTTTTTGTGAACATCTTTTGCATAGTCGCTTTTGGGCTTTCAAAAAGTAAATGAACCCATGCAGTTCTCTCTAGTGTCTCTCTTTTCATTCGTCTCTCTCAGCTGCTCTTTCATTTATTGCATTTTGGCCACTCGTTTCTGGCTCTTTCTCACTTTGGCTTCGGTTTCGGTTTATTTTGGTGCTGCATTCATTTTGGCCGCATTTCGTTTTCGCTTTCGGGCCCTGTTTGTTGTTGTTTTGCCAATTTCGTTTTTGGCAGTTGCATAAAATAAAACAAACGCGAAATAAATTCCGCAGCAGCTTGCTCTCTCGCTCTCTTTGTGTTTATTGTTCAGTTGAAAAGTGTTTGCTGCGCGTTCTAAGTGTTATTTTTTTATTATTATTTTTTTAGTGTTTCGGTGTTAATTTGTCGGGCATTAATAGAGCTGCAAAAATCAATAAAATATTATAAAACATTCGGAGCACGCAGAGTCGTGAACATGTCAATATCGGACTGACCATCTGTATATATGGCGTATGAGCGATATATATAGTATTCGCATGTTTGGTTGTGCGTGTTATGCAAACATTTTTCGGCAAAGCCGCTGAAAATGAAGTGAAAATAAGCCAAAATAAATATTTCATAAAAAATAAAATATTTTAAAAACTTAATAATAAATATCGTATTCTAAAGGCTAATTTTAAAGTGAAAGTTTACTGAATAAAATATATCTAACCAATAATAATAAAGTTCTCTAATTACTTAAAGCAAAACGATTTTTATTAAATTAACTTGGGTAAATAAACTGCTCCAGTCGAACAAATTTAAATCTTTTGTCTTTCGCTTTGTTTACGTAAATAAGAAGAAAATTCGGAAGAAGAGTGCCAAGGCATAAAAAATCAATCACCAAATGCAATCAAAAAAAAAAAAAATGGGTATTTTAATTTGAGTTGGGATTTTAAAACATTTACACCT